GTCAAAAGTAACACAGAGAGAAAACTTACTTCTATTCCTTCAAATTCCAATTACCAAATTTCGTCTCTAAATTTTTTTGTTTCGTTTTTAAGTCTAAAAATTAATTCCTTTCCCATGCAAAACTGCTCTTGATGACATTTGGGCATATTAAAGTATCCTACGAGCAATAACTGCCGTATGCTTTATGAAAAATTGAAAAGCATTGACAGCCATCACTCGTAAAATAAGTAAAAAAACCCAGCGTTCCTTCAGCTGTTCAGCAAGCTTCCAAGTTTTCCATTTTTCCTAGCCCCTTTTCTGAATGTTTTCACTTCTGTCAACACTTATTTTTTGTCTGTTACAATCCTCAAATAAGTTTTCTTTCTTTTTAAAAGGTGTATGACTAACAAATCAAAATTATATCCTTCTGAATCTTACACAATTATTTTCCTCCCATGAAATACACAACTTTAAAAAATGGCTGCCGTTTACATTTTAGAAAGCCAGGTCTAATATAAATTCGCAGTAAGTAACAGAAATATGGATGGATGGTTGGAATTTTCTCCTACAAGAATTGTTTGTTTTAATTATTAAAACAAGTGATCATTCATATTTTTTTAATAAAATGAATAAATATCACCGTCATTTAACCTTGAATGGCGGACTTATTTTGCAGCTCAAGATTTCTTGTTTTAAATGAGAAATTCCGTCTAAATGGGGCTCTCAATGGGGGAAACAGATTTTAATATTAACGTTAACATTATGGAAATTTCGTTTTAACTTGTTTTTAAGCATAAAACAAAAAGAAAATTTGTCTGTTTGTTGTGTAAGATGGAATTTTATTTCATCTCGTGAACTTTAAAAACAGTATTCTCACTCGTGGCTACGCCACTCGTGAGAATACTGTTTTTAAAGCTCACTCGATGAAATAAAATTTCATCTTACACACAAACAAACAAATATCCTCTATATATGAGTTACAACTCTCACAAATTTAACACTACACTTGAATCAACTAGTTCTACTGAATTATCAAATACTAGCACAACAAAAGCTTAACATAGAATCACACAAGTTTGCTAAATATAAGATGGTTTTCTGTAAACGCAAATTATTTGTTGTATTATCCCCCTGATAAAAACAATCTTAAACTTGTGTTAAAATGCAACATGTCTGAACATTTTAGTTGAGTCATTTAACTGGAGTCAATTACATGTATGTGGAAGGTTTTTTAGTGCTGTTTGAGAAGTTATTTGTATTTGTAAGGTTTTATTTATTTTAAATGGTTGCCTTTCAAAATAAATTGTTCAAAATACTAATGTAAAAGAATCATTACAAGAACTTTTCATGTACAACATTAAAACAACTAAATAGTCATAATTATGAAAGTCCTTCATTGAATAACTGTTGTACATTCATGCCAAGTATGCTTCAATAAATAGACAGCCCTGATTTATATTTAATTATTTGAGAATAAATTTCATTGTTAGTTTATCAGTTAATTACTAACTTAAAGTTTGCAAAATAATGTTTTTTTTTTATCGCAATGAAAACCACATCGATGGCCTCGACGAACGCAGTAAAGCTCACATAACCCACAGTTATACGCCTTTTAGAATGTTCTTATTGCAATAAAACCCACGATGAAAGCCTCAACGAATGCAGTTAAGTTCAAACAACTTACGATGATAGTCCTTTCATATATTTTAATGATTACATATAATGTGTACACATATTTGCAGTACATATTTTACATATTCTTCGATGTTTGAAAATTGTTTTATACGCATAATTATATACATATATATAATTTCACTTAAATGTTTCAACATACAGGATCTTTAAACACTAAGTATAAGTTAGATTTTATTGAGCGATCATTTTAACAAGGTCACTCCCTACGGGGTCTCTTCGTTTTGGGTTCTTGATTGTTAAAATTTCTCCAAATGAACAGTAACATATACAAAGGGAGAAAAATCATGAAACAAAAATGAATGGCACACTATTCTCCCGCTAACCAGTTCATCACACTGACTATTCACCCATAAACTGTTTCTTCCCGGGTTTCTTCCCCGGACAGTTCTTCTGTTAATTTAAAATATAATCAGCTATCCCTCCAAAAAGATATTTATCAATTATTTATTTTCATCTTTTTATAAAGGTATTTTATTATTATTTGTTTTCCAATATGATATGAAGTATTGGAAGTGAAGGCAACTTTTCCCCCATAGATTTACTACATTTACAAGTTGTACATAGATGCATGAACCAAGAATCTTTTAAGAAGTCATGTAGAATCTAATTAAGACTGTTCAAAGTAAAAATCTTGCAGAATATATTATAATATTTTTTTCATATGAAAAACATATGAAAGTTCACATATATTTAACATATGAAAACTTATTCATATGAAAAACATGTGATACCATGAGTTTAACATATGTTTGTTGACACATGTTTTTCATATGGTCCTGTTTACATATGTTAATCTTACATATGAAAAACACATGTTCTTAAACACATGTTTTTCAAAACACACATGTTTTACATATGGAAAACATATGGAGTACCAAACATACAGCAAACATGTAGTGCACATTTACCTGTGCACACCTGCGCCACCTCAAAACAATGCCAATTAATTTCATGTTACATCCAAATATCCTGTATTTTGTAAAACAAAACAGAAACAACAAAATAACTAAACTATACATACATACATACATGCATGCATGCATGCATGCATGCATACATACATACATACATAACGTACGTACGTACGTACGTACATACATACATACGTACGTACAAAATGATTCATTTGAATACTCGATTGATCCGGGGTCATATTTTCAATAAAGAACATTTAAAGCTTCTTTGAGACCATACATCAGTCTTGCAAACTTTAAATTATGTCGTTTCACTTTTTTTTATAAAGGGTATTCCAGAACACTTTGCTCTTTAAATATATTTGTCATTGAAATATGAAGAGATGTCGTCAGAATAACATTTACGCAGCATTTGTCCTTATAGTTGTTTTTTTAAAACGTTAGTATTGCATAAGTCTTCTTCAAGGTTAGGATTGCTTACAAAAAATCCAGACTATGTGACTACGAAGTGTGAAGGAAAAATATGGATCTCATTATTTCTCTGCCATTTGTCACAAATGCATTTCCGTGAGATAGTCGACTTTTGTCATTCAATTCTATAGTGTATTATTATAATTGAAAAGATGTTTTGACTACAACATCAAAATATTCACACAATACCAAATTTTGAATAAAAAAATTACATCATGTATTTTATAAACAATCATTCTTTTCATGTCGTAAAAAAAGATTTGAAAAAAGAAACGAAACGAGGAAAAAAAATCAGTGTCCAAAAGAATTGACGGCAGTTGTAATAAGATCTTGGTTTAGGGCCTTTATGTTTTTCAAGTACAAAATATACACATAAACGAATTGACTTTCGCATAAACGAATCTGAAATAATTTTCAAAAAGGATATATGCGCTGTTAAATAAATATGTACGGATTAAGAATTGTCTTCCTTTTCCTTTGTCTGCAAATGACACAGGGATGGTTTTTTTTCGGTTTACCAGAGTGTCCATCTATCATAACCAGAGCACAGTGGGGAGCACGAACGGCAAAAAGTACAACGCGGATGACGTCTACTCCAACGTATGTAGTAATACACCACGGCGCTGGAGCTAGATGTTTCACACGTGAAAAATGCCAAAAACTAGTTCGATACTACCAGAATTTACACATGGATACCAATGGTAAATTATGAATACATTTATGTTTTGAAAACTTTACTTTTTATCACATGATATATTAAGATCACATCTCTGACTGACGTATCACGCTGCGTTTTACTAATAAAATTTGGTTGAAGAATAAATAGGTTATTTAAGATTATTTTCTACAATATTGTTTCTTTTTCCATAATGTGCATTTGTTTGATTATTCCCGTATTGTACAGTTGAATGTCAAATAATCTATAATTATTGCATAGGAAGCACGTCACAAACCCGCGTACGTTCAATAAATTAGTATATATGTATTCATGTAATTATAAATAATGCAATCAAGATTTTATAATCTGTATCTCGTTAAATGTATGGTCCTTAATTAAATGTATCCACGAATGAAATGGGGACTAGATATTTTGTTTGAGTTCCAATTTCAATTTGTAAATATCATTTAAGCATGTATTCACTTTCTTTCTCTACAATAATCTTTTGATAAAGATGATAGGCAACGAGTTGAAACACGTGAGTAACTTTTACCTTATGCATGTTTATCTATATAATTATTAATGTATTTTTTTAGAATGGGATGACATTGGTTATAACTTCATAGTTGGCGAAGACGGCAACGTGTACCAGGGAAGAGGATGGGGAATAGTCGGTGCGCATGCTGGATCCCGTTCCATCAACAAAGATAGTTTGGGTCAGTAAGCTGGCTATTATGGCACTTTTAAATTAGGCGTAAACCTTTGATAAAACACCCTGATTTCACAAAAAAAATGTTAGTTATATAGAATAACAATAGCGCACTCCTCTTTTTACATTTGCACATTATCTAACGAGATATTCTAATTATTTAACTATTTGATATCTTTCGCAGTCACTTTGAACCAAACTAGGAGTTATATAATCTTAATATTGAAAAGATCACACTCTTAACAGTTAACGAGACATTTTCAGTACATCTGAATTTTCATGTTGAATATTAATGTAAACAGATGATGTAATTTAAGCAAATTTAAATGTGCCGACATGGATTCAATACTGCACGTCTTTGTTTTGTGAGGGGTGTGTGTAGGGTTGTACGAATGTTTATCGAATCATTATAAATTAACACCCCTATTAAAGATTTTATCTCGGAAAATAGATAATAACTTGCTGTAGTATAACATCAAATAAATGATACCTTTTTATGTAATATACTATGATGGTTTGGCACTGTGTATATTAAAGTTTAACTTAAAAGAATTACCATTCTCGTGTAATTCAGGTATTTGTGTGATTGGAGATTTTAGTAAAAGTGTACCAAACCAGGCTGCACAGAATGCGGTAAAAGATCTGATATCCTGTTCTGTAGCTCGGAAGAAGCTATCGTCATCATACAGACTGCGCGGTCATCGTGACGTGAAAACCACAGCATGCCCTGGGACAAGTTTCTACAATGTTATTCGAACATGGAAAAATTACTAACTCAATATTCCTGTTTTGTCATACTGGTTACTGAATGAACTTTGACTTTTTTCTTATTTTATTCCAGTTGTCTGATTGGATACATCGATCTTTTTCCCTAGAAGAATGCCATGTCTGTTCTTTAGGTTAAGAAGTGCATAAAAAGTTTGCCATTCTTGTACTTTTTTAACAAAGTTCCACAATCAATGCACCAATAAATAGCTTAAGCAAATGAGACAGTCCTTTTGTGTAAGAACTTTCCGTCCTCAAACCATGTAGGTCCAAGTAAAAAAGTAAAGCATTATTATTTTCACTACCTTTAGCCACAGATACATACAATATATTAGTTCTATGCTTTAGCTGTACTGTTCATCAACATTATCCCGAAGTCTTTTCAGTAACCTGTAGTAATTTTATCGGTTTATCAATTCCCTACTAAGCCATGCATGAGATATTTCGCAGGAAATGCGTGCGACATTCGCATGACATACACGTACAAGGATCTGAAACCTCGCGCGAGTTTTGTCGCTAAAATTCGGAAAATTTGTGTCTCAAACAATTCGCCAGGTGACGCAGTTCAGTGTGACACTATCCTTAAACAAGTTTGATTTCGACTGTTAACAATTACTCAAGCACACCACGACAAAATTTTATGTGGTGTTAGTAATAGCCTGGATTGCCAGTCACTGATGTTACATGCTACTATATAGTTGTTAGACAGAGGGGTCTTATCAATTCAATTGAAATAATGTTAAAAACAAGTCACCACCAAACATGCATCACGTTAGTGCTTTTCTTTTTTTTAAAGTTAAACACATTAGAAGAATATTAAAAAAAACTGCCTTCAACAAAATGTAATTCTAATCATATTTGTCATTGATGTGAAAATGCGCAAGTATTTGAGCTACCAATCATCCTGTTAAATTTCGTAGTGGTATAAGAGCAGTAGTCTGGTCAAACTTTAAAAATCAAAATCATTAAAGGGCCATAACCCTCACAAATATCATCGAACGGAAAAATGTAAACGATATGCAAGACTAAACTTAGTACTGATCATTCCTTTACTGATGAAATTGCATCAGTAGTTCCCAAGTAGTCTGGACAAGCTTCTGTGTAGCTTGCATTGACAGGACAAAACACCTTTTTTATTTCAAGGACTATATCTCAGCCAAAAATCATTCAACCGGAAGACCCATGTTATATGCCAAAGGACTTGAGCTACTTATCAGACATTTAAAGATTCATTGCTATTGCATTAGTAGTATAAGAGGAGTAGCCCACACAAATTTTAAAAATAACAAGAGCATTCAGATAACGTGTCGCCTCTTAATAGCTAATTGCAAGTTGTAGGTTCTGTGTAGCAGGAGACAAAAAATCAGTAACAGGGTAAAGCGCGCTTTTATTCAAGGGCCATTACTCAGCCAAGTCATTCAACCGAAAACCCCATTTAATATCCACAAGTACTTGAGCTATCAATCCTGTTAATTTTCATTGAAATTGTATTAGCCCTATAAGATAAGTCTTGACAAATTTTAACAAGAGCACCTCTAGGCGGAGCATTATATGCCCAAAAGTGTTTTTTGTTGTTGTAAGGATGAAGCATTTGTAAGACATTACATAAATTAAATAAAGTATTTCCTCTTTCAAATAACAATCCTCCTATAAAGTTTGAATATTGTGGGCCAAATGGAACTTAAGTTATGCTCTGGAAACTGTTTTCAGTTTTGAGGTAATAGTGACCTTTGACCTTGTGATCCCAAAATCATTAGGGGTATTCTACCCAATATGGACAATCATCCTGAAGTTTGAATATTGTGGGCCAAATAGACCTTAATGTATGCTCAAGAAACTGTTTTCAGTTTTAAGTAATAGTGACCTTGACCTTTGACCTTGTGTCACCAAAATCAATAGGGGTCTCCTACCCAATATGGACAATCATCCTATGAAGATTGAATATTGTGGGCCACATGGAACTTGAGTTATGCTCCGGAAACTGTTTTCAGTTTTAAAGTAATAATGACCTTGACCTTGTGACCCCAAAATCAATTGGGGTCTTCAACCCAAATTGGACAATCATCCTATGAAGTTTGAACACTGTAGGCCAAATGGAACTCAAGTTATGCTCCGGAAACTGTTTTCAGTTTTAAGGTGATAGTGACCTTGAGACCCAAAATTCAATAGGAGTCTTCTACCCAATATGGACAATCATCCTATGAAGTTTGAATATTGTGGGCCATACTGAACTTAAGTTATGCTCCGGAAACCAAATTGCTAACGGACAGACAGACAGACGCCAGGGGGTATAACGTAATATGCCCGAAATATATGAAATGTAAAAATAAAAATCATTAATGGGCAACTGGAAACTTGATTCCAGTTTAATCTTTCCGGTAAACGCCTTATCACCGTGAATAAGAAATACGATAACAGATAACCTTGTAAATTGCTACAAATGCTGTTTCTACCTTATGATGCTTGTACAGCAATGAATATTCACTTCCACTTCGTTGATAAATGAACTTTCACTTTTTCTTTAGCTTAAAAAATTAACAAATAACAAAAACCAAATTGTATTTGCCGACGTGAATCGTTAGATATTATGTTCATGTACTTATGAAAGATAACACAAAGAATATGAAGCATTTCATTTAGTTTATTCTGTCATTAAACAACAGAACAGCAAATTTTCCAAATATCAAATTCATGTTGACCAAAAGAAAAGAGAAAATAATATACATGACAGAAAAGGAATACATTACCTGAACATTACTAGTTATGAACATCAATAAATAACAGAAAATATAAACATAGTATAGTAACAAAATGCATTTCCCAGGTATCCAGGACAACAAAAACATGTACTTATTGTCTAAACATAATCAACAATACTCATGATGAAAAATAGACAATTTTTTATTATTTATATACCTTCATCTTAACAGAATATGTAGAGTAGAATTCAACAAGTATATATTTCAACATATCATCACCACTTACTCTGTAAAACAAGAGACACAAGTGGAACTATAATCGCTTACCTGAGAAAAAAAGATAAGCATATAAATTAGATCTCAAGAAGTAACAGTGGATCAAGTCGATGAAAATGACCTCAGGGATATAATTTTGTATTAGTTATGCAGAGTACAACAAGGCAATGTTGCATGACAAACAGCAAAATACTTTGCCATAATTATACATGTAGTTTCCTATAAGAGATATAATTTCCTGTGCTGTTTGGTAAAAAACTACAAAGTGGTATGAGAAAAAGAATTAATTCAATAAACAGCCAATGATGATGGTGGACATTGGCGATCACAAAAGCTATAAGAGCAATCAATATTTGTCAAAAGGAGTTAAAAAGTAATTTTTTTCAAAATCACCCAAATATACATACATGTACTTGTATATACTATTCAACATCTACACATTATTAACAAATATATATCAGACAATACTGTATAACATAGACACAACAAAACATTTGATCAACTTTTGTTTGTACATATTTCATTAAGGACCAAAAAAACACACTTTATGTTTAAACAGCTAATAGCTAAAATGAACACATTGTAATGGTCAACAAATGTCAACATTAGCATTTCATTGCCTTTCATTATCAAAAGAAATTTATTGAAAAGAATCTATGAAAATAAGGGATATCTCGCTTAGTAATAAAAAAAATCTGAAAATATATTGCCTTCATGTTTTTTAGTGTTGCAGACACTGTAAAGTTACGTAATTGTATCTAGTATAACATAAATATTTGTATCAAAAACAGAATCAAAGCACTTCACAGTCTATGACCTACAACTCTTACAATCACTACACTTGATTATACTAACTCTACTGAATTATCAAATACTACCACAACAAAAGCTTAACAAAAATTCACAACAGTTTCCTAAATTCAAAATGTTTTTCTGTAAATGCAAATTATTTATTTATATTATCCCAATGATAAAAACAATCTAAAACTAGTCCCAAATGTGTTATAATGCAACATGTCCGAACATTTTATTAGTCTCATTTAATTGGAGTCTTTATGAAATAGCAAATTTGCAAGATCAACTACTGTATATACAGGAGTGTGGCATTTTTGTTTGTTTGTTGAGTAGTTGTCTGTATTAGTGAGGTTTATTTATTTTAAATGGTTGCTTGTGCTGGGTTATTATCAAAATAAATTGTTCAAAATACTAATAAATGTAAAAGAATCAATACAAAACCTTTCATGTATAATATTAAAATAAAACAACTAAATAGTTATGAAAGTCCTTCATTGAATAACTTTTGTACATACATGCAATGGATACTTCAATAAATAGACATCCCCCATTTATAATTAATTACTTGAGAATAAATTTCATTGTTAGTTTATCATTTATAATAATAACCAAATTTAAGTTTGCAAAATAACGTGTAAAACTAGATCATCATGTTACCGTTTAATCATTTTTGAATATATTTAGATGTTTAGTTGTTTCACAGAATTCTATCTCAGCAGCATATTATGGTTAGACGAGTTTAGACGAGTAGTGCACTATCACTTATAAAATCAACACTTTTTGACAAAATCTATAAATAAAGGTCAACATTGTATAATGAACTGAACTTCCTCAAATTTAGTAAAAAAATAAAGCATGTCAAAGAGTAGTATAAATCACAATGATATTAATACCAATTACATACAATAGGAATTTTGACTTTTTTCTTTAAATTGCACATACGAAAAATTCAAAATATACACTTTTATTTAAAGGAACTCCATTGAGGTCCAAAGCCTTAAAATATATTATTTGAATTGCTAACAAATATCACCATGAACACTTAAAACAGAAAGATGTACAAAAGATAATAAAAAAAATATACTAAAAATAAATTGAAAATCATATTTTTGTGTTATTTTCACCACAATTTTGAGTGAAAAGCTCAATTTTGGGTCATTTTCCACATTTAGAATAATTATTCTAGAAAAACGGAGTGAGCAAATGATCTGAAATTTAGCACGTAAGTTATTGGTCTAGACCTATATCTAAATGGAACATTAATCTCAAAAAATCCTATTTCCAGTCCCGTCATGTCAGTGTTGGTTAATACATTAATCAAAATTCCTGAGATGGTCAAATAATGACTATTTCAAATATACTTGTATCAAAATAATTGACAGTGTACGTCTCACTCACTGGCCGAATTTTGAGCATTTATCAATTCACTTAGCCCTTAACCTACTGGAACTGAAATTAAATAAGCATTTACCACCAGTATAGAGCCAGGCCAGAATGCGCATCCATGGAGTCTGATAAGGGTCAAATACTGTTAGTAACTAGATGTTTAACTTTTATTACTGAAATCCCTTAAATCTTAAATGGACTCTCCTAAATTCAATGCAGGGCAATTTCATTATCATACATAATTCAGCAGGTTAAGACAATCAGTAAAAAAATATTGTTTCCTGTTATTAAAGATATTTTTTTTCCCAGAGACATAAAATTTGGGGTAAACTGGTTAACCTAGTTAAGATATGCTAAGTCCAGTTAAGTTACATGACTTGGCGGGTCACTGTGACACATAAATCATACAAGTAATTTGAAATACATGTACTTTGTAAAAAAATTGAGTTTACAGTATAAAAGGCCATCACTCTTATTTTCTTATGGAATCTTGCTTAGTTATGCTTACAATTTACTCTGACAAAATAGGTGACTCAGTTCTGCACTCTACATAAACAAAAGTAGATTTTCTGTCCTCAAATATAAATCTAGCATTAACACAAATAAACTATGTACTCTTGTTCTATGTTATAAAAAAATCTGACAAAAGCAGCTTCATCAGTATAAATTACTGTTAGCTCTAAACATGGACACAAAGTGATAAGCCTTTGCCACCAGTATTTTGCATTTTGGCATAAAATCCCTAAAAATATTGAATAGACTGCTCTAAATTCAAAGCAGAGAAATTGCATTACAAAATTTCAGCAGGTTAAGATCAGCAAATGTCTTAACATCTTAGTCGCTAACATAAAGCCATTCAACATCTAAGAAGTAATAGAGACTGTGTACATATTCAGCAGGTAACTTAAGAGAGAACTAAACCAAACTTGTATAACTTGCATATTAAAAATGAAAAGAGAAATTAAACTATCCTGTACAATTTTTCTTAACTTACAAAATGGATTGTTAGATTTCATGGTAACAAAGTGTTACAATCCATTATTAATATAAATAAATAAGAATTTAATTTAAAGAATCAACACATGATTTCACTTAAAATTATAAATCAATAAATATATTTAATAAATATGTATGTATATATAATTAATTTTTGACTTGATTTTTTGAGTGTGTCTAAAACATCTGCTATGATGTTACTGTTCTTGATTGTTCTGCCTTTATCTTAGCCGCAATACTCGATGTGTACTGTTTAAGGCGAGCTTCCATACTCTGAAAATTTAAGAAAAGCATATCATAATCTTCTTAAGATAATTAACTATGTTTGAAGAGAAATTTTCACAAACTGTTAATCTAAATTAAAACATAGTTGAAGAGAAATTTTCACAAACTGTTAATCTAAATTAAAACATAGTAGCTACTTCAAAAATTTATCGTTTTAAGTTAGGTTTTAAGTCACATAGATTCTATGAACATCATACTAGTTTCCAGAATAACTGTCACAGTGTATTTCAAGCCAAGAGGACACACAAATAGAACCACTTCCATTAGCTGACTACACAGCTTCCCCTGGATTTCATATCCTTAATGATAACTTCACACTTTAGCAACTGTTACAAGACTTACCACTTGATTCAAAGTATCTAATTATCATAATAATCCCATAAAAATATATTTAACAATTTCGTGGTCAAAATAGCAACCAGTACTAATCTGTCATAACTTTATGCAAAAGTCACATACCTCTATCAAAGCAGTCTTATTATAATCTTGTCTGTGCTCATAGACACATTGAGCAAACAGTGTGTACAGTTTCTCCAACCGTGGAATAATATAGTCCTCCGTCAACAGAACGGTGAGATCTAGAAGTCTAACAAGACGCTCCCTATCTATAACTAATGGTTGCTTTAACTCATTTATAACTTCAACAGCCTTTTCTTGAGCTCTTGTTTGTACACGAGATCTTGTTACATGGACAATAGGGGATGCTGTACAAAAGAAAATGATAGACTTCATATTACACTAGCGCAGGAGATTTTTTTTTTAAAATACAGTTCATTCGAAGTAATGTCTGTATCAGTAGTTTGGCGAACTGGAGTGGTTTTTTATTTAACACTTAGGCTGCTGTTAGCACATGGATCTTAGTCAATCTACCCATGTGACCAGTGCAGATTAAGCACATCTGTGCCATCTGTTCATGGTTTTCACTGTTCGCTATTTAATTAGTACTTATTTTCAAAAATTTCCCCAAAACTGATGAAAGAGTTTGTCTACAATAAAAGATGGACAAGTCTTTTTCAGATATTAAGTGTAATCAGATATGAAGTGTAGTGAAGGTTAAAGAAATTGTAGATATATAAACAAACACCTGCCATTACTAAAAATTCAAAATGAGAATGACTTACTTTCTTTCTCTGGGGAATTTCCATCTAGATTGCTCTGATTATTTTGTTCTGATGTTCCCTGAAACAAGAACAACGCCTACATTATGTAAAAAATTTCATATGGTGAGCATGCAAATAAACATTATTTAAATTTCAATAAACTCTCATGCATAATTAACAAACCTGTTTATATATGATAAGAAATAAGAGGAAAAAACCCTTTTATGACAAATGGCATTCTATTATAATTTATATATTTGAGTAAACAACTACTTTGACAAAATGCAACTAACGAAAACTATACACAACTTACAGCGAAGATAAGTTACAAATCTATAAAATATCTTAATATGTGATGCACTAATGCATCTTTATGTAAACTATTTATGCAAATTTTTGATACTTCCCTAGAATATAACTGTGTGTGTTACATATTGATTTTCTGGTAGACATTGTTAAATTATTACTTTGTTTTGTTTTTTTGGGGGGTGGGGGTGTGGGAAGGCATATTTTACGCTTCACATTTCTCTACTTAACTTATTTAGAGAATTATTTGCAAATTAAACATGTCTTTGGATATAGACTGAAATGGACTAACCTGGGCAGTATTGTTAATTGTTGTGACCTTGTCACTGTTATCTGATGACGTTGTAAGTTTACCAACACTGTCATTAGAGTCTCCATTGTCAGAACTACCTACTCCACTATCTACAAAACCATTTAACAAAGATTTCACCTTGTCTTTATCTATTGATGAAGGCACTTGTTTCTCAGAAATGCTAACAGATGATGATTCCTGACTGTCTACCACTTTAGTTGGAGAAATTTGCTTGGGCATTTTATCGGGAGAGTTTACAATGTTTCTAGGGGATTTTTGTTCTGTATCAGGAGCTGATACATTCTGTCCATCATGAGATCTTGATACCCGACCACCTGATGTGTGTCTCTGAGTCATGTAACCAGGATCTGAACGAGGGGAACGTGATCTACTAGGAGATTCATTCTGAGATCTAGAACTTGAGCGAGGTGACTTTTGACTTTCACCTCTCGGTGATCTTTGATTAGGAGATTTTGCACTTTCTTTTGGTGACTTCATATGAACATCAACACTTAAACAACTAGTTATGGGCTCTCTATGCGGTGATTTGTTTTCAGCAGATTTATCTGTAGAACTTCTCCTCGGTGAATTCTTAGTTTCCCGTCTTGGTGAGACATGCACTGTCCCATCAGGTGCCATCTCCTCTTCAACATCCATTTCTTCATCATTCTCCTCACCAACACTGTCCACATCTTCATCAACATCATTGTCATCATCAGGTAACTCCTTAAAATCGTCATCATCACTATCCAACCGCTTTCTCTTATATCTTCTCTTTCTAGACCTATAACTTTTACTTCCCCAGATATCTTTCTTCACTGGCTTTTTGGCGGAAGATGATTTTGAGCTAGAGTAATTTTTATTCCCTGAAGTTGAACATCTAGATGGCTTTAAACCTGAGCTGTCTCTGGATGTTGGAGTATTCTTTTTGAGTTGTCCCTGAGGTGTTGCGTTGTCCTCCTGCTCCTTTGACGGAGACTTCTGGAGACGCTTCAAGGCCCGTGCAGATTTTTCTACATCTTCCAATGAAGGGCCGTTATCTGCTTCAGCTCCCTGCAGTCGTCGACTAGTCCTGACATTTAGGTCCCTTGGAGTGTTATTATTCGAGGTAGATTGTTTAGTGATGGCAAGAGGATGCATTGGCCCAACATTGAGAGGTTTTGTGTGGTAAAAAGATGGTGCTGTCTTTGTTCCTTCTTCACCTGTAAACAATACAAATAATATGTTGCATTATCCCAAAATCATTCTTTGTTAAAACTGAGGCCAATAAACACTACTGACCAACCATAGTTAGTTTGTTCTCTCTGTCAGTAACAGGTTCTTCATACATATCCACATTTGAAGGAAATGGTTTCAGACTGATGTAAAAATTCCTTAAATGGACGTTTGTATGTTCTTGATTTGTATACAGATATTTGTGACCATTCATTTCAATAATACATAACAGGTCAGTCACTTAGCAATGAATAACTCAAAAAATTTCTAAAGAAAAGCTGAGGAAAAATTACTTACCCCTCACTTTTCTAGATTCTACAATACTTTCACATATTTTCTCAAAATCTTTGTCTAATTCTGTTTTAATGATAGCATATGCTGTATCTTTCAGTGCACACGCCCTATGTCTTATTACTCTACCTGAAAACCACAAAATATAACATAGTATTTATTTTACAAACTAGTTATGTATCCTATCCACAGGACAAACAGATGCCCCTGACTTTTTAGTCTACAGACAAGTGACGGAAACAAAGGGAAATCTGTATCTGCCCCCTACTCAAAAGTTGGGGCATAAATATGTTTGTTTGGGTTTTAGATCATACAATGTTTAGCTCATATGACAACTTTCCAGGGGTGGGGGTACTAATGCATTTAGATTCATGCGTAGTAAGATACTACAGACCTTTAATCTTATGTATTACTTATTTCATTTTTGTTGTATTAATTAAATTTCTTTGAAAGATAAAGGATTTGAAAATTGCTATGTCAAGTATATTCATAAATAAATTTCCAACTGAAATATTAAATTTTTTAACATTCAGGAAATAATTATTAATTCTTATTTATGTATGTTACTATAAGTGTAAGAAAGTAAAAGTACTTTGGGGATCTTTATCTGGATTATATTCCAAAGCGTTCATGCAGATTTGTTCAATATCGGCTAGGAATTCCTTTACTGACTGGTAATGATGAAGATCTATCTTAGACATCATTGTTGACAAGTCCATTGGTTTCTTAATGATGTCATAGTAGTCTGGTACCTGCAGCAACATAAACAACAATTTTGTTAGTATTAATGATTATTTGTAGCTTCAATAACAGTCATATGCAGCGATTAAAAAGATAATAATTTCAGAGCCACTTGTACTGTAGGACAAGAAGCTTCAAATTTCTACTCATGCTGCATGCTATGCTACTCGTCTGACATTTTATGCATGATTTTTAAGATAAACTTAGCCAATACAATAGACAAAGATATTACAATTTCGATCTCTTCTCGTACATATGAGCTAACAAGAGCCCGGTTTGAGCCAAGTGATGCTCCCCGAATAGGTTTTGGACACAGGAAAGAACACCTCTTGTAGTTTCAGAGTTATGTCCCTGGAAAAATTTCAAAGTGCAATAATTCCAAAATTAGGCAAGGCAGAGTTACTGTTCTTTGCAGTGCACTTCTAATCACAGTGATCTATAAACCTACAAAGTTTCTTGTTGATATCTCTAATGATTTCCGAGTTATGTTCCGGACAACTTCAAAAAGTTAAAATAAACAAAGGGCAATAACTCCAGAATTAGGCAAGGCAGAGTTATGATTCTTGTGCACTACACATCTACCCATTGAGATATATCTACCTACAAAGTTTCATGTTGATATCTCTTATAGTTTTACAGCTATGTACAGTACAAGATTTTTCTAAAAGGGGAGATAATTCAAAAATGAGGCTTAACAGAGTTATGGTTCTTTTGCACTGCACTTCTACTCGATGAGATCTATCTACCTACAATGTTTCATCTTGATATCTCTTATAGTTTTAGAGTTATGTTCCAGACAAAGTTCAAAGTGTTGAAATTAACAAAGGGCAATAACTCCAAAATAAGGACAAAAAGAGTTATTGTTCTTATGCACTGCACATCTACCCATTGAGATCTATTCACCTACAAAGTTTCATGTTGATATCTCTTATAGTTATAGAGTTATGCCAGACTTCCCGAAATACGTTGGTCCGACGGACATGTCAAATAAATTTTTATTAGGTCCGACAATTTTTTATTCCGGATCGGTCCGACATTTATCCAAGTAGCATGTATACAAAATTGCGCGGCTAAAGGTACCAAACGTGGGAAAAAACTTAAATCTACGTCAGAGGAGCGCGCAGAACAGCAGTAAAAGGATGAAAAGAACAGACCCGAGACAAAATTTAATGAAAAATGGAAGCAGGATTGTGACTCGTTGGTGTATAACAGGGAGGAGATGAAAATGCGCCGTACAGACTGTGCTGATTTTTACGGCAAAAAAATAAAACTGAAAAGTGTCTAAGAAATACAAAAACAAGTTTTCCTTTGATTTTGATTAATTTTATTCGGTCTGACATAATTTATTTCGTTTCGGTCCGATAGATTTTCATGGTTTGTCAGACCGAATGTCTGACACTTTTTTTTAACTTTCGGGAAGTCTGAGTTATGCCCCGGACAAGATTTTTCTAAAAGGGGAGATAATTCAAAAACCGGGCAAAATAGACTTATGGTTCTTTGACACTGCACTCCCCCTTAATGCCCTCTACCACTGTATGAAGTTTAAACAAATTATCTCCAAGGGTTTTCAAGTTATGCTCCGGACAAGACAACGGACGGACAAGGCGCCGACTATATGCTCCCCCGAAATTTTTCGGGGAGCATAATAAGAGGGATTTTCGATTCTTGATCTGGATTACATATTCTCTGACGAGGTGTAATAAAAATTTATGCTCATAAAAGAGTTTTTTTTGTGTGTTTTGGTTTTTTAAGTCGCCCTGACACTAGAATTTTCCAGCTGCACTGAGAGAACGAGAACCTCTTCCATGCATTATTTCAAACACAAGCATGAACCTCAATAAAGCCACAATCTTCTTGATAGATACATTACATGATAGAATCTAAAACCTTGCCCAAAATTCCAATACACAATGGCAAGGAGAAGTAATATGTAGTCAGTTTTCCTTAACCACCTACATATAAAAGTAACAAAAGTACAGCCATGCAATTTCTATCAAATAGTGTTTTTCATTCAATACATACATCTTCAATATCAACTGGTTTAGTGAAGATGAAGAATTTCCTATCTCTGCCTAGCTTGTTGAGTGTATCCCTGAGGAAAAGACGAAGTTCTGTCAGAGTTGCTTCCTCATGTTCGTGCAATTTTTTCAGCTCTTGTTCCGTCAATTTTCTAGGTTCTGGAGGTGGTGCTTTTGGAAGAACTTCTAATAATCTCTGAGCTGAAAACAATCAATATGACTTTGGGAATTACTCTCAAGAATTTTACAAACATATCAGACAAATTTGTATGTTTGTTTTGTTTGGTTTTACCCTGCACCATTTTTTTGCCATCTTTATCAATTTAAGATAAGGCATTTAATGACTCTTGGCAGGCCTAGAATTCACATTTCACTTTATAATGCAGCTATAAACATAGATGTTCTTGTTTCAAGAACTATAAAATATAGACTAATTCATTAACTTTTTATGCTAAATTCTTTTATTAACAAAACTCTGCATATAAGAAAACATGAAATACCTGCAACTTTCCTCTGAACAGGTGGTTTTGTAGCCTGGTTTAACAAGAGATCTTTGAAGAAGTCCCTCCTCTCTTCTTCCTTTGGGTTTCTCATCGTAACAACTTCCCCATAATGTTCATCAAACAAGTCTTGAAGCTAAAATTCAATATGTCTGTAGTGAATGTTTCATTCTCATGAATTTAACATTCAAAATATATACAATTGTATCCTTAGCAGTGTTTAATCACCTCATTTTTCATAATTTCTTACATCAAATAATTTCAATTATTTCTTAAATCAATTAACGTTTAATTATTTTTTATATCACCTCATTTTTAATTATATCAAAAACAATTTTAATTACTTATTAAATCACCTCATTTCTAATAATATCATAAACATTTTTCATTAATTATTTAGTTCTTATATTCAATTATTTCTGATATCACCTTTGATTCATTTCTTAAATCATCTTTTATTCAAAATTACATTTTAAATCAAATTATTCTTATTATTTCTGAAATCATATCACTTTTAATTATTTATTACATCAAATCATTTTAATTATTGAAGAAATTGTAAAATTAAAATTTTCCAATGAGAAACATGATGTTGAGCTCAAAATGGACATGCCTACCATATGAGATATGACTAAATTCTTAACTGTTTACATGGAACTATCCTTTACTTTTCTTGTGAAACTTCTAGATTAGTAAGAGCATGGTCTATAATTTGCAAAACCCAAGTTCTAATTTATGAACATTCAAAATAAGGTGTATATAAAGAATAAATTACATCAAAGTCTAGATGACTATAATCTTCCTCACTGGTAGCTAGTAGTAAGACAGGTATTGAGGGGTCGAGGTCACGTATCAAGGTCAACACTGAAGCTTTCACAGTGTCCGAGACAACACTCCACCAATGATTCACATGTGGCATATATATAATACTGGGAGATGAACGTTTTGCTTCACGAAATATCTGAAAAATATAATTATAAGTTGTCCATGTAACAAAAACTGTCTATGTTCTTATATTAAGAAAATAGTTATCAATTTTGATAGTGATGTTGTAGAATAACATATGGTTGGAGTTCAAATGCACATTAGTATAATCCAGCAGGCCTGAGTATTTTTTTGGCTAACCTCAGATGTTACTAACTTTAAGCAACACCTAGGGTCGAAACCACCTCACCATCTGGAGCTAGGAAATGCAAAGACTCAATGCAAATGCATTTGAACACATTTTGTCGCCTCTTAAGATCACACAACGTTAAATGGTGGCTGCAATTCTGATGCCTGAACCTGTAAAGACAACCCCTCAGGCACAAGGGGCTTGGCCTGAGTGATTAACTGATAAATCACAAAGCATTTGAACAATAAACCATGCATTTTTGTACTAAAACACAAGAAAAACGAAATCTATGTCCATTCTTTCGTGCTAATAGAAAGAATTGATCAAAATTTGTTAAGCTACATTGAGTAGGGAAGCAATGTTCAAAATTTTAGTTTATTGACATCAAATCTTATGTGTACGCATTACTGTTCTTATGCTGTGAATATATTTATAAAATGCAAACAACTGCCCTGACTGTTTAACAAAGGAATATTGCATGTGATTACCCTGGCTGCTTAATAAGGGAAGAGTGCAAAGTTTGTTAGAATAATTATCATTGCTATGTATAAATTAAAATGATATCTAAGGACAAAAAACTTAAAGAAAACTTTTAATCAGAAAGTAATTGAACTATGAGAAGTTGGTCATCATACCAAAGGCTTTTTGACGTTGTTCTGCTCTTTACCATTCATCTTAAAGTCAAGATAAACACTTTATTTTAAAGGTAAGTGCTCTTACACATATAATCAACACTTATATAATTTAAATTATATAAAATACACTACATAATCAAACATACATGAGCACAAGATTCTTCAGGTGTGCGAGCCTCTACAGCATATAATGTAGAGAGATCTAATGTGTGAACAGGTAACTGCTCTAGATGATGTATTATGGCAGGAGCTAGATATGAAGATTGTCCCTGATCATTTCTCCCTGATAGTAAAACACGTGGTCGATGTGTACTAGGATGACGATATGCATAGCTGAAAATATAAACCTCCTTACATAATTCCTACAATAGGCTTTTCTTTTAGTACCTGTGTCTTGAAGTTAGAGCTATTGAAAGAAAACATAAACTAATATTGCAGGGCTCTTTCTTTAAAGATCTAAATAACAAGAGGTGTCAGTAAGATTCAAGTAATCTTAGTGCTTGATTTCAAAAAAAAAAGAACATGAATAATGTAGTAAGATTTCACTTAAATACATGACATAGTTAAGAGCTTTGGATAGTGACACAGATATTTAATAAGTTCAAAAATTGAAAGGCCATATTTCATCATAAACAATGCCAAAAGTAATGGGTCCTGAATAGTGAACTCCTATTATGATCTGAAAGACATATGTAAAGTTACTAGCAAATATATAAAGTAGCTGATGAGATAAATAATGCAGATGTACAATGAAACGACGACAACATGTCCCAATATTCTTCAAACAGTCAAGCTTAAAGTAGCTATTATGGTTTTTTATCAATGCCGAAAGAGAAATCTAATAACATTTACAACTACAGCTGTCCATAAAAACTATTAAGCGATGTATTAGGACAACCCTAGTACAGTACTTCAATAACATGACATTCAATATACCTGGTAAAATTGAGGAAGGTTTCTGGTAGTTCTGGAATGTTTGAATTTTTCCTTCTCTTATCTACCTTGTGTTCATAAATGTTTACATCCCTCTCATCATCATCGCTGCACAATTCTCCCTCAACATCTACTGTATTGTCAGATTTCTCTGTGACTGATACAAACAAAATACATTCAAGTCAAGTCAAGTCATACAAATATTTATAAGGAAATGTATTATGTATTACTCTACAATTCTTCATTGTTTGACAATAAAAAGATTCATTTCATATAGGACATGATAAAGTGAAAAACTGTTTCATAAAAGAATGTTGTGGACTACTATGGACATAGAATTTCTTAAGAAAAAGAAGCTATCTTGTTAGCCATGGTTCTTTTTAAAGGATCTGCTAATGCCTGAAATTACTCCCAGACAGGCATCTGGTTTCTTCCTTAATCTGTAACACTGGAAGTTCCCTATATGACAATAACATACCTTGTTTGATTTAAATCTTAGATAAATAAATGATTTAATGCGGATGTTCTTCCACCTGAAAAGCTTGAAAAATGGTCTTAAACAACCAATAAAACAAAATACCCTAATAAAATAGTTTCTTACCTTGAGCATCAAGATTTGACAACTGAGTTAGAATTGATGGAAAGATTCTGTTCAACTGTTTAAGAGTCTGTTGATATAAGTTCAGTAACAATGGGAGAATCTTGACTGACAAAGACCTAGCTGGTGAAGTCACAGATCGCTGTGATGCCGGCACAATAGATTTCATAGCATTATGGAAATCTTTAGCATTGATGTAAATTGAAGTAACATCAATCTGCAGTTTTTCTGAGGATGTGTAGATCTGTGGATACCTTCTCCTTAATGCAAGCAATGCCACCTCTGTACATAATGCTTTCATATCAGCACCACAATATCCTGAAAATTATCATCAACGTTACATGATATATGTAGATATAATTAAATTTTGACATCTAAAATTTATCTATGATACTTATATGCAGTCAGATAACAAAAACTATTTCACAAAAGACAACCATGCTTGTTTTACTTTATTTCCAATTTAATAAATTCGTATCTGGTGAAATATTGACAAAAAAGCCAATAAAGGCATTTTAGAAGTTTATATGAAGCAGCATTTTACCTGTACATTTTTCTGCAACTTCATACAGAAATTTCTCACATAGTTTTGGATTCCACTCTTTTGTATTAATCTTTAAAATCTGCCTTCTAGCCTGAAATGTATATAAAGAGCTTGTAGTAAGATTTTTTGCATGAATAAGTATTTGCACTAACACTAAGTATATATCATGTAAATTGTATTATTCTTTTTTAAACAATGACAGAGTGAGAATTCTGTGCATCATGCCATGTTATTACAATTGACTAAAATGTCAGAAGTATTTACATCATACTGGCATCATAACACAAATTTACCTTAAATTATTCAACACCTACATATGTTGAACATTTGTAATTTTTGTTAATATAAGAATTTCTCCACCTAAAATATTATTCCTATTTATCAAACAGGTAAATTTTCAGAGTTGATTTAAGTGTTTTCAAAAATTACATTTTTTTAACTTCAACTGTTGAAATAACTTCATATACAAAATTTCATAGATATGCTGGTAAGTTGACAAAGGCATTTTTGTTATAAAATGGCTTAAGTAAAAAAATCACCTTATATCGTTTACAAGTTCATGAAAGGCAATCAACTTTAAAATGGAAAACCTTTCACTTTTTGAAACTGTTTACATGAATTATAGGGAAAAAAAAAAAACATAACTAAAAGAAAGTATACCTGTATCGAAGGTAAAGGAAAGAGAAATTCTCTATCAAATCTTCCTGGTCTTCTTAAAGCTGGATCAATGGAGTCGAGTCGGTTTGTGGCCCCTATAACAACAATCTCTCCTCTACTATCTAACCCATCCATCAGTGCTAGCAGTGTCGAGACAATAGAGCTGTGAATCTGGTCCTGTCTACTCGATCTAACTGGTGCTAATCCATCTATCTCATCAAAAAATATAATTGACGGTCGTGTCTGGTATGCCTGGAAATAAGATTATAACAGAGTTTACTAACTTTTAAATGATAACTTGTAACTTGCCAATGTATCTATCAAATCTATTTGTCAATAATTTCTATTGCACCAGAAGTTGTCTTGGCTTAGCCTATTTTTAAAATCAAAGTTATTAAAACAAGACAGGATCAAGTTGCTTTGGTACTATAAAGGCGTTATGTTATAATGGGAAGATGATGAGAAGAGAAAGACCCTAGACCACTTTCTTCCAAGCTTTTGGAAACAATAGAAAAAGCTTCTTTTTTGCAAATTCTTACATTTTCTTCATTTGGAAAAATGCCATAAAACAAATAAAGTTATGAAAAAAATCATCTGTTTCAAAATTCTTCAAAGATATTAAAAATATAACAAACCAACAAAGAGGATAAAATATCAAAATTGACTGTACCTGATCAAACAGTAACCTAAGCTGTCTCTCTGACTCTCCGACCCATTTACTCAGACAATCTGCACCTTTTCTCATGTAAAATGCCACTCTTCTATCATCACTACTACATTCATTTGCCAGTGCTCGAGCTACCAACGTTTTACCTGTCCCTGTTTATAATACATCATGATGAAAAGTCTTACAGATTTGCCTTTCTTAACATAATAAATTATTTACCTCAATCTTAAGCCACAATCAGTTATTTTTTCAAATTTGTGGGAGAAAAGTTTTGATAATATTTTATTAACTTGTTTTCTTTTGAGTTTTTTTTTATAGTTGATTCTTGTTTTAACCATTAACTTACCATAAAGTTTAATAAATAGAGAGGTTATTCTTTGAGTACTCCTAAAATACTACAAAATCTATTCAAGCTCTATCAATTCACATAGTCAACTAATAATCAGAATATTTTCAACCAAACTTTACAATCCTGTATGAATGTAATAAATAAAGAAAACGGTTAAATACCTGGAGGTCCGTAGAACAGTACACCTCTAGGTGGAGATATCTTGAAGCGGTCAAATATTTCGGGATATAACAATGGGAACACGACCATCTCCTTCAAAGCCCGAATATGTTTACCTAACCCTCCAACACTGTTGAATGTTACCTGTATCAAAGTAATATCATATTTAAACTTCAGGAAGTAAATAATACATACTATTTAAGCTGAGCCAAAGACTTTTCAAGTGTCTGAATCTCAGGCAAGATTTGTGGATTTGAGCCTTATTGCAGTCAGGTCCATGTTCCCTCATATAACATTACCACTGATGAGTTCTAGTTTAATTTGCCTAACTGCCGTCTATTTTGAGATGTTTAGAATTTAGTTGTGTAATTATTAAGCCATAGGAGCATTTAAGAATAGTAAGTTTATTTATCAGCACATAAATGGTAGAGCATCATGTTATTTATGTTCTTTTTTTATATATATATTTTGTGGCTTTACATTATACTATTTCAGAAACATATTATTCAATGACGTATAAAGAGTACATTATTTTGTTAATGCACTTAAAGTTTTAGTTATATGTGCTAGATATACAATGTCATAATATACAATATCATACTGATTTATCTATGTTCATTGGATCCACATCAGCCAGACTAGAGCCAATCTTTTGACGATCTTTCAGCAATGTTGACCTTGAAATGTCATCAGGATCAAAATTCATCGGTAAACATCTGTAATAAATAAAATATATCACGCAGTCATATATTAATCTAAATATCTGAAACTGGGTTATGATAGCAACCTTAATCTGGACAATACCATTCATCATTTTTTCACGAAAATTTCAAAATTTGTACTGACTTAATGTCGAACAGTGCAGAACATGATCAGACAACATGGATGTGCCAGTTGATCTCTTGTCTGCATTGGTTTCAGTTGCTGCTTGCAACCTAAAGGTTTAATTGCAACATTCATTGACATTTCCAGACAGTAAATCTGGGAGAAACTGTTAATGCAAAACAAAGTAACATATACTTTTTCCTAATCATCAAAGTTTCACTGACCTTTGTCTGGCTTTGAGCATACTCTTCGCCTTCCTTCTCTGGAATCTTTCCTCATCACTGCTGCTGGAATCACTTGATGATGATGATGTGGAACTAGAACCATGGAATGCTCGACGTCGTCTAGAAACAGAAACAACATGAACATTTTCATTTTTAAACTCATCCAGTAAAGCAGTTGTTCTGAAACCTTAAAAAGGGGCATAATTGTCAAAACCCAAGACATGAGTTATATACTCTTGTCTACCAATGGATATGAGTCCTATCAAGAATTCCAAGTTTTCGAGAAACTGTCAATGAGCTCAAAGGGTGAAAGAGTGTGGGATAATACATTAATTTCATTACGGTAAATAAATGTGGGACATAGATGTCCATGAGATTAAGAAAATTGTTCCTATCATACACATATATCATACACATATAATAGCCTAGCCTTTTTAATATTACAAGTAAATTATATCATATATTGACAATATATGATTTTTTATATTTTTGACTTTGATCTGATGGAGAGATGAACATGACAATACAATAGCACTTTATTCTAAAAATGTCTTAAATTGACCTCACTTGCAAACACAACTGCAATCACTCTCTCACCTATTAATAGGACCTCTTCTTCTTCTAGCTGGTGACATGTAAGTCATTTTGTCTGGCCTAGTCCGGCGTCTCCTTTGTGGTGAATGAGGTGCTGGTACCTCATCACTGAAAAACCGAGTTGGAACACGTTGCCTCCTTTCTAAAATATACAAGAATATATAATCAGTTTACCACTGCCTTCATTAAATCCAAACTCCAATGATAACATTTTTGTCTCAGGTAAATTTGTGCTACTATTTAGGAAATTTTCACAAATACTACAAAAAGGAAAACAAAAATGCTGTATCCAGAAGTAATTTTAGTCTTAGCACTGATCAATGCCCTGTTAGATCTTTGTTTTGATAGTAATAAGTATCTGAGATTGATGCAGAAATATGACTACATTAGTTTTACATTAAATGAAATATATATTATGTAGCTGATCAACCCTCTCTGTAATCTCACTAGTTTTTAAAAGTAATTTGAAGCAAATATTTCACAACTATTCTAGAGAACATTAAACTGTATTTAAATAACCTTGAATTGGTGCTATGTAGTGTTGTGTCCGTGGTTTGTTTTCACGCAAATTGTAAGATCTTCTCGTCTTTTTTTCCTCTGATTCATTCTCATCATCATCGTCATCATCATCATTATCATCTTCATTTTCATCATTGTTTTCACCATTATCATCTCCATCATCAGAACTATCTTCTAGATAATGAATGTAATTTATACATGATTCATGATGATTGATATTTAAGATCAGCATAAACAGTCATGTGAAATGTATGAGTATTACTTCAATAATTATTTCATGTTCTTTCTAGAATGACTGCTATTAGTCAAAACATCTTAGAACTGTAAATGATTAAGGACACAAAACATATACAGAATTGAAGTAACTCTAAAAACTCGGAAATAAATTTAATTTTGGCCATTTACTAAATGATTTTCAAATACAGTTTAAGAAAACATATGGCAAAAACATTAATGGATATAAGACTTTGATACATGTCCTTTCAAGTATATCGGTTAATTCCGTATTAACATCAACAGATGTTTTTGTGGTGGCGTGGCCGTGTAGTTAACACTTCATACAAGTAATCTAAAGATTGCTGACTGTGTGGGTTCAAACCCAGTCAGGGGCAAGCCATTGTTTCCTTAAGCAAGAAACTTTACATTCATTGCTTGGTACTGGTTGGTTTCAGGAACAGATTCGAGAGTGTTTCAATAAGCTCATGGCTTCCAACACAATTGAACTAAATTAAATTTGTATAAACTAACAGAGTTGAGAGTATTTTATCATTTGTTCATACATACCCACTTCATCATCCTCTTCTTGGTCATCAACTTCTTCATTGTCTGTCTCTATAGGCATACCGTACATGTCACGCTTGACTACCTTGCGTTGACGTTTCACACGACTATAAATATCTGTGTAACCCTGTAGAGACAAAATTCAATGAATTTACTATCATAATGTTATTAAACTAACACAAAACCTTAAGATAAAACAAATTGGAGTAAGAAAAAAAGGTTTTTCATGGACTTATTTTCCCCAGAGCAGTTTGATTTCTTTCAACACATTTCACCTTTACACCAAAAGTTAAGGAAGATAACGAAAAAAACACTGCATGAGCAAACATCATTATTTTTATACCAAGAGTCTGTCTTTAAAATGCAGAGGAATCTTTAATTGCTTGCTAGCAGAATGTATGTATTATTTTCATAATTATCCTCAATCACATATCATGATGAATGACCACACAAACAATTTGGTATCAATTTCAGACAAGTACCTCGAATTATTTACAAATGCAACAACAGAAAAAGTCATAGAAAATAATACAAGTGTGTATCATGAAACATGCAACAACAGAAAAAGTCATAGAAAATAATACAAGTGTGTATCATGTTATCAGGCTAGTTATAGGTTTGAAAACTAAGACAAAAATCGCATACATCATTATCATTATCCTGACTCTCCTCATTAACAACTTCACGTCTTCGCCTTTTCTTCATTGGCTCTTCTTCGTAACTGTTCTCTAACATCTTATTATCATAACTATCGTACATTACTCTACGTGTACGAGAGCTACGCCTTGTTCTACTGTCATCTAACTCAGCTAAATGCTCCATCTAAAATTGATCAAACAAGCGAGAATTTTATGAACTGAAAAATTTTCATATAAACGGCCATGTCCAATTATAGTCTTAAGATGGACTTAAACAATATCTCAACAGAATGTGTAGTAACACAAGACTTAATTAAAAGTTTTCTCTTATAAAATATATTGCAATAAAAATGTCATGTTTAATTCTGAGAATCCATAAAAAATTAATTTTTCACAAACACACACAAAAATATTCAAGCATTGTGAAAAATAGTACATCTTTAACTGTTATAGAATTTTCCTCCAAATATCAATTTCCAAGATAAATGCTGAAGTAGAAAATAAGTCCACATGTATGCCAATAAAGACAGTAAATGCTATTAAACAATAATAAATGCCTAATCTGTCACAAAATTATTACCTTGACTTGCTTTGGACTCGGATGTGCAACAAGGTAATCTGAATTTCTTCTTGTCCTGCGAGGACGACCTGGTGATCGTTTTATTCCCTGTACCCTTCCACGTCCCCTTGGTGGTCTCCTGTCAACATCATTATCCTCCCCATCATCATCATCATCACCATCATCATCTTCATCAACTTCAGGTTTTAAAGTGACGTTATGACGACCATGCCTGGTTTGTCTGTGAAAATCTATGTCACTATCTGTATCTTAAAACAATAAAATACATTTCATTAAGGAAATTACCGAGTATATTCCAAGAAAATATTCAGTTTCAATAGGTTATCGTTGCATTTTAATCTTTAAATATATTGCAAACTCACTAATATTATACACATGTATGTATATGGTTGTTAACTGAGCAAAAAATGGCATAAACATCTGAGTGCACTTTAATTGAAAACAATGATTACCCTGGCAGCTTTACTGCACTCACCACTCACATTTCAAACTACCTTCCAAAGACAAATATTAATTTCTCAATAATAATGAAAAAATTTCCCAGCTATCTATTGTTCTTTAACCAATTACTTAATGAGCATTTTGTGAAAAATGGCTGTTTTCATTGAAAAGTCTCCCGTTACAAGTTCAAATTGCTATAAAACTATAAAAACTGCTTCAATACTAATCAAACTTGGCACAAATGTTGACTGGACCATTGCCTTTGTAACAACATGCTCAGTCTTAAATATTCTGTTACCATGGCAACGAGGAGACATCTCAGAATTGCCAAAAATCACTATTTTGCGTTGATGTTTTCCATCAAAATTGATTTCAAAATGCTGCAACCTCTTAATGGATTGAGATAGAGTCAAAGGTTTTTCGGCGTTGGTTTCATGTTACCTTAAGATCGACCTGGGGTCATTTTTAGCCTCTCACAAGCAGAGCTCCAGATAGCGTGCGTATCTGCGTAAAATACGCATAGAAAATCTAAAATACGCATCACTTTCAAAATCCATGCGTCAAAGTTACGCACAACAAAATGAAAATACGCTTGTATGTCAAAATTTAAGCGTGAAAGAATAGAAGTGGAAACATTTGATATTTAGAAAGAGAATATTTTTAGCATAAAAATCAATATATTTCCATTTTATTGCTTTGAAAACTAAAAATTCTGTTGTCAACATCGCATGTTAAAAACGAAAGTAACAGGAAGTACAGAAGGGAGATAACTCTCGTAGATCAACCTGTGAAATTAGCCAGCTAATCATCTTAGGATTTAACATAGTATTGTTTGTTTAGGCATCTATTGACATGCTTATGCCTCAATATTATAACAAAAATATATTTTAATTTCTTTCACTTTTGTTGTTGGAACAAAAAAGACATGTTTTTCACCTGCAGTTTTGTACTCAATATTTTCGTACCCAGTACACAGTTACGAACAATTTTCTCTCAGACCAATGCCTTTTTAAGGAAAGATAAAAAATCTTGTTTATTTTTCTTTAATTCTAATTTCAACTATAATTGTTCAAACTGGAGTACATGATAAGGTACATGCCAGCAGAAATAAAGAAAGAAAATATTGATTCCTAGAATATAAAATAATTTCAGGGCTTCCACTAGTGGAAGTTTGGGAGTCATTTACTCCTTCATTTTGGCTTGTGACTTCCAAAATCTAATACTTTTCCTTCTTTACCTATAAAATGTGACTTCCAATATCAGAGATTTTGAAGTCTGACTTCCAAATTTTGAAAATGGAAGCCCTGATAATTTTGCTGTGTAATTACACTGGAAGTCTGACTTTACAGAGCATGTTTTGTACTGTTTCACATTAAATCAGTATCTTATTTGTAAAAGTTTTTCTAAAAAAAGAAAACAAACAAACAAAAACAATATTGTAAGATTAATTTGTTTATAAAAAATGCAAAATGCTTTTTTGACAGATTTTACCCCTTAAGTTTTTCAGAATTTGCATTTTACCCCTCACTCTAGATTTTGAGGGGTAAAAACCCCTTGGCCAAAAAAATTATCTGGAGCTCTGCACAAGTCCAAAATTTTCTTGGCGATGAGGGGGACTACTGCCCCCCTTCAAACCCCCCAAACAGGAAGGCAACCCCCTGATGTATCTCTTGGATGGGGAACGGTGCCGAATAAGTGGTCACTTTTTTAAGCAACATTTCTCAAACAAAAACAAGTGTTTTGGGGCCTAAATAAGGCATTTTTTCACCATTTGAGACAACAAATGGAGGTGTTGGGGGGGGGGGGGGGGTAAAAGGTGTGTATATCCGGTAATGGGTTAAATTAAGCTAGTACATCAAAATAATGAAACTGAAAGCATCAAAGATTAACAAAGAGTAAATTATGCATTACATCACACAGAGTTTCACTTGTTTGTGGAAATATTAAATACAGAAAATCATTGTAAGAATATTCATTTTGATTTTTTTTTAAATTCCAAGTTCAGAAAAAATGTTGGATCTGATATGTATTACCGTAGTATTTAGACCCTTCCCTGAAACTTCTGATCTAAATATCTTACCTTCATTCACATAATCTTCTACGTAAGTCACTCTGAAAAACAGCAATGAAATAACATTTTAATGGCAGAGGACAACAGGCATTATTCTTGGTACAAGCAGGCACTGATTAGAACAATAAATATTTCATAAGCCAGATGGGAAGTTTTCCTTGCATAATTTTTTTTAAAAAGTCCCTTGTTAAATTTGAACAAACACAAGTATTAAAGATCCTGTAACACAATTTTTTTTATGGTTTTATATGATGCTCAAATTAAGATTTATCAATTTTGTAAGTTCCAAAAAGCATTATTTATAAAGATACTACCGAATTTAACATTTCATGTAAATAAAGGGAGGTAATAAAAACTTTATTTTCTATAACATCTAAGTAAAATTTTTCATTAAGAAATAAATGCATACATTTTAATGATTACACATAATATGTACAAATAATTGCAGTACATATTTTACATATGCTTCGATGTTTGAAAATTGTTTTATAAGCATAATTATATACATATATAATAATTGCATTTAAGTTTGGTATACAACCTCAATTACAACATGCAAGATCTTTAAAGAACAAATGATTCTGTCATTGACCTGAACCATTTGGAAAATCAGCCAAGAAAGGTCCAAAGATTAAACCATAAAGTATTCCTCTTATTAATATTAAATTAAATTCAGCAAATGCTTATAATCATAAATCATTAACAGATTTACTAAACAAATAACATTTAACCATAAAATTTATATATCAAAGTGCTGCAGCACTGAATGCGACGGACATGCAACCGGAGATTAAGGCTTCTTTTAAACAAAAACAAAACACAAAATATATAACAGAGAAAATTTGTTCCATGCAAGTTCGAGATTTGTAGAGCAATATATTTTGTGTCCTGATATAATTCAGATTTTCTACTTTCAAGCACTTAAATACAGAATGAAATTCATGCCTAAAAACTCTGGTCAAACTTGTAAATCAGTGTCCTTATCGATTTATTCTAAGAAATGATATGTAAATAGAAAAAAAACTGTCAACGAAATATTTCTAAAATAAATCCAGGCAAATAAACTTCAAACATAATACATTATACATTTGAGAATGCTATTTAGAATTGCTTCGTGTTATATCATAGTGGGCATATAGACAATAAAATATAAGACATTTGTATTTTTATTTCTCTTGGATAATATGTCTCATTAATAAAAAATTTGGTTAAAATCATCAGCAATTGATAGTGTATTTTTTAGATTTTTTTATTTACAAGGTAAAGATGTATGTAGATCGTTTTTATTTTAATCTAAATGTCACTTAAGCACTACAGTGTTTAGTTGTCCTTTTCAATTTCACACTAAATTCCATTTTCAACTTGTTTGCTTCTTACAATTGTATAGAATTTCTAAAAGTATTGCATATAATCCGCTGGTTTATTAATTACATGTATAATGTGTACATCCTAATAGCCTGTCCAAAAATCAGAACAGGTGAAGCAGAATCTATTTTTAGAATAGCGAAGGTTAATTCATATCATGACCTAGAAAAATATGTAAACAAACCACAAGAATCGGAAGTAGAACTGATATTATAACTTCCTTACCATGAAAGACTACATGGCGGTAAAGTGTTGAAAAACTGTCTTCTTACATGCATTTTCAAAAATACATATTTATTTACTAACTATTGTACTGAATCTAATATATTAATAACTGCTGAATATTCAGCTAAACCCGCGGTATGAGTCACGAAAATAGTTCTTCTTTTATTAATGCGCGAGTTATCCTAGAGACACGAAAAACTTTTGATTTGTTAATAATAATGTTTTGTATAATGTAGAAATATTTATTTCCTACTAATAATGTCTTGGAACTCAGAGGTTACACCTTTATTGTAGTATAATTTGCTGCCCTACTTTTTCGACAGCGGTAAATCGTTTCAGCAGTAATTTGCATATTGCGCAATAATACTACAGGACTACAACGTTTTTATCAATAATATACGTTCATATTTTAACTTTGATAACTTAATTTGAAATTGAAAAGGCTAAATATGGAAGACATTAAGATATCCAGACAAAGTATGGGAGTTTTGAAGGATCAAATTCATGTACTATTTCTTGGGCTGTTAATCGGTTTATGACACATTGCGCGAGTGTAGCCAACGAAATCCCATGTGTAGATGACTTAGCTCTGAACGCGCCTGAGGGCGCGTCCGTCGCAAAAATGTAACTTATTCTGTATAGTACATTATAGTTTTAATAAATTGAGCCAATAAGATAATTGTCTGTCATTTCAAGATTGTAGAATTATTAATCATTCAAATAGTAACATATCTTTAAAATAAAACCACTAACTCTGAAATTTCAAAGATGCAACATTTGCTTATATTGCTACATATATTTTCACCTTTTAGCAGCAGCTCTTGAACTGCGTTTTGGGAACTGCTCATCTTCTATCTGTTGGCTAGGTCTACGGAAATTTATCACCCCACTATCATCACTGTCATCCTGACTCTAAAACAAGTAAAAAATTCATTTAGCCATTCATTGATGTCTGAAGCTGCAGGGCTCTCATTTGGTAAAATTTGGGGCGGAATATGGAATATTCCCCCATCAAAATAGTGTGTGTTTTTCTCCATAAAACCCTCGAAAATAATATTTAACCGCCATAGGTCAGGGATCACATTTATAGGTTTTTATAAGTGTATTTGAAAATCATGCAAAATTCCCCCCCTGCATGGACCCTGGCCCCAGTCTCTAAATGCTAACTAGAGCCACGAGCTGGGACAGAAGTATCTTTTTGTTCCAGTCTGAAGTAGGCCCTTAATTAAATTTCACAAGGATAACCTGGGGCAGGGCAATACTGTAATCTAATTTACCAGCCTCCATGTTTGGAAAAATATTTAAGCCAGTGATTTTTCTCTCCAAATTGGGAAGAGGCCTTAGCCTCTTCATTTTGGGAAAAATTAACGCTAAAAATGCTGAATTGGGAAGTAAAAAAGCTGGTTTAAGTTCAGATTTTTGGGAAAACTGCATGATTTTAAAGAAAATTTCAATTGGGAAGAGGCCCTTTTTCAGAGTCTGTTATATAAGTAAGAAAATAACTGTAAGCCGTTATCTCAAGTTGCTTGTCATGCGTGTAGCCACTTTGGATGAGAGCAGAATGACTACCAAACGCACCAATTTGCAATTTCTAAGTGCTTCAGGCCCCTGGATATATGCATCCATATCATACCATAGGTGTTTGGCGTGTTGATTGGTCACTACCCTCCCCCTCACCCACTTTTTAACCCTCCCCCCTCACCCACTCAACATTCTACAACCCTATTTTTATCATACTTATATGGGCAATACACAAAAATATTCATTCATTTCTAATAAACTGCTGTTTAGTCTGGCAGGGCCCTCAATCCAATTTGGGGGAAGCGGGTCGCTACCCTCAGCAGGGGGAATTTTAGTGTATGGGGGGAATTTTTCTCTTTTCTTTTATTATCAAATACACTTATTTAAATATCAGCTGTTTTTTATTTACATGCATATTATTTTTTTATAAAAAATCCATAATAGGTAACACTAAACTGTTCAGAAGTGATTGATAAGATTTGAAGAAAAGTTTTTAACACCTTACACCATCAGATCTTTATGCTGCTTAGCTTTCTTTATGATTCCCCCCCCCCCCCTAATTATTTAGAAACACATTCAGACAAATGTCTCCATTTCCACTAATATGAACAATACATGGACCTAAAGTAAATTCTATTCATACACTGCATTTCTAGTGTTCTAACACACCTTTTAATAAGACAAAGCTTCCTTTTCTTGACTTTGTAAAACATTCGTAAAAATCGGCCTCGCGAAAATATGTGACAAATGAAAATTTGTTTGTTTTCTGTTAACACATCCACAATTCTAGTTGTTTCTGATGTAAATTATATAAAATTAAATTGATTGTTTATTATAAGATCGTTTTTAATCAGTTATTTAATAAAGTATCATGAAAACAAAACTTACAAGTTTGTAATTCACGGCAAAATTTACCGTGGTTGATGTAACATTTTGAAGACAAAAAAAATGATTTCATGAATAAACAATTTGAAATCAAATTGTTGATGGGAATTGTGATTTTTTTCTGCATATTTCTGTTGAAATTTTAGCATTTTTACAGGATGAAAGGCCAAAATGTGACGGTAGATTTTGGGGGAAAAACAAACGGAAACGTGCAGACATGTAACTGTACGATATTCCGCTTACAAAATAGACGTCAAATAGATGGATTTTAATTTTCAAAAACAACATTAGTTTTAATTTTTCTCTTTAACACTTTATATGTTTTGAGGGGGAATTTTTACCTCTGTTAGGGGGAAAAAAACATACTATTTTGGTGGGGGACTGCGGCCGAATATCGGCCGCAGATTTGGTTGATCGAGGGCCCTGTCTGGTAATTTTGACAAAAAACCAGCAGTCAGGTCTCTGTCAACTTACATTTGCGGTGACTTCAAGATTATATATCTTCTTATTACTTGAAATGATTGTAATGACAGCTTTATTTATTTATTGAAGAGTAATCAATTCTCTACCATTTAGTACCAAGATTTTCAAAATTGGTGAAAAAATGTTGGAGTTATGGAGATCATATTAAGAAGAGTGCTGATGAGCAGCAAGTTGCATTGTATCAAATTTTCATTTTTTTGTGGGAAATGAAAGAAATTGAATTAAAAGCATATACCAAATATTAAAACATGTTTCAAATGAAAAATACTGCAGTATACATAAATTTGAGAGGTAGGAGGGTTGAAGAGTGGGTGAGGAGGGGGAAGGTTGTAGAGTGGGTGAGGGGGGGTAGCACTTGAAAAATCAACGGGCCGAACACCTATGTATCATACCAGCACAAACAGAAAACGGAATTTTTAAGTCATTAGTAAATTTTGAATAATGAGAAAATGACACTTCCTTGTTCAGCAGGCACTGCAAATGTACAGATACCTGACTGGTGTTGTCAACTTTTATCAGTTTTACCCCACCCACATACAGTGCAGACAAAGGCACAAAACAGATATATAAAATAGCATTGATTTAAACAATGACATACACTTTGTGCAATCGCTCTGTGCTTTGCATTTCTTCGCTCATTCAAGGACAGGAAACAGCCCTCTGTTTCGTCGTCAGCTTCCTGATTATGCCTTGTTTTCACCATTTCCAAACGAATCTATTCTATGTCTGTCACAGCCGGGCCATTTTCTGACGAACAACACCCTTTAAAAATAGTTCTGTAATAAATTAATTTGCATGTACGGAAAGGTTATTTTAAAAGCTACTTTTTCAAATATTATGATATCTATGTATTTTTCTTATCCGAAATGTAATTACAATACCATACAAAATTGTGAAACTTGTAAGCATATAATAATGTTCAAAATAGGTCAGCGTAGAGATATTTCCGCAAAATGGCGGGAAGTGTAAACAGCGATTATTATGCTTATGAGAATTATCGAACAAAATGGCTTTACGATGTTTATTTAGAATATGAATTGAAATAAAAATTATGCAAAATATTTTTTCTCTTTCATGTCTTATCGAAATACAAAAAGAACCATTGAATATGAATTAAATAGAACCTAATTTTAAGTTACGTACTCTCTATTGTACGAATGCGCCAAACTTGTCAATCCAAGGGAATGAACTCGAATCTCCATTAAGGGGAATTAATTTATGATGTAAACAAAGATGCCATCATCAAAACGTATTTTACTTTATATATTTACCAGCCAGGTGCTATTCTACAGTGCATATTATTGCGTTGGAAGTATCTTGTTTGCTATTTACAGGTAATATTAAAGGACAATGGCGATAAACCAGTCAAGATTTTTGCCGAACTCGTACCTTAGGTGACTCGTACCACAGACGTAAATAAATTAATTGTCAATTAAAGTCCGTGCTCGTACATGCTCGAAAAAGCTTGCACGATTTTTTTTATTTAGAAAACAATGGAGTGATTTTCATATACAATTTTAGGGTTCATTCTAAATTGAACTTGGAGATTATAAACGACGAAGAATTATCGATTCAATTTAAAAGAAAATGATATTAGAATCTATAACACCTTTTCTCCCCAACTCGTACAAAAACTGATGATGCTAAAATTCTGTCGAATTAACATATTAAACATCTTGACGATACGTAGGCGATACCATAAAAGAGGCTGATGCAACGTATATCGAATTGTATGTAAAAAGTACTCCTACGATTATTCTAAATAGGTTACATGTCGTATAATATAATATATTTCAAGATTTTAATTTAGGCTTTATTTTTCTCAGTGATTTAAGGTACGGTCTGAAATAAAGCACGCCGTGTTTAGAGCATATGACGAAACAAAAAAAAATTATTTCAAACATTAATATAGAAATTACATATAGAAGATAATAAAGGCAAAAAAAAAACAAAGCAAAAGAAAAAACAAAACTAATATTCCATGTATTCATGCTGTAATATACGCGATGTCACCTAAAACATTTGTCCTCCCAAAATAAAATCGTCTGCATTCTGGTACTGGAAACACAATGTGTACAATGATAAATTAAGTGTCTTAAGCATTGCGTGTCACAAAAGTCTACGTCGTTCTGTCTTTGTTACCGTTCATAATTGTGTGTTGTAAACGTTATCACTTGTTGGAAAATGAAATAGAAAACAATGGAAGAGCCTGCACTTTTAAATATCAGAAATGATTGATCATAATAAACAAATTACAGAAGAGTACACACTTGCAGGAAAGAATGCCTCCAATATTTTATATAACGTTCTACAGTCGGGCGAAAATATAGAAAGACAATTAAATTTTCCGTTATTATGTGTATATTAATGTATGAAATTTCAGATCATGCGCTCACTCTGTTTTTTTTTTCAGAATAATTATTCTAATCGTGTAAAATGACAAAAAAAATGAAAATCGTTGGTTACGTGAAAAAATCGGGCTATATAATAACTATTGTTACACAAAAATACGATTTTCAATTTATTACAAAATTTATTTCTTAAAAATTTAAAATTGTCTTTTGCATATTTTTCTGTTTTAAGTGACCTGGCTGGTCGATGTAAGAGCAAGTCTATAAGTGATCGTAATAAACTATATTGTGTTTATGAAACACTGTTTTTTTCTTGAGAATAATTGCAGTTAAAGTTAGCTCGTAAAATCACTTAAATAATTGTTGTAATTTGTAAAAACGCGGATCTAACGACAACACTGTATTAGCCAATTTAAAACTAAAATTTGCTGCTCTTTTGTTTTCCATTTATGGCATTGATTTAGCAGATCCTTAACATCGGTTGAAATGTACAAGTAGTTGTACATTTATGTTATTTATTTTAGTGAAAAAAATTGATTTTTTTCATATCCTGTTTGCAGTTCTTTTTGGTAAAACATTTATTCAAACAAGTTTTATACGAACTCACGCATTTTGCATTGCTTGCATCTTAATTAAATTAATAATAATAAGTACCATATGCACATGGTATCAAAATCAATCATCATGTAATATAAATGCATTCAGTTCTAAGATTATACTTTCCGTCTCTGAAAAAAGAGACTAACATGAATGAGTTCTTCCAACGTTATGTTTTTTTCCATATCTGAAGCAACATTCAAATTTTATCATTTTAAATATTTTACAACCCTGTCATCGTCGTTGATATTGTCAATGGTGTTGCGTGTATCAAGCACTGAAAGTAAAAGTATTTACTTAAACCTTCATTTGGCTGTTAACATTATTCGTAACTTTCTAGCTTAAGCCGGTTGTTTTTATCAGATTCTATTGCTACAATTACCAAAAATAATATGTATTCGGGATATTTACCGAGATTCAAATCTCCAGTTGTGCTTTCCTTTTACGTTAATGTGTAAAGTGAATAAAGAGTATGAAATTCAAAACTCTTCTGTACATTTATGTTACGATAAGCACTAGCTAGTAATATTGCCTGGCCCTGTTGTTTTATTCCCGGAGCCACAAAGACATAACAATGACACTTCTAAGTAGTGTAATCCAAGTTTAAATATCTTGTTTTTGTAATCCTGTATTTTATTTTGATGGGTGGACATTTGGTATTTCATGTATACTAAAGGACATTTTTGATTGGTGGATGAGGACTGGTCAAATCAGCATGTTTTTGATGCATAATCTTCCTACATGAATTATCAACTTGTGAACTGGTTGTTTCATACATTTGTATTATTTTCAGTTTGGACGAATTTGATGGCACTATACCATTCAACTTTAGACAATGGATAGAGTTTACAGATTGCTGTAATTTTACGAAAACGGAAACAGGTAAAACATGTTTGTCTAGTGAAATGGGAAAGCTTTCATTTATTTGATATTTAAATTAATAATAAAAAAGAATAATTTATTATACCCCCGCACAACAAAGTTGTAAGGGGGGTATACTGGAATCAGCTTGTCCGTCCGGCTGTCCGTCGGTTTTTTCTTGTCCGCCCAATAACTTAAGATTCCTTTGACCCTTAGTCTTAATATTTGGCATGGAGGTTAGTCATGATTAGTAGATGACCCCTATTGATTTTGAGGTTACTAGGTCAAAGGTCAAGGTCACAGGGGCCTTGACTTTAAAAAGCTTGTCCGCCCAATAACTTAAGATTCCTTTGACCTACAGTCGTCATATTTGGCATGGAGGTTAGTCATGATTAGTAGATGACCCCTATTGATTTTGAGGTCAAAGGTCAAGGTCACAGGGGCCTTGGCTTCAAAAAGTTTGTCCGCCCAATAACTTAAGATTCCTTTGACCCACAGTCTTCATATTTGGCATGGAGATTAGTCATGATTAGTAGATGACCCCTATTGATTTTGAGGTCACCAGGTCAAAGGTCAAGGTCACAGGGGCCTTGACTTCAAAAAGCTTGTCCGCCCAATAACTTAAGATTCCTTTGACCCACAGTCTTCATATTTGGCATTGAGGTTAGTCATGATTAGTAGATGACCCCTATTGACTTTGAGGTCACCAGGTCAAAGGTCAAGGTCACAGGGGTATTGACTTCTAAAAGCTTGTCTGCCCAATAACTTAAGATTCCTTTGACCCACAGTCTTCATATTTGGCATAAAGGCTAGTCATGATAAGTAGATGACCCCTATTGACTTTGAGGTCACCAGGTCAAAGGTCAAGGTCACAGGGGCCTTGACTTCAAAAAACTTGTCCGCCCAATAACTTAAGATTCCTTTGACCCACAGTTTTCATAATTGGAATGGAGGTTAGTCATGATTAGTAGATGACCCCTATTGATTTTGAGGTCACCAGGTCAAGGTCACAGGGACTTTGACTTCAAAAAGTTTGTCTGCCCAATAACTTTAGATTCCTTTGACCCACAGTCTTCATATTTGGCATGGATGTTGATCATGATTAGTAGATGACCCCTTTTGATTTTGAGGTCACTGGATCAAAGGTCAAGGTCATAGGGACTTTTACTTCAAAAAGTTTGTCCACCCATTAACTTAAGATTCCTTTGACCCACGTCTTCATATTTGGCATGGATGTTGATCATGACTATAAGGTGACCCCTATTGATTTTGAGGTCACTGGGTCAAAGGTCAAGGTCACAGGGACCTTGACAAAAAAAAAGCTTTTCTTCTCAATTGCTAAAGAATGTCCTGTCCGCAATGTATTGATTTTGACATTTTCACATTTGAAGCATGTAGAATACATAACTTAGCAATGCACTGGCTTAGTAACCTCAGATTTGGCAGCTTGAGCTCTAAATGGCCACTGTTGATTCTGACAAAGTCGTATGCGGGGGTATTCACGCCATGATAGTGGCAGTTCTAGTTAAAGTTAAATTCAGTGTAAAAAATAGTAATGGCAAAAACGATTATGTTAGTTTGGTTCAGAGCTTTAAATTGAAAAATAGTACAGTTTTTGTGCTCTTGATTCCTGGATGAATAATACATGTATATCATTTGTTTTTCATTGGGAACAACTTGGAATATCTTCCTTTTACTTTCAGTTAATGCCTTATCAATGGTGATCACTTACCCCATAGCAGGTGCTTTAACTGGTGCATATTTACCTGAGCGTGTGTGGGACTATTCTATAACTATTGCTGTTATTCATATAGCAATGTCTTTTTTAGGTAAAAACATTATTTACATGTATAAGACAAAACTTAAACTGAATATTAATTTTCTGTTGTATCCTAAATATTTAATTATTGTTGACTAATTAAAACGATTCAATTATAATAGTTTTGTTGTCCAGCGCTTAGAGCGTTATTTTACTTGGCAGTTAATACATGAATTTATTACAGTATCATTTAAAATTCCGATTCCCTTGTATTGTTGTAGAAAACATAACTTGCACATTGAGAAATAATGCAAATTCTGTCACTAAGGAATGTCCATAGGAATTTTTGTGAACGTGTTCATGCAGTCATGTAAAAAACGAACAGATTTTACAATTTTGAGAGCAATAGCAATTAAGACAGAACGATTAAAAATGAAACATCCCATCACATTTATTATGTTTTTGTTTTATTTTAGTTATGTTAGATATTGCTAGCAATTGGAGCTGGTGGGTTTGTCTGGGTAAGTTACAGAACTAGCTATTTTTAGTATGTCAGCTTGCACGTAGAATAAATCGATTGAACTGTTAGATCTGGAAATAATTCCTAGCATCAACTGCAGTGCATACATAATAACTTCTGCATCTTGAAAGCTAAAATATTGAATGTTGCGGGCATGGTAGCACGTTAAACGTTGTGCCTAGCGAGGTAATTTTGCGTGAGCAAACTAGTTTGTGGCTTTGCACTTAACCTTGATGCTGACGCAAAAAGACAAAGAACAATGTCAATACGAGGGCTGATCAAAAATAAACCGGACTGTGACTGTCAATTGAAGAATTTTCAACCTATCACTTATTGTTATATATCACACTTAATCGTAAAACAATACCTGTAAACTGATGCTTCATCTAATCTGATAACGCAAATAGTTTGTCCGTAACAGCGAATTCAATAACCATGGTAACGCACACCCGGCGCAGTGCGTAAATTTGCGTTGTCATCCGGCGCTTAATGCTGCGTATATTTTACAATATAGCTAAATTGGATTTCAAAATACGCCAAAACGTCATCAACCATATTTTTGACGTGTCAGAAAAAAATGACTTCATTTAAATCATATTTATATTTGCAATCACAATTCAAAAAACACATGTTAAAGAAATGCTCGCGTTAAAACTATGTCGTTGGAACGTCTTAGAAATCGATCAATAAGAAAAGTTTGTCAAAAGTAAGGCGAGAAACTGTTTAAAACGTAGAAAAAGATTATGACTAACAAAAGAAAAGTTCCAGTAAGCCTCGGCAGAGTTTTTGATAGGCATAAAGGATTAAGAAAGGGTAATAGACAAATAGAAATAAAGTTAGGGAGAGACAGAATAATGAAATTGTCAAGGACGTTGGTGACGTCAATCGCCGAGACGTTGAAAAATGACAATCGATTGACTGCGGACATTGCCAGTGATGTTCGACAGTAGCTACGGGACGGTGCAGTCATCTCTAAGGATTTTAAAATGATAATTGTTAATGCATTACGTACATAAATTGTATTCTTGGTTTACAATTGTATAAATTATTTTATTAATTTACGCAGTAGTCTTATGGAGAAATTGTGTCAACAATTTAACAGTAAAAAGCTGCTCCGTTAAGACAATACGCTTGTGACGTCGTTAACGTCAATTTTTTAAATATACCGTGCGCCGCATTGCTTAACATGTACATGCCAATAAAAGCATAGCTTTTTTCTTTGTTAATATTTCTTGTTGGTATTTTTTGTATCATTTAGGGGAAAGATTCCGATTTATTGTCCGTGTATTTTTATTTAAATTCATTTATGAGGTAAAGAATCATTTACAAAGTCCGGATAATTTTTGATCATCCCTCGTATAACTTTGTGTATCACATTACCAATTTCTTTAATTTTTGTCTCCCATTATCCACACCAAACCATAACGCTGCCTCAACCAAATCGATCCCGCTCAAACAATTACAGTTAAATTTCGTTCGTTCGAACTTGGATCGCTCGGAAACTCCCTTCGCTCACAGTCCCAGCTAAAATTCTGTAAAATTTGTTCTTGTAAATAATCTTTCATAATACAACTTCACTATATTTCTTTTTTAATTGTGCAGTCTTCCAAACATCCGTCAACATATCTTTTCAGGTATCAGTTTGGTTTTAATGATCGGATGTGGAGAAGGAGTTCTTGCGCTCAAACGATATCGTAATAAATCAAGACTGGTAGTACCGGAGCCAGAAACTGAGCCAAGATCATACCTATACAGATGACGTCGGTGATTGGTAGAACATTACTTGCAGGATGATTCCTGGTCATACATCTGACTGGTAGTCTCAGAATCAGGAGCTGAACAAAAATCATATCTCTATAGATGTTATGTCTATGTCTGAACTGGTTGTCCGGGGGGGGGGGGGGTCAGACATATCATTACATATATTGTGTCCGCGGGTCAGTAGCTGATCCAGTCATATGTATTTAGAAAGTACAATGTGCCTTGAGTGTTAGACCCAAATTTAGTGATATCATGTCTGATATTGTTGCAAAAGCCGGAAACGGAACGTAGATACAATTGGTTTTCCAAAAGCAGGAAACAGACAATGTGGTACCACTATAGATTGGTCTGGAATGGTAGTTCAAGACTCAATAGATTGAGCCAAAATTATTTTTCTGCTATATGTATGGACTACGACTTGTAATAAATTGGTAAAGATGAAAATAACACTTTAGACATTCTTATTTATAAATATTTAAAAAGTAAATTTTGAGTGGTCATTTTCATTGAAAGTAAATACAGTAAACACCCAGTTGTGCATATGGCAAAGTAATCAAGACAACTTCAAGATTCAAAATCAGTGTTTGAGAGACATGTATAACTAAATGTTTTAGGTGTTGCTCCTGTTTTAGGACTTTGTAGGTATTTGTCTGCGTAAGGTTAGAGATGTTGGTTGAACCTGTCATTTATCTACAGGTAATTGTAATTTATGTCATGATGATAAACAGATGGCAAAAAATTAAATTTATGACAAATTTGTTTTAGTGTTTTTTTCTTATCTACATAGTATTACTTTTTATTTGTTTTGCATGTTGGTCAAATTGTATCAAGATGTTTTATGCTGACATTGACATACTGAAAAGAAGAAATAACTTGGGTTTTCATACAAAGGAAAAGAACCATCAGTTTGAAGGAAGTGGGTCAAATACATTTTGTGACATAAAATGGTTTTCAATTCAAAGTAATTGACTTTGACTTAAGAGGTTTCTGATCACCCTTTGTTTGAAGACTTTTGGTCAAATAGTACTCCAGTTTTTTAGCTTTTTGCTTTCTACTTGGTAAAAGTCTAGTGTCTTGTGGAGTTTGTGTGTTGTTGGTCAATGGAAAACAGGATGCAAAGTGATTGAATAAATCCCAGTTGAGAAGCTTGAGATTCACATATTGGCTTTCTGAATAACAGACTAACCAATTTAAAATTTGCCATCTTAATATGTTCATTATTTAGCTGGAGGATAGGACAGAAACATTGGTGAAAGCAAACATGAGTAAAATCTGTGGATTTTTCTGACTTTCTGTGTCCATCTCTTCAGTGATCATGAGAACTTGTAAAACATGAACTGAATAGCAACATAACAAAGCAATCAGATGGGGAAGCTGTATACCGTCACAGTAACCTGTATAAGGGCTGTCGAAAAAAACCTTACCATACATGCAACACTTAACCAAAATTTGTCTAGTGTACCAATATATAGATTAAGTCTAAACTGAAATGATATACATTTTAATGAAAAGATGTTTCCACATTGAAAACAATTATATACATCATCACAAAAATCATATAAATAAACACAAGTTTTAATATATATGTATGTATATATGTCTTTTGTCATATACAATTTTGGGACAACCTGCAGTTCAGTATCATTTAAAATGAGAGTTCTGCATTCTATTCATGGACTATACACAAAAATTACAAATATGCTGCTCACATAGACTGATTCCCTCCCTCCCTTATTGTTTAAGATATTTAAATAGCACTTTCTTGAATATATACCTGACAACTTTTTTTTCAGAAGTTATTTCAGCTAACAACTTTGCATTTAAATGGGTTATTTCACTTACTATACCTACGAATTAAGTAAATATGGTAAGATTGTTAAAATTCATGTATGGATCAAAAAGAATTAAAAGAATATTAAACAATTACTGTACACTTAAATGATCTAATGTTTTACAGATACAGAACTGGTGTATTTTCATGAGAAAATTATTATGCGAAAAACTCATTTTGAGAGTGAGTGATATGAACTCAGTCAAATTTTAGCAGAGAATTATCCATTTTATCCTCATAAAAAAGGCTTGCCAGAAATGTAACCAGGGTTCAGTATATATACATGTATATCAGTATGAGGCATGTTATGTGCACGATTAATCATATCACTAAACACTACAAGAATTTAAATAGTTGACATATAATCAGGCACTACGTATGTTACAATATTAATGTTCACATTTTGTTGTCCCTACCACTATCAATGTTGGAGAAAATTAATGAGAATTGTTCTAACATTCTCCTACAATGTTCATAATAAATCAATGGCTTAAAGTATGATAATTCCCATGACAAAATTAAAGTTAAAATGTAACTAAATTCAATTTCCCAAAAATCAATGATTATAACTAATGCTGCATGTTTCCAGCAAGAAGTTATGTATTGGAAAAGTTGCAGCATCCATTGATCTTCCTTTGTTCGCAGTGTTGTTATATTATAGAATGATCACAGTCAATTGTTTGGAATCTCTTGACTCGCTTCCTATCTATCCATACCTCTCCACTACCATACCATGTCCCTGGAAGTAATCAAATAAACATTTTAACTTTTTATAGCTCCCATGGGCCTGGAAATAACCAAATAATCATTGTAACTTTATATAACTCCTGTTTATTCTTTACCTGCTAGATTTGTGTAATGGACTGGCCCAGATTTTAATTTGGAACAGTCTATTTGAAGTTAAAGGGATTTCATTCACAAAATGCATAATTGAGCTACCAATATTATAGAGTCTGGTCAGACACAACAGATTGTAGGTTGGCTTGGCTATACTGGTGGCAAAGGCAATCAATTTTGATTCTAGCAGGTTAAGGGTTAGATGCAAGTGCCAAAGCTTGCTCATGACTGTTCAAACATAACTTAAGTGCCAAAGGTAATCAAAAGCAGCTTGTTTAGCATAAATTTCTCCCAAACACATAAAATCTAACGACAAAAACTTTCATGAGGAAGTACTCCACAAAAAAATCATGACCCGCTGGCATAGCTAAAATTAACACCACGTGCATATCTTTTTTTTGTTTCCTTTTAAGATGATCCACATACCATACAGTCTAAAGAGCTTCCATTATTTGCTAGTATTTTCACAACATGCACTTAAGAACCTATTAAGAAGGACCAATTCTGACTTAATCAATCTGAGTAGAAGACTTCCTAATGACATGAATGATGCTACAAACAATACATGAAAGCTGAACTATTATGGTTTCAGACATTCTACATTTCCCTTTTTACACCCCATGACCTTATTATTCATTAGAATGGAATAATTCAAGAAACCTCAATAGAAATCTATCTCTATTCTATCCCTGTCGATGTTCCTGAAATTTTTGGGCAAAAAATTAAATTTGATTAAATTGCACAATGACATTATTAATGCTCATAAAAAATAGATATTATAATATGTATGATAATAAAACAATTATGGCTTACAATTCCTCCAGCAGCACAGGCAGCAACAAGGGCATATTGGCCATTCTCCTTCGCTAGTCTGTTAGCGGCTGTGGTCACCAGTCTTACACCTGTTGCTCCAAATGGATGTCCTAAGGACAGAGAACCACCCCAAAGGTTAAATTTGTCCATGCTTGGTGCCCCTACCTGAAATATACAAATAAATTATTTCAATTTAATTCATCAGATATTGCAGTACCTGTTTAAAATTCTGCAAGATTCTCGCATCAAACCAAAATGCCCTATTTAGGCCCCAAACACTGTTTTTTGTTTGAGAAATGTTGTTAAAAAAAGTGAGCACTTTTTCAGCGCCGCCCCCCATCCAAATGTTACTTCAGGGAGTTGCCAAAAGGGGGATGTGCCCCCTTCTGTTTGGGGGGTTTGAAGGGGGTCAGTAGTCCCCCCTCTTCGCCAAGAAAATTTTGGACATGTGACAGGCTAAAAATGGCCTCAGGTGGATCTTAGGGTAACTAGTAACCGACGCTGAAAAGCCTTTTACTCTATTTCAATTCAGAAGTTGCAGCACTTTGAAATCAGTTTTGATGGAAAAAAACAATGCAAAATATTGATTTTTGGCAATTTTGAGACGCCCCCCCCCCCCCTTGCCATGGTAACAGGAAATTTACACAGTAGTGGATTATCTTCCCTCGATAAAAACCGAGGATAACCAAAATGTAAGTAGGTCCAAATATTTGGAATCCTTTGCTTTTATCGTTGAGTTTTATATAAGACAGGTTGATATGTCTTAATCAATTATTTACACATGCATCAACAAATATGTAAACCTTAAGGAAAAAATGATTAATTTATGTCAACAGATTCTACATCTTATCGCAATATCTAATCTGAATATTACAAATGATCATAATTAGCCCTAATTAATTCAGTTTGCTACAAAGAAATAGGCGATAAAGTCCAAGTAATCCAATAGCTTAGGACCTATCTATTTATAGGGAGTACTCAGGGGAGGTTATTCACTACTGTCCCTCATTGAGCATGCTGTTACACTACAGAGGCTATGGTCTAGTCAACATTTTTGCAAAGTTTCATCAGTATTGAAGCATTTTTCATGGTTTCATAGCAGTTTGAACTTGTTACAGGAGGCTTTTCAATGAAAACGGCCATTTTTCGCAATATGCTCATGGGGTAAAAGGTTAATATGCCCCTTTGGGAGTTAAGCATGAATAAAAATTTTATCTAATAAAATGTTCACTGTTATCCAGTTAAAAAACTTACAATGTAGCCGAAGCTATGAAAAATCATTACAATTATCACCACACCCTATGCTCTTCCTAGGTTGGTCCATATAAAACACATTTATTTTCTGCTAAGAAATATATTAATGCTATTATTCACAAAACATAAAGCTATTTTAGAACTGGAACAAATAATTCTAGAAAATAATGCAGTGCTTTTGTAACTTAATAATGTTACAGCATAATTCATCTTGGTTATGCAATTGCCAATCAAAATGTAGAGCATACATGTGACTGACTGCCCAACAAAGATAGACTGACAAATGATTACGTGAGAAAAACCACGAAGAACCTCTGCATTATACAAATGTATATACATGTACATTCTTAATAGATTTGACATGGTCATTCCTTACTTTTGGATGTGATAATTATATAAAGAATATGTCACCAGCATGGCATGACATTTTAAAATCCTCATACAATACCTATAAAACAGGGTAAGTCCATTATAAAATACAACGGGGTAGGTCCATTATAAAATACAGCAGGGTAAGTCTATTATAACATACAGCAGGGCAAGTCTATTATAAACTAGAAATGTGTCCATAGGACACTGATGCCCCCACACGCCACTGTTCTGTCAATCTTATGACTCTAGGTCAAATATTTTTTGGACTACATGTGCCACAAGTTGAAAACTAAAAATCAACAAAGGGCCATAATTCTGTTAAATTTGGTCGCAGCAAAAAATCCTTCCTTAACTACGATCTACACATTAAGGTTGTTAATCCCTGGAAGTTTAAGCAAAATCTGCCATCCGGTTTAAGAGGAGTTGCGTTCACAAAATTTCTATATAGTATATAATGAAAAAATCAACAAAGTGCCATAATTCTGTTAAATTTGGTTGCAGCAAAAATTCCTTCCTTTACTACCATCTACACATTAAGGTTGTTCATCCCTGGAAGTTTAAGCAAAATCTGCCATCCGGTTTAAGAGGAGTTGCGTTCACAAAATTTCTACATAGTATCTAGTGAAAAAATCAACAAAGGGCCATAATTCTGTTAAATTTGGTCACAGCAAAAATTCCTTCCTTTACTACCATCTACACCTTAAGGTTGTTCATCCCTGTAAGTTTAAGCAAAATCTGCCATCCCGTTTAAGAGGAGTTGCGTTCACAAAATTTCTACATAGTATCTAGTGAAAAAATCTCAACAAAGGGCCATAATTCTGTTAAATTTGGTCGCAGCGAAAATTCCTTCCTTTACTACCATCAACACATTAAGGTTGTTCATCCCTGTAAGTTTAAGCAAAATCTGCCATCCGGTTTAAGAGGAGTTGCGTTCACAAGATTTCGGGATGTACGGACGGACTGACGGACTGACGGACGGACGGACGGACAAGTGCAACGCTATATGCTCCCACATTGTGGGGGCATAAAAACTGCAGGTAAGGGGTATAAATCAAATTTTTCTCGTGTATGTCAGCATGTATATTTCAAATCTCAGCCTGCTGGAGGCAACAGATTCAACCATGTGACCAGGGCCAACCAAGATCAGCCAGCACAGCCATGCCAGCTGATAATAGTCTGCACTGTTTGCCATCCAGTTAGTTAATAATTTGAAATTTTCCCTTAAAATAATGAATGTGTATTATATGAGTCAATAGTGGGCACCAAAGTAGAAACACAGATCATCTGTAAGCTAGCTGGATAGCTTCCTTACATGAAAGTTGATGAAAAAATTCATAGTTTCAGGTGAGATTTGAACCTACAGAGCCAAGGGTAACTGATAAAATTGTCAGCAACTCTAATTACATATTAAAGAAAGGACAGTTAAATGTTTTTTTTTTACCATTCAGCAACTTAATAGGCTGTCTTTGATTTACAGATTATGTTATATTACACTGTTAACCAAATCATTTAATTTAATGTGACAATAGAACATCTCTGCATGTTTTTTAATCATCTACAAAGTTACGTGAATTTGATCAGCAAAGTACAATGCTCTTTAAAGGCTTCAATATTGAAAGTTCACGTAAGCCTAGTTTTCACCAGATGACATCAGTCTAGAAGAGCCCATTTATAAGGATATTCATCCCCATAAACATAATGAATAACTCCAATAAACAGATAACCAATAAAGCAAAATGTACTTGCTGTTTTGTACTGCTACTGCATGCTTGCCCAATAAAGTACAATATTGACTAAACATACTTTAAGTGAACTACTGGCATCATTGGGGAAGGCAAAAGTTCAATATGACCCAATTTTTACTGTTCTGTTACAAAATGTTGCCAAGTACTTTAGCACTTTAACTGCATTCTTATAAAACTTGCAGTAAAAACATGTCTACAAAAGTGGAGAAGTACAGTACATTAATTAAAGTCCACATAACCTTTATTTCTGCTTTTATTACGTTACATCATTCAAGTCTGGCGTGATTTTACAAGGTAGTTTCTTAAATGTTAGCTTTTCATCCTTTTAAGATATCTGTGGCTATAGATTATAATGGAAGTATTAATCTGTACCTTTTAGTATAAGAATAACAGTGCATTTTCAACAGTGCATATTTAACAGTGCATATTTTTATCACTGATCTAGGAAAGAATTTATTCTACATTTTTCAATGCATATGTATATTGTATGTTTTTTTTGCTAGATTTTAACAAATACCAAAAGAATTAATGCATCAGCAATTTGATAAAGCTAAAGAGTCAAATTTTTTAAATTAAATTAAATTGATTTTTTTAAATATAAAACAATCAAAAGAATATTAAGCAGAATTTTTTTTTTTTAATCTATTTAAAATGTGATAGACTAATGGAAGACAAGAGCCAATTAAACCGGGTGAGGCTACCCGAGTAGGTTTTGGACACAGAAAAGTATATCTCTTGTAGTGTCAGAGTTATGTCCCTGACAAAGTTCAAAGTGTAAAAATGAACAAAGGACAATAACTCCAAAATTAAGAAAGGCAGAGTTACAGTTCTTTTGCAAGCAGTGCAATTCTATTTAAAGTAAAAAAAGTAAAAAAGGGCAATAACTCCAAAATTATGCAAGGGCAGAGTTTAGGTTCTTTTGCACTGCACTTTTATCCAATGAGATCTATTTACCAACAAAGTTTCGTGTTGATATCTCTTATAGTACTAGAGTTATGTCCCGGACAAAGTTTAAAGATGAACAAAGGGCAATAACTCTAAAATTAGGTAAGGCAGAGTAATTGTTCTTTAGTCGTGCACTTCTACCCAATGAGATCTATCTACCTACAAAGTTTCATGTTGTTATCTCTTACAGTTTAAGAGTTATATCCCAGAAAAAGTTCAAAGTGTAAAAATTAATAAAGGGCAATAACTCCAAAATTAGGCAAGACAGAGTTATGGTTCTTTTGCACTGCACTTCTACCGAATGAGATCTGTCTACCTACAAAGTTTCAAGTTGATATTTCTTATAGTTTTAGAGTTATGTCCCAGACAAGAATAGCGGACAGACAGACATACTTACAAAATGGTACTTATGTGACTTTTCCTTTGATGTTTTAAGCCATTTTTAGTCACACAAGGCTTTAAAAAGACACATACCGGTAAGTAAAAATGGAATGAATAGGATCAAAGAGAATTTACTGTTATGTATTGTTCTCCATGTCACACAAGTACCTCTGGGTTTGTACGTACAGATGGACAGACAAAGTGGCGACTATATGCTCACCCTTCTCAGAGCATAAAAAGTAACAATATTCTCCAGAAAAATATGTAAAGGAGCATGAAAAATTATCTTAGTAAAGTAGAGATAAAATTGAACAAAAAAGTACAAATAGCAATACAAAGTAATTTTGATAACCAAGAGGAGTGGAAGGTTAGGAAGCTATTTAAAGTTCTTCTTATTAACAACCCTAGAGGCATTTCCTTTTTAAACATAGGATAACAACATCACAGACAGCACAGTGCATATAACAGGCAAAATTTTATGATCAGTGTAGGGTAAAAACACTACAAATGAATAGACATTTCTTCCACTTTATAAATGTTTCATTATTTTTAACTGGATAAAATGTAAAACGAACAAAAAAAAACAGATCGTTTTTTAGGAAACGTTCTTTGTATGGGTGTCTCAATAGAAATAGTGGGCTCTACACTTTATGCATTAAAAATTACATCACACAGACACAGTACATATGGAGGAAGACCTCAAAATCAAAGATATTCCGTAAACTATTTGGAAAGCTTCCTCACATGAGAGAATCTCAAGTCCCTGACATGATTCGGACCGACAGCAGTGAAGGGCAAGTGGTTTGAAGTCAACAACCTTAACCACTTGAGAATACTTTCTCATCAGGTCAGTAATGTATGAGATCATGTTTAAGTTTATTACCTCATAATTGTTGTGGGAAACATAAAAATGTAACAATTATCATTTTCTAAAACCTTTCAATTAATAGTTTATAAAAGAATCTGCAAAGGTCATAAGCACTATTCATAACCTTAACTTTCTATTTTATTTTAAGTTTGAGGAAATGCTGTCAATAACTGTGTTACTAAGAAAATGAAAATTAGTTACAATAAGGTAAAATAATCACCTCAAACAAAAGCGGGCGGTAGGAGAGCATGCTCGACTATTCTCAATACTTGATAGTAAAACAAGAGCCTTGATAATGAAGAATTTTCTGAGTTCAAAAAGGGCCATGATTCTGTCAAAATCAATGAAAGGGTTAGGAGCCTCAACCAGCAACCTCCTGGTATGCTCTTAAATAATTATGTGAAGTTTCAACCAATTCCTTTCAGTATTTCTCAAATACCAACTTGTATGTACAAACATAAACAGTGATGTCTATGCAGGGGGGTGTACATAACACTCCCTATTCTTCAAACCATTGAGCTTATAAATTAAGGATTATTCTGCAAACTATATTTCCTGTCTTATTTTAACAACATTTAATATCTATAAGAAGCTGCAGGAGTAATTCTTGAAAATCTGTGAAGAAGTATAATTATAAGGGCTTTTTTAACAATGATCGCAAAACATTCTTGTCCTTTTACCACAGTTTCTAACATGAAATGATTATTATACTTCAAATTGATAGAGATACACATTTTGTTTTACAGCCATTTTCCACAACTTTATAGGACAGCCCTTGTAGATACACCTATTTCAATTATGAAGAAAACCTCTTTCAGCATAAAGAAACAAAATATTTTGAGACACATGGAGGTGTGGATCTGGTGTATGTAGGATATATTTCCACCAGATGTTTACCTATATACTTTACAGACAAAAAATATTATAATATGAAGGAAACACATGCACACTAGACAACAATGTTCAAAAGTTAGGTGACAACTTCACAAGAACAAACTTACTACTACAGAATGACTGTTTACTCAAACTTTGAGCTTAATTGAAAATTTAGCATTGCTCAACTTTTAGAAATTGACAATTTTGTGTAGTTATGAATTTCAGAAAATATGACAACATACAGATGCCACTTACCTTAGATGACTTGCCCAAGAATTTCTGAGCAAAGATGTCTGAATCTAGGGCTGTCAAATTGGCTAGGATTTGTCCCTGTATAAAATAACACATGACAATTATTAGCATTTAGAGAATGTGAAGGTACATGTATATCACTAAATCATTACAGCTGAAAATTAAATTCTAGGCACTGATTTCCTGCTTACACATATATTTAAACAAATAAAGGTAACAAAGTTATATGTAATTTAGTTTATAACTAGAAATGTGTCATCATGCCACGGATGCCCCCGCATGCAGCCAAAATTTCAGATGGTGCTTTAATTATTTTTTTCATTTTAAGTTCAAAGCCCTTAAAACTTTTCAATGTTAACACAAACCATTTTCATACAATGTTCAAGGCACTGAAATTATTCAGTCTAAACCTTTTAAAAATAGCATATTGCATATTTGTAGCCAAAATAATGGTAAGAGTGCTGAAAGTGAAAGTTCAAAATTTTTCCAACATTCAGGAAAGATAAGTTTGTCTTAAATCATTGAACTACAACCAAATTCAAACTTAAACTGCTTATTCCTAAGATGTATCTATATTATTTTCAAAGTGAAAGGGACATAACTCTGCCAAAAAATCATCAAACCATGACCAAATTCCAACTTGACCTGCCCATTCCTTTGACATATCCATATGTCAAATTTAAGTTGCATATGTAACACTGTTGGGTAGATAATGAACAGAAACTGTAAATTTCATATTATTTTCAAAGTGAAAGGGGCATTACTCTGACAAAAATCATTGAACCATGACCAAACTCGAACTTGGCCTGGGCATTCCAAAAACATATCCATATGTCAAATTGAGTTGAATGTGTTGTACCATTGGGGAGATAATAAACGGAAACTGAAAATTTCATTATTACTTTCAAAGTGAAAGGGGCATAACTCTGCCAAAAATCATCGAACCAAGACCAAATTCAAACTTGACCTGTATTTTCTCATGACATATCCATATGTCAAGTTTGAGTTGAATGTGTTGTTACCGTTGGGGAGATAATGAAAGGAAAACAAGAAAATTTCATATTATTTTTCAAAGTAAAAGGGGCATAACTCTGCCAAAAATCATCGAACAATGACCAAATTCGAACTTGACCTGTATTTTCTCATGACATATCCATATGTCAAAGTTTGAGTTGAATGTGTTGTACCATTGGGGAGATAATGAACGGAAACTGAAAATTTCATATTATTTTCAAAAGTAAAAGGGGCATAACTCTGCCAAAATTCATCGAACCATGACCAATTCGAACTTGACCTGTATTTTCTCATGACATATCCATATGTCAAATTTGAGTTGAATGTGTGCAAGCGTTCTTAAGATAATGAACGGAAACTGATGATGACGGAATGACAGAATGACGGAAGGACGGAAGGATGGAAGGACGGAAGGATGGAAGGACGGAATGACGGAACAGGGTAACACTATATGCCCCGGCCATTACATGGCGGGGGCATAATAAATAATTAATGAATTTATTTTATTACCCCACAAGCTGCTGAATTTGTTATATGGACTAAACTTGCAGTCTTTTATCATTTTAGGGGACATCAAGATGAAAATTTCAAATTAATCAGCTGCAAGTATAGAGCCTGGTCTGTCTGTATGGAGGTGCAGGCCCACCTGGCTCTATATTTGTGGTAAAGGGAAATAACTCTAGGTTTCCAGAAGGTTAAAGGTTAAACATTTAGACAAGTAATTAGAGAATACATACAGCAAAAGCTTCATGATATTCAAACACATCAATATCTGCCATGCTTAATCCAGATCTATCTAAAACTTTTGGTGTTGCATATGCTGGTCTGAAATGTTGGAAATGAGCGGTGCCATGACAAAACCAACATGATGGGTTTGCGACCAGCATGGATCCAGACCAGCCTGCGCATCCGCGCAGTCTGATCAGGATCCATGCTGTTCGCTATCAGTTTCTCTACTTGCTATAGGGTTTGTAAGCAAACAGCATGGATCCTGATCAGACTGCGCGGATGCGCAGGCTGGTCTGGATCCATGCTGGTCGCAAACCCATTATGTTGGTTTTGTCGTGACGCGGCTCATATAAACATTGTAAGTAAGTAAAAGATCTCTTTAAAATTCTATAAAAATTAATAAAAAAACAAATATTTCTCTGTTTTTCTTATTGAGATGTTGGTTGATATGAATTTGACAATTCATGCAAAAAACAAGATTTATATCATAAACCAGCTTTTATGAAAACATTACAAAACATTGAGTCATAACACAGACATAAATGATCTAATTACAAAATCCTGAACAATATGTATCAGGTGACTTTGTGACAACAGTTCTATAAAAGTTTGGTTGAAATCTTTTGATAAATTAAGGAGGTGTGCATAGGTAAAATTAATTTATGCTGGCCAAGTCACCTGCCCACAAAACAGCAGACATTCACAAATCTGTTTGCCTTGGGTTCATCAAACTTCATACTTTTCAAAAACCTAAATTAATACATATATCTGCCAAAAAGAAATGATAAAGACCCAAACTTCTTTGACAGGTAGTCTTCCCTAAATAAATTGTTTTCTTTTGGTTGTAATGTAAGTCACACTGACGTTCTCATCATATGATAACTTTCTACTTTCCCTTTAGGATTTAAACTCTTTTACATCACATGGCACTGCAGATCTTGATATTGCCTTAACTGCAAGCTAACTTACCCCAATAGAAGCTGATCTTTAGGATCCTGTGAGACATAAACATAATCACGGAGGTAAGCTTTAGGTTTCAAGCCTAAAGCCAGGGCTTTTTCTTCTGACATGATCAAACAAGCGGATGCTCCATCAGTCTAATGAATTAGAAAAAATCTCAATCAGTGTACAAAAATTAGTTTCATAATGATAAAAAGAATTATAAATTTGAAATATATATTCAAAATTTAAACAATATTCAAACTAATATAGTGGATTTTAAGCAGAATAAACCCTTGAACAAGGTTTATAAATTTATTTTTTGCATGTTCTGTATCTGTACCTGAACCAGGAAATTTTAGGAGAAAGAAATAGAATCACAGCCTGTCAAGCATAGACGATTAACCTTTTAAATTCATAGTATGATAAATAATAAGTATGTAAAAAAACTTTAAATCAAACATAAACAGTGTATTATTACTAGGAATGATGCATTAGCAGCTGTAATTGTTCCATATGGTTTAACAAAAGCAGCTTTCAATTTAGACATCTGTTCCATAGAAGATGGTCGGATACCATTGTCCTTGGTTATGAAAATTTTTCCCATCGTAATAAAAAAAATTATTTTAAAAAATATGCCTGTTTACCATAATTAGGGGAAAAAAACCTTATTTCTGAAAAATATTTCAAGAAACATAAAAAAAATTTAAAAAAGGTCTTTATGGAGATTTTTCCCATTTTTACTGATACGGGAAGACCCGGGTCCCCATCCTAATTTTTTTAAGACAGGAACGAGCACCAAAGTAAATTTTTCTGTAAGTCTTTTGAATAGCTGCCTAAAATAGGGAATCCAAAGTTCTTGTTGGTATTAAAACCCACAGCTGTGAAGGGCTAGTTGTTCCAAGTCAGCAACCTTAACTCTTAACATTCAGAAATATCAAGTGATTAGTCTTTGTCACAAATATAAAGCAAGGCCTGCCAGAACTTATGTGCAGTCTGTCACTATCGACTGATATACTTTAAATTTCTATCTTGATATACCTTACATTGATAATAGCAGTTCCAAAATAGAGAATAGTATTCAAAATACCCTTTCATCTATTATCTTCTTCATTCTTTCAATCTTTTTGTGAAAATCTATGTTTATGTACAATTATTTTTTTTAAGTTGGGTTTTATGTCGCACCAACACAGTACAGGTCATATGGAAATTTTTCCAGCTTAACTGGTAGAGGAAGGCCTCAGGTGCTCTCCTGTTAATTATTTCAGGCACAAATGGGCACCTGAGTAGAACCAATAAAAGTTCCATAAGCTAGCTGGATAGCTTCCTCACATTCAATTAATATTTCAATATTAGATTATTTTGGTTATTCAGCCATTAGTTGGGACCATCTTTTGTACCCAATTTGGTAAACATACAGCTGCAAATATACAATATGTAAGTAAAGTATTAATATCAATATTGACATACTGGGAACTTTATATGCTAGGACATCAGTCAGGTAACCATTGTCTGTTGCCTCCTGTGCCAGTGTGTGTGATCTTAATGCAAACTCATCCTGTTAAAATATAACAATCATTGTAGACATACAAACAAACATACATTTGTACTTACACAGTGCTACAAAAACGAAAACTTTAATGAAGCCAGAACTTGAAAAATTAAGAAAAAAAACTGTCAAATAATAAGTTGAATTTTGTGTAAAAGTAATTTCGATATTGTACCATTATTCTATTTATACTTCATTATTCATACTTCCATTCAAACAATGCTCACATTCCTATATAAAGTATCATCACTAGGTGATAAAACCTTGAAATGTTTGATGACATGTTGAAGTTGTAAAGTATACCTGTGCCTGTCTGCTCACACCAAATGCTGTACACAATCTGTCAGCAGAATGACCCATTGTTTCTCCAGATGAAAACTCGGCAACAGCTGGTAGCTGTAACAAGTCATTATGATGTGTATTTAACGATCAATATTAATTTCATTGAAAAGATACAAAAAGCATAATTTTGAACTTCTAAGACATCTGGAATGAGTGTCTTATGTTCAAAACTAGATTTTGTTTTAACTACTTAATTTTTAAAGTCATCAAGTGACAGTATCTTTAACATTAACATTTCCTTTAACTTGATGCTGGTACATAGGTCTTAATTGAAATGATAGAATATTAAGAATATTATATGTTTTCGTTAGTAGCAGTACTATATTGTATGATTACATTTATAATGATATCCAACCCTAAATAGAAATTAAGTTATTTTTTCTTATTCCCACAAGTCATGGACATCTTACAATAGTTGAACAGATAAAACATAACGACCAATAAGAAATGCCTTTTAAAAACAATTATCTTAAAAAAAACAACAACTAAAAATACAAATCCACTGATTGTTGTTTTTTTTTCGGGACAAGGACAAATATTCAAAATCTCATTTAAATATTTATACCTCAGGCATCCATACAGATGAACTGAACAGTTTCTTGATCAGGTTAATTTTCTTGTCCCTTGTTTTTGCCTTGTTGAAGTCCAGCATTATTTTCCTCATCTTTCTACTATGTCTAATAGGTACATCAGACATAAACTCCACGCCACCAGCAATAACAGCATCACACTGGCCTGCAGCAATCAGTCCAATAGCTGTAATGTAAGAGCATGGTACTAATTTAATAATTCACATAAATACCAGTATCTTTTATCAATTTTCTGTTTCCTCCATCCAATATGTGTTGAAGGCTCAAAATTCATCAAGTGTTTAATAATCACAGAATATAGAGGTTCTTTTTTAATGACTGAAAGAATAAATTGCTCCCTAACATTTTGCTAAAAATGTGAGCTACTTTTAATGGTATATTTGAGTCTGTAGTATAACAATATTGCTATTAGTGTTTGCACATTGAAAAAAAACTGAAGAAAAAATAATACAGTGATAATTTTTGCTTAATAATCGTTTTCACAGTTACCCTTATAGAACTGGCCTTTGCTACAGTTCAGTTTGCACTTTCTTGCAGTCTGATCAAGCTTTATACTGTTGGATGACCAACTTCAAATTTTTATTTTTGATATACCCAATGTTGGTAATGGATAGTTCCAGCAATAAAAGTGGCAAATCCATTTAAGGAAAGAGAAAATTGTATAACAAACCTGATGTAATTGCTTGATTAGAAGATATACAAGCTTGTGTTACAGTGTGAGCAGGTGTCTTGTCAGAGAAACCAGCTGACAACATTGCCTGCAACAAATATATCATAAAAATAAGTTACTCTTTTTCTCAAATTTTAAACTAATACAAAGGTGATTTTTATGATATCATACTTGAATACTTTTAAAAGCTAGGTTGAATCACTTTATTCTGTACACTTGACATCTTTTTTAATAAATGCGGTAGCTACCAAAATTTTGGAAAAATGTGTCATATATTAGTGATTATTCTAGACTTGAAAAAGGGGCAGGGAGGCACCAAAAAGGGGCAGGGTGGAACATGTGTCAAAGGGAAACGCTTCACATTTAATACATGATTTTTAAAGACTCAGAATTTTTAGATGATAGGTATATAGCACAGACAAAGACAAAGCAAAAGAACACTTTTATTTCAAATCATTTTTAAATACATGTATTTAACAACTCATAGCATCACAATTGACCAAAATAATATGACAGTCACATAAAACATTTTTAAGGATGAATAAAAAATAATATCTGGTTTGGTGGAATATAAAATTTTATGTAGTCCTGACACAAATATATTTCTTCTTTCACTAATAAAAGTTATATGTAATTTCTATGAACTGTAAATAAAAGGTTTAAGAAAAATTTAACATGAATCTTGTACAGAATGCATAAAATATGACATCTGATGTTGTGCTATATAATTGGCGCCCTGCAATAAATTCATTGACATAAATATATACAGTCATTATATTAAGAATTTATTTCTTAAAAATAGTACTGTTATGAAAGCTTTTAACATGAAACCTTAAAATATACATAAAATGTGACAATGTAAATGTAGCATTGCAATAAAGTCATTGATACAAATATATACAGACAGTACAATTCTTTCATTGAAATATAATTTCTTTGAGCTTTAAATCTATAAAAATAGGACAGAGGACAGTCATGAGAAAAATGAACATGAAACCTTCAAAAATACACATGAACAAACAAATATGACATTTTCTTTAAAATTGTTCACAACATTTTTATTCATTGTAACACAATTAAATATATAATTGTCTAATCATTTTTTGCCAGGGTGGCATACAGAACTATACACCTTCTTGAGGTACATACAGCTATTATTTCAGTCACAAACAGTTCTTAGTTTATCCGTCTTGGTTTTAAGCTGTGCCACTTCCTAACGGTTCTCTCAATGTCAAGGTATTTATCATTTCTGTGAATCATAAGAAGCTGATGCACACTATTGACACTCAACCTGTTTCTGATTTCAGTCTTTGTTCTAGCTACATCTGAAAACACCTTTTCAACCTCAGCAGTACTAATAGGTAGAACTGCTGCAGTTGCACACAGTTTTTCAATGTGTGGGCAGTAATTTCCCGTCACATGTTTAACAGAGTTCAAGATTTTAATCATGTTCATTGCACCAGTAAATTTATCATGTACTACACTCTGTAGAGATGTTCAAAGAAAAACCAACGATTTTATCTTTATAAAGTAAATCTAATTTCGAATCGATTCAATGAAATTGATTACAAATTGTCATTATCTTGCAATTTGTTATGGTATTTCACATATGATTTTAGGTAACTAATAGATTCTAACTGTAGTTGTTACTGTAGTTCTATTTCATAAAAAAAAAAAAAAAAAAAAATCTCCCGACTTTCAACCGCAGAAACACAGTTAATCTGTAGATTAATAATTCATTCAATTCATTAAAATGTCTTACAGCTTGAGACAAATATTCGCTTATTCATAATTGTCTTTGTTTATTTTCTGTAAAATTGCCGTACGATTAGTCTAAACAGTCTATGTCAAAAGTATACGAAATTTTACCGACATTCATCAAGCAATCGTGTGAACAAACATATTAGTGAATGCATTATAATTTGATTGTCTCCGTAAATCATTGCCATTTTAATCAGTTAATGACCAAGGATTATCAATCAGTCGGTAATGTTCCTTACTAATCATTTCAAACTGTAGCAAACATAATTTGATTGAAACCACTTCACACGGGGCCGCTTCACACGGCCCACTTCACATCGGTCAGTCAATTGTTATCGCTGTGGGGCACCCGGTTTGTATAGTGGAGCGTGTCAACATCTGATCATAATCTTATCTTATAGATAAGTGATTGGCAGTTTTTTATGTATCTTATGCATATTTATTGTGTACAGCGGGGCGCATTTAAGTATACGGGGCGGTGTTTTAAGAGGCAAAAGGGCGGACTTAAAAAGGGGCTGGGCGGAGCGCCCTGTCATTCCGCGCTAGAATAATCATTATATATGAAAACATTACTTTATATATGACTCATCAGGCCTAACATGAACTATATCAATATTCATACATGAAAAGTTGAAAATTAATTTTCATGAACTTGAGTTTTCTTTCTAAATTTACATAAAGGGTAATATTCAAACAATGCATATCTTGTACACATTACATACACAGTGTACATGGAGCTTTGTCAGAATGATTGTTCACCTATTTGTTCTCTTACACATTAAACCAAATACCTTTACAAAAGAACCACCTTAGGTTATTCAAGACAATATTTTATAAAGATCCTTCATTATTTCCCTAATGGATATGATATGAAATTTGCTGAGCTATACTCATTCACCTCATTTTGATTTCATTTCAATAGGATAACATGGCACATCATAAAACAAACAATGAACAGAAACAACATGTATAAATATAAAGGGAGATAAGCAGTACATAAAAATAAAACTATATAACTTCATATTAATTTTCAGTTTTGGGCAAATAAATATACTGAAATTACTTCAGAGAGATAATGTTAAATATCATAATCATCTCACCTCTCTGGCAATATTGCTGGTTTTCACCTCTTGTATGACAGTTCCATACACAACATAATCAATGATATCTGAAGTAAAATATTCGACAAACATGTCAGACAAAATATCACTGTGATAACTGAATACTGTCTTAACCAAATTACTGGTAAAAATATTATTTGAATACAAAGCTTGAACTAAACATATTTATTGAGTCTCATTGAATTATCTAAGTATAATATGGCATTAAACAGAGACAGTTACCAAGTAGTTGAAAATGATGAATTGAAAAGAATCTTAATATGGATAAGTTTCAGTTTAGCAAGAAATCAAATGTCAGAATAGTAACTAGTAATAATTATTGTAAAACTTGATGACATGTATAAATGAAAAGAATACATCTTCACACTCTATAAAACTTACTTTTAGCACATTAACACCAATTTACAGAAACATTTGGGTATATGCATACAAGTGGTATTAAGCATAGATCATGACAATGCAAGCACTTTGTGATTTTTAAATGATTGTTCTTTTATATTTACATAAAAGGTTTTAAACTGGTATGCCTAATCTCACGTTATAAAATCTAATTATAAAACATCAGTAAATACCTTTATCGACACCTGTCTTCTTCATCAATCCCCTGAAAAATAAAAAACACTGGATATGAACCATCAATATACCTCCAAATAGTAAAGTCAACTTTTCTAAATTTAACAGAATGATACTCTGCTTGCTTCTTTAAGCTGTTTAAATTGATAATTTTAACAGTATACTATAGGACTACATGTATATTCACAAATAATGGCATTACCGTGCTAATTTTCACAATTCAAGGGGCACTGGATCTATTCACAGAAGATTAGAAAAAATAAACAGATATTAAAATGCAAGTTTTATTGAAATATCAAATGGGGTTCATTTGATAAAGGAAAGTCCAACCTAACCAAATTAGGCTTCAAAACACAGAGGTAATACAATCATATATTCTGTACTTACACTAATGACTTGGTTGCTAAATTATGAGGCATAAGATCTTTGTACTCTGTACCAGACTGTAAGAATGGAGTTCTAACTCCTTCCACAAGAACAACATTGCGCACATTTGGTTTGGCTAGGCTCTTCTTGGCTAAAGAACAAGATAAAGATGAACATTTTTCATTGTTATTTACAACTTGATGAAATTAGAGCTATCTGAATGTTTCATGTTAATATCTTAATTAATTTTTTTTAATCAAAGAAAGTGTAACAATCAAATAAAGTGTTAATTTTTATAGAATTTCACAAAATTTCAAGAAAAATTTCCTTTGTCTTTCACAAATCAAAGAGGCTCAGACCCATTCACAAAAAAACCCTTTAAAATATGAATCAAATTAACTTAGTGAAAATGCTATATTGTGAACACACATAAGGGTATTAAGAGAGGATTCATGTTAATATATTTTTAGCACATATTTACCAAAAATACATAAAATTATGACAGTAGGAGAATGGGATAGAGTATTCCAACAAATAGAAGATGTCCCTGTGATACTTACATTTACCTGTCTGTGCACTAGCTGCTGCATTCCAAGTATTTGATGTTGTCAAGCATCTTATACCTACTAAATAATAACAAAAAGTTTAAATGACTGATGGTATCACTTTAAAATCTAGAGATTGAAAAGTTATGTGAAATAGTTAATTAAATATATTATAGTTTTCTTAAAAACTTATAATAGCTTTCTTAAAAACTATTCTACCACAGACCTTTTTCCTAAAATCACAACAAATAGGATAAGAATTAAGTTTAACTTCAAAGTAATAACTACTTTCTTTATCTATTTAGGTCTCCAAAATTGAGGACATTTTTGTGAACATTGTTGATTAATAGGACTGTTGGACATGGTGAACCACACCCATAATCGAGGGATACTGCCATTGGTGCACTATATATCAGAACAGGCAAACCATGCATCAAAATAAATTTTTCATAAATAGATAATAGCTCAGTCTGGTAGAAGCGAATTTAACTTCTGCACATAAAAACCAATTTATCCATAGTGACATGTTTGTATAATATTGTATTAAGAAGTTGATATGGGGAAGTCAAAGGCCGGGACAGCAAAGCAGGCCTGGGCTTGCTTGGCTATAGACTACATGTGTATATTTCTAAAGAAAACAAATAAAAAACAAAAAATATTTAGAATTCTATACCTATCAATGAAATTTTCAGTATAAGTTCTAGTTGGGCGCCATCATTTTCAATGTAACTCAATGATAAGAGGCGAGGTATTCCAATACCTGACAAGGGCGGCAAAATCAATTGTCAGTATTGCCAGGGTTATCCCAGAGAAATTTTCAAGAATTTACTATATAGATGTTATACGGACAAGTTAAATAATGCTTTAGAGAAAAACGAACTACTGGTTCGGGACCACCAAAACCAGACAACCACCAAACCCGGACGGCCCTAAAAATGCTTGATTTAGTATTTTCTTTGTCCATTGGTTGTTAGTCACTTTTTTATCAACAAGAAATGCATGTTTCTTCTATAATTAAGTAAATAAAGTTATTTCAACCTCCGTAAATGGTAATATTTTAATGTCTATTTCAAGAAGGTTGATGTTGAAATTTGGGTGCTAAGAATGCAACACCTGACGTCATATACCAGCTATAATCATTTGCAGAGTAAACAACATAATATCCAAATTTTTGCATTTGTTGCTGAAATAAAAAATTAAAACACCCAAGCTTTTATCTGAATTAAATCACATCATGTACATATCTGTCCGGACACTTGGTACTGTAGTGTAGACAATTTAGCTAATTTTGATACTGTGCTGCTATGATAATGTGAGAGTGACATTGTATTTTTTGTGTACATAAAAGTTTACAAGTTTGTCTGAATAGGTAAAACAGGTTTTTAAAAGCGAAAATAATACAAGATAAGAAATCAAATTTGAAAAGTCTAGATGGCAAAGTTGGTAAAGCCATTGGGATGCAATGCAGCTTAATTTTTTTCACCAGTTCGAGTCTAACAAGTTGTTATTTTCTTCTTTTTTTGTTTCCCTATCTTTTTTCAATTTTACTAAAGATGCGATTGGAAATTGAAAAAATAAAGGCAGTTTTGTTATGATATCTAATTTACATATACAGATAATAATATTTTTTATCCTGTGTAATGTACAGTATGCAGTAGTCATAGAATTTGTGCAGTACACGAGTATTTCCTGCCAGCTAAACTATAGTTGAAAAAATATGTTTAGATGTATTCATTCCGTTAAGTATTCAAGGATGTACCAACTTGTTAAATATTACTTTTGAAAATAAAATGTAAATGAGAAGTTAATAGAAATGAACACAACATTTAACACTTCTTTACGTCAAGAAAAAAACATATGCGTATTTGAATGTTTATATACAGAAATAATTTTTGCGGAAAAAAGTACCATTCGAACCAGTCTTGCATGGATATTTAAGTGGAAATTTAACTGACAACCTTACCCAAGTACTGCGTTACGCTGACAGTTGATTACTTTGTCGATATCTTAATTTATATGGCAAGCCTGTACTGTGTCAAAGTTTTAGGCCTCTAGGTTTGAAATTATTAAATCTGTATGGAAAAAATGTTCAAAAAATGTCCGTTTGATGGTCCCTGACCAGTAATAAGTCAAAATTTGATTTTACCAGCCATGATAATGGACAATTTCATATCCCCCTACTGCCACTTTCCGATCAGCTAACATATTTTTCTACAAGAACTGACAGTGAAATTATAAAAATAAAATTTCTCTTACAATTCTGCAAATATCATCATTTCAGCTAATAAATGCAACAACTTTTTAAAAATTTTCCTAAATTATTATTATGAATCGAGAACAAATCATTACTGACCCATTTTCCTGTTCTTCAAAATTTCACAACCACTTTTCAATCAGTTAACAAAATATAAACTCTACCACATAAAAATTGTCATACAATGTTAAAATATAACCAGTTATGTATTTTGAAGAAATTTTGACAAACTCAACTTCAGATAAATGGTAATAAACAATTTTAACCTATTTATAATGCCATTTTTCAATCTTGATATTTATTTGCAGTAGTAAAGCTGTCACAATTGGGGTTGGATGTACATCTCAATTTGCATAAAAGAAAAAGCATGTTCTTGTGATTTTTTTAGGATTTTAGTGTCTATATGAATATGATCCCATTCTAGTGACAGCTTTCTGAAAAGTTATCAGAGAGAATGTTTATCCTGGGTTAAGTGACTGTAACTTTACTGACATATTACTTTCCAATTAAGAATTGTATGGTAAAATATGTACATATTAAAATTATAGCTTTTGAAGTGCAGTACACATTATGACTTAATGATATTGAAACAGTTGTCCAACTTAATATCCATTTCTGCAGACTGACAAAAAATTGAGTCTGTAAATCAATTATTTTTAGAAAATTATTGCGATTTGTAACTGGGTAAATAAAGGATTAGTGGAAAACACACATTTTACATATTTTGAACTAAAATACTGGTATTTTCTTTTTTATTGCAATAATTGACATTGCTGCTGATAAATGTAGTCAAGGTAAATACAAGATGTGCTTACAGTTTGGTTACATGACAAATAAGGTCAAAAATGAAGAATTTCTAGGGATGTTTGAAAAGTTTCGCAAAATGCCATTATTTTCAATCCAAATGCCCTCTTCGTACGTAATTCATTAAAAAATACACAAGGATCTCGCTTGTGACAGTATTTTATCGCCATGTATAGCACATGTATATATACACTGTTCCGCTCTGAATATTATATAAGGATTTGATTGGTTAAGATAATTACCGGAATACTATTGACCAATCGTATAATACTATTTCTTTGCTTCATTTATCTGTCACTTCAAATTCCAAATGGCGCACTTTACTTGACCTCCGCTTCTACAACCAATATTTTTTAAATATTTGCGTACAAAGAGGGCTCTAGTTCAATTTAGACTTCGCAGATTGATAGAAAAAGAGTTTGTTTATGAATTTTATGAGGAAATTTTAGATGTTTTCTATTTATTTCGTAGAAATCGACCAGAAATCGTGTTTGTATACATGAATAGATTGGACGTCGAAAACGACATGAATTGAAAATATTGGCATTTTCTGAAACTTTTACTCACTTCTTTGCTATTTGAAGAATTTTAATGAAATAAAAAGCTTTAACGCTTGGATTGATCCTTTCAGATGGCGACCAGAAAGAGATAACCGTGATCTGGTCGTTTCTTTCAGCATTGTTCTTGTTTGTTCCGCATGATGTTTTTGTTTCGTTGGGGGCCTTATATCTTTATATACATATATAGACCGATATGTAAAATATTTGATTATGTGACTAGCGCCTGTGTTGAAAACTGGCAGATTTTTCTCCCACTTGATCATCAAAAAATTAAGTTCACATGTATGAAATAATCGATATATCTGTTAAAAAAAACCATTCATTTTCATTTCGTTATATATTTTGACCGACCATTATGACACTATCAGAAGTGGATTGAAAAATAAAATAAGGTTAAAATATATAACGTCGGTGTCAGTGTCGAATAATCGATAGTTGACTTCGGTTTACAGTCAAAACGTTTTAGAATACATTATAAATACAAATTACAACTAATTTATTCAATACAAATGCGATCTTATACCATTTTTAGACGAAAACTTTACTGCGACTCGTGATAAGTTTGTCAAGGACGCCATGTTGAAACTTCTGCAAATCAGATGTCACGTGACCATATAATTTCTGTCATCAAACTCCAGGAATGACTGAAGCAAAAGCATTTATTACTTTTGCATTTCGTTTTGAATACATAGAACGTATTTTCTATAAAAATATATGAAGTGACATTTCTTACTTATTGAGAAAATTGTGTTTATACAGTGCGAGATTTTATGAAAAACAGCGAGACATCACGAGGTTTCAAAGTTTACCGGTGCGAACATGGCAGGTCGTATTGTCGGCGTTTTCCGTCAGGTTTCAAGACTAAGCAACAAGTTAAAAGCAGGTACGATGTATTTCCTTATAGAACAAGTTTCCCTTTTATATAAATTTATTGGATTTTATACCATTTGAATAGATTTTTGTCGTTACTTAAACATTAAACTATGATCCGCACCTCAACCAACTCGTACCCAATGGACAACCCACATCACCACACAAATAATTAATTATATGTTGAGATTTAATACGAAAGTTAACAAACCATACTTTTTGAATTTATGAAATAAAATCATGTTACGTAGTTGATATTGATCATTTGAGGTGATACTTGAATTATGTTGTATTTTTGAAAAAAATATGTTGTTTGTTATTTGTTTGGGTCGTCAGACCAAACAAATAATGGTAGCGAAATTTCAGAGTCTAATGTTGTTAATTGCAAACGCCGAAAGTAGTCCACTTTTTTGAAGCGGTTACTTCCCTTTATATGTACACTAACGCCGAAAAATTCAGGGGAGATCACTGCGTAAAGATGGTCAAAGACAGGCGAATTAATGTTCAAGCAAAATAATTCCCGAATGGTCGAAGATTTCTAATATTGTTTTATTGTATTTTCTGGTCGAAATTAAGTAAATACAAAGCGGACATTCAATCTCTGACACAGAAGTTCACAACAAACCTAACAACAAGTAGTTCTCAAAACAGCTTAAAACTAGCGATTTAAAAGAAAGAAATATTTTTATTTTGTTACAAGTATCCAACAAATAACAACGCATTCAAAGTTTAAAAATAGCGTTGGCTAATAGAATTGTCAATAAATGCACAATCACAAATTACGCGGATGAATATGATTTTATCAATGAAAATACTATTTTTAGCGATGTCTATTACCGAATACTACACAAACCGAGTAGTGGAATATATAGATTCTACATGTCGGACTGTTTGGGCGAGAAGATTTTCGCTAAATTATTTACTTCAATTTCAAACAACAGGTTTATCCTGAACAAAATACCTCGAAATTAATAAGGATAACAAACCCGAAATGCAATGGAAGTTCTAAGTCTAGAATGACTTGATGTTATTCAGATGTTATTTGTATAACTTCTCCGTGGTGCAGGGGTAACGCGCTCGCTTCAGGAGTGAGAGGTCTGGAGTTCAAATCCAAGTCGAGAAAACTTTTTTTTTTTAATTCTTTTTTAAGTGTCTTTGTTAAGGAAGTAGCCATGATATGCAAGGATAAAGTGTGACTGTCGTAAAAAAATGAACATAAATGATTATTTGATGCATCTCTAGTTATGCAGAATTCCGTATGTATCAAACTCTGGTGCCTTGCAAAATGAATTATAATACATAAAAATAAACTTATACAGGAAAATGCATACAGATATACAGTACGATTAAGATTGCAAAGATCAGAAAATACCACAGAACTTGCATCCCGTTGATTCTTTATAAATATACATTCTTATAGTAAGCTCCAGGATTATTTACATCTGTGTTAAACAACAGTTAAAGTCGTTACAAGCCCTAATTTAGAATAATATGGTTTTCTTCAGGCCGTTCACATATATTCACCGTGGCTGAAGGGTTTTTGCGCTCGCCTATAAAGCGAGAGGTCTGGAGTTCAAATCCCAGTAAAGGCAACTAATTTTTTTTTCAAATTGTTTAAGTCAAATAAACATTGGATTGCATATCAGTGTTGCAATAAGTCTTATAGCCAATTTACTACAATTAAAACGCTGGAAAGCATTGGTGGCACTATACATATAATCTCACAACCTGCACCTTTCTTACATTCTGAGACCCAAACAAATTCAGCGCCTTCTGTGCTTTGATTTTTTTAATGGTTTTGGTGCAGTAGTACCCAATGAACTAGCACATTAATATTATTGACTAATATCTGATAAAAATCAGCTCCTAATTAATGCAATTCATTAGGAACTGATAACCACAAATAGGTTGTCACCTTGTGACCACAGGGGGAAGACGCTGTGATCTGACATTATCCCGGGCCCCCTCCCCCCTAAGGCCCTGCTACAACCCATAAAAAATATCAATGCAAGTTGATTTGCACAATAAAAATTCATAAAAACAATATTCTGACACGTTTTGACGATTTTCATTATACCCCTATACTATATATTATAACAAGGGTACCGTCTTCTGTGCGCTTCCAGCGCTTTGATACTGCCCAAGTTCATATCTATCGTCGAAACTCAGCCAAAACTCAATATAATTTTAAAAACATGGTCTCGATCAACGCAGCATTGATAAATGTATGTAATAACAACAGTCAATTTTGGAAATGTTGGCAACTTATTTTGATACAACTCCCGAAATTGCCGGTGACTTGAAATCTGACAAGATCTGATTCACGTAAACATTGAAATGTTCACGACTGAATTGCATCAGAAACGCTAAGATGCGTAGAAAATTTAATTGCATCTGTTAAAACAAAATATTCAATAAACATTACCACAAAAATACACTCCGAATATATTTCCTATCGTGGCGTAACGATCAAAGTATAATCCGATATTCCCGTCTTTTCTCATGCCTCCATTACACAAACTTGACCCGGAAACGGTAATGCACAACTCTGTATGGTTCTCGTCCTCGCTTATACGACGGCGTACGATTCGGTACCAGTACTTTGTAAACATAAACACGTGTAAATATAGCGCCAATTTCGAAAGTTTGTCTAGAACTGTTTTCGCACATTTTCTGTCGATATAGTACAGAAATCACAAAATGTCAATAGTTTCCTGGTAAACATATTAATAAAACACTGTATTTGTACACTGGAGCTGCCAATATTTTATACACGTGTTTATGTTTACAAAGTACTGGTACCGAATCGTACGCCGTCGTATAAGCGAGGACGAGAACCATACAGAGTTGTGCATTACCGTTTCCGGGTCAAGTTTGTGTAATGGAGGCATGAGAAAAGACGGGAATATCGGATTATACTTTGATCGTTACGCCACGATAGGAAATATATTCGGAGTGTATTTTTGTGGTAATGTTTATTGAATATTTTGTTTTAACAGATGCAATTAAATTTTCTACGCATCTTAGCGTTTCTGATGCAATTCAGTCGTGAACATTTTAATGTTTACGTGAATCAGATCTTGTCAGATTTCAAGTCACCGGCAATTTCGGGAGTTGTATCAAAATAAGTTGCCAACATTTCCAAAATTGACTGTTGTTATTACATACATTTATCAATGCTGCGTTGATCGAGACCATGTTTTTAAAATTATATTGAGTTTTGGCTGAGTTTCGACGATAGATATGAACTTGGGCAGTATCAAAGCGCTGGAAGCGCACAGAAGACTGTACCCTTGTTATAATATATAGTATAGGGGTATAATGAAAATCGTCGAAACGTGTCAGAATATTGTTTTTATGAATTTTTATTGTGCAAATCAACTTGCATTGATATTTTTTATGGGTTGTAGCAGGGCCTTAGGGGGAGGGGGGCCCGGGATAATGTCAGATCACAGCGTCTTCCCCCTGTGCTTGTGACCTTTTAAACAACCAAACATCTAGTTCTGGCTTCCAAAACTTTATAAGCCGCTTTTTAACATTTTTGTTTTTCATCAGATGCGGCATTAAAGTTTTGGATTAGACCCGTTACGAAACCTAACCAGAATAACATAAGTTGATTTATTCTTGTTTTTCACTTGCAAATACACTTGACCCGATCAATTCTTGTGCATTTTACGGTAAAACAATTATTTAAATATCGTTCTATACCAATTCAAGTAATAAAATATTAATACCGTCATTAAAATTGCCTATTTAACTGTAAAACATCAATTTTCGCCGACTACAGTCGGCCATGACATTCAAGTGCTATGCGAGACCTCGTATGACGTCATTCGCGGGAACAGATTTGAATAGAGTTGTGTACTATATTTAGAACATTTTGTTGACATGATTTCGATATTTTTATTCAAGATAATGTTTTTATTTATTTTCATAAACTTTTAAGTATTTAAATATGATTTTATTGAATATAACAGTCAGTAAATAACCTTTTTCAACATCTTAAAAAAAAGTAATCTATAAAAATATTGGAGGCACATGGGTTCATAAAGGTCAATCTCGTAATCACGTGGTCAAACATTTTGGCAATATGGCGGCCAAGTGCCGAAATTTTTACCTGTCGGAAACTATTAGGTAGTTTATGTTCCTAATAAGATTTTTATTTGTCCATCCTTGGCTTATCAACAGATTATATATCGTTTTATCAAGGTATGCTTCACTTTACTTCGTGGCATGTTCGATAAATAAATACGAGCGTGTCAGATTCCTGGCACGATTATTGGTGGACTTTCCCTACGGGGTTATCTTCAGCGTTCACGTCATGTCATATATATAAACGGGTACGCTGAAGACCTTAAGCTACCAAACATCCAGCTTTCACAATTTTGAAAGTGATGCTGGAAAACCAATACTGAGTAGGTGATTTTCACAATTTTGAGCACAAACATGACATTATTCTTATAGCCCGCAGGCAAACTGGCAAAACAATCTCGCCCACGGAAAAATTGAGTCTATTTTTTCCATTTTATTTGTTTCAAACATTTTTTTCTAACAAAAATCAACAATTTGTTTTACTTTTACAGACATTGTTATTTTGATACTTTATCTAATGCCTCTCTGTAAAGGACAGTTTGATTGCATGGCTAAAAATCGGCTTTCTTGGATAATCTGAATGATAATGAAGACAAAACAAACTTGGTGGCAATCAGATCTACATGCAAGAATAGGCCCCACATTAAGACTGTTGCTAACTAGGAAATATTTGAATTCTTTAGGAAACCATACATTTGTATTCTATCACACATAAATTATCATTCTTTAAATTTCTTGTCAAGTTCTTGTTGACTTCAAGGTATTTCTTTATATTTCAGATGCTGGTTTCAAGAGAGCATTTTCTTCAACAAATGTCATGAACTATGGTAAGATTTCTCTTTTGAATGTAAATTAATTGAGATAATATATATATAGGAAAATTAACAATTTGCACAAATGTTCAAAAGTGTCTGGTTGATGGTTCAAGATTCGTAAGAAAGGAAATTAATTCAGATTCCCTTTAAAATAATCTTTCGTGGCTTGCATTACCAAAAACTGATTAATATGTAACAGTGTTCGCGTTTACTGAGTAAACATATCAATTTACTAGCTAAAATTGCCAGGGAGGAAAGATAAAAAGGGCTGTTAAGTCCCTGGGGGGAAACACTTTCCCCCCCCCTAATTGGTTAATTCTCTCTTAAGTTTTTTTTGCTCTGATTGAAAACGGATTTTCTATTTGCTTTAAATAAAATGTATTTTAAGAACTTGACTTTCACCTCATTTTGATTTGTTCCCTTCTCATTATAAGCAATGCAGATTGATATCCCACAAGTTTGATTGTATTATGAAGTTATGCAAACAACATTTTTGTAATTGAGGACTCGTCCCATTTGAATTGGGACGTAACAGATCTATTAGCACCGAGTCCCAGGTACTCAGTAAAGTTAGGGAAAATGGCTAACACTGATGTTCATTCATCAAATAACTATAAATGGCACAAAAACAAGCATGCTGGTTAAAAAAAAAGGAAAAATTAATGGTGTCCATGATTTGACTAATTTTAAAATATTTTGCTTAGATTTTTTGTCAAAATTGCCTATAAATAACATGATTTTAAAACTATGAAAGATATCATAATCAACATGTAGCTTAGAATACTTGATTCTTATGACATTGCACAGTTGTTAGACAAGGGGCAATATTTTAAGGAGTTATGTCCCATTTTAACTTAGAATTTTTATTTAAAAAAAATGGTTATTTATACTGGTTGCCTTAACAGACGTGTGTTTACAGTTTACACAGTATGCAGTGCTCTTTTTAACTTGTCTGGTATGAAGAAAATGGGGAGCTTTTATGATTGTTGAGTTTTCATTTCCCATTTTAACTTAGTTAGTTTTTTGTCAAAATTGATTATTGATAGTCATTGTCCTTAACAGGAAAATGTAAACACTGCATGTTGTGCTCTTGTTTTACAAGTAACAAAGTGAAATGTCATCAAACTATGTGCTCACAGTTAGTTTGGCACTTGCTAATATTGTTTTACATTATTTTAGGCAAATATCTCAACTACAAGGTTGAGGATGGTATTGCAGTGGTCAAATTTGATGAGAAAGATGCTAAGGTATGCTGTAAAATTATCACAAATGATAATTAAATGTCATTACATCATATACCCTGTGGATTGAAATCTTGCTTGGAATATTGAAAATTTGCATGAACATGATTGTTTTAAAGAGAGTTATTAAACTGTTCTGATCTGTTGCTTAAAAGAAGTGACTGGTGATATGGTCATACACATGTTAAAAAAAAATTTTAAGTCATGTTGATGGTAGATTTTCAACTTTAAAAAAAGTTGTCTAGTTTCCCAAAATGTTGAATAATATTTCCCAATTTATGTAGAGGGCCTTTTCCCATTATAAATTGAAAAAGCCCTGCAAGCGTAAAGAAAATTTGTGATTCTACCTACATGTGTATTTAGTTGTATCAAATATCTGTTGTTGTTTTATGACTATTTACATTCAATGTTGGTGAAGCTATAACACTTTATTATTGTCGAATAATTTTCCAAAAACAGGATTAAACTGTCAAATATTGTTTTGAAATATGCATTGGAATCCTCAAGAGGTCAAAATAGTTTACAGTCATGCAGGCATGGAACAAATTTTATGCTATCTTACAAATAAGTTGTATTATTATTATTATGTATAGGTAAACACATTATCTCGAGGAACTATGGATGAGTTTAAGGAGGTATATAAAGAAATATCTAATTCCTCAGATGTGAAGGGCATTGTCATCATTTCTGGCAAACCTGACTGTTTCATAGCAGGGGCAGATATCAAGTAAGTAGTCATAAATCTAATTAAAGTATATGAAGTGCATTAAACAGTTGTGTCTGGTTTTCAGTGGTTGAGTCATTTACATCTTAATATGTTTAAAAACATATAGAGGTAAATGTCTATGCTTTTATGTTGTATTAGCCAGTATTACCAGTAATATGGTTTGGTTTTAAAGCAAATGGTTCAAATTACATACAAATGGAAATAGGACACTAGTGGACCACACTTTCAATGTTTAAAAACTTCTAAGGCACAGTATTGCCTGGATATTAGAAATATTCAGATAAATGGAAAAAAATTATGATTATATACATGTATATAGTATGTTTTGATAGTAAAAGGTGTAGCTACATAGTGTTAATGTATGTCAGAGAAGATAAGGATGGCTGTCCGCAATTCAGTTAACCCTCACTGCTGTGAGTTAAAATCTCACTGTAGGCATTGAACAGAAACGATTTAGCTAGTATATATTTAAGTACAGTAGTTAGTAACCTGTACTGTGTAGTCAGCCATACATTAACTGTTTATATTCTTGTAAAACAGTATGATAAATGCCTGCAAGTCAGCAGCTGAAGCTACAGAACTGTCAAAGAATGGTCAGGATATGTTTAATGAGATAGAGGCTCTCAAAACACCAGTGGTAGCAGCTATAATGGGAACTGCTCTTGGTGGAGGGCTTGAGGTATACTTTATATTATTCTTTTTATATGCCCGAAAGGGCATATTATGTTATACCCCCTGGCGTCCGTCTGTCTGTCCGTCCGTACGTCCGTCCGTCCGTTAGCAATTTGGTTTCCGGAGCATAACTTAAGTTCCTTTTGGCCCACAATGTTCAAACTTCATAGGATGATTGTCCATATTGGGTAGAAGACCCCTATTGATTTTGGGGTCAAAAGGTCAAAGGTCAAGGTCACTATGACCTTAAAACTAAAAACAGTTTCCGGAGCATTACTTAAGTTCCATTCGACCTACAATGTTCAAACTTCATAGGATGATTGTCCATATAAGGTAGAAGACCCCTATTGATTTTGGGGTCACAAGGTCAAAGGTCAAGGTCGCTATTACCTTGATACTGAAAACAGTTTCCGGAGCATAACTTAAGTTCCAATTGACCCACAATGTTCAAACTTCATAGGATGATTGTCCATAGTGGGTAGAAGACCCCTATTGATTTTGGGGTCAAAAGGTCAAAGGTCAAGGTCACTATGACCTTAAAACTGAAAACAGTTTCCGGAGCATAACTTAAGTTCCATTCGACCCACAATGTTCAAACTTCATAGGATGATTGTCCATATTGGGCAAAAGACCCCTATTGATTTTGGGGTCACAAGGTCACTATTACCTTGATACTGAAAACAGTTTCCGGAGCATAACTTAAGTTCCAATTGACCCACAATGTTCAAACTTCATAGGATGATTGTCCATATTGGGTAGAAGACCCCTATTGATTTTGGGGTCACAAGGTCAAAGGTCAAGGTCACTATTACCTTGATACTGGAAACAGTTTCCGGAGCATAACTTAAGTTCCATTTGGCCCACAGTGTTCAAACTTCATAGGATGATTGTCCATATTAGGTAGAAGACCCCTATTGATTTTGGGGTCAAAAGGTCATGGGTCAAGGTCACTATATCCTTTAAACTGAACACAGTTTCTGGAGCATAACTTAAGTTCCATTTGGCCCACAATATTCAAACTTCATAGGATGATTGTCCATATTGGGCAAAAGACCCCCTATTGATTTTGGGGTCACTAGGTCAAAGGTCAAGGTCACAATTACCTTAAAACCAAAAACAGTTTCCGGAGCATAACGTAAGTTCCATTTGGCCCACAATATTCAAACTTCATAGGATGATTGTCCATATTGGGTAGAAGACCCCTATTGATTTTGGGGTCACAAGGTCAAAGGTCAAAGTCACTTTTACCTTAATACTGAAAACAGTTTCTAGAGCATAATTAAAGTTCCAATTGGCCCACAATATTCAAACTTCTTAGGATGATTGTCCATATAAGGTAGAAGACCCCTATTGATTTAGGGGTCACAAGGTCAAAGGTTAAGGTCATTATTAATAACTTAAGTATTAATCAACCTACAGCTGTAAAATTTTATAGGATGAACAGCGAATTCCCATGTCTTACAAATGCTTCATCCTTACTAAAAAAAAACCACTTTCGGGCATATAATGCTCCGCCTAGCGGTGCTCTTGTTATCAGTTTGTTATTTGTCCATTTTAATTGCTCTGATGAAATTATGGAACCAGCTTTGTGAAACAATGTTATCTGTTTTAACAGTAGCTTAATCATATACATGTACTGTTCTTTTACATGTGCTTTTAAAAAGAAAAAAAGAAAATTATTGTCATTATTATTATAATACTCATTTACACAATTCTCTTTTGATGCATCTTTACATCTCTGTATTTAACTATTGTATTTTACTAATTTCAAAATCGAGAACATACTCGAACTAAATCATCCTACAAATGTGTGGTTATTATAGATTGTAGACAGATAATGTTTTATAATAGAAGATTGTAATAAAGAGCATATAATTTGTGTTTTAGACTGCCTTAGCGTGCCACTACAGGATAGCAGTGAACAATAAGAAGACATCAATGAGCTGTCCAGAAGTTATGCTAGGGTTACTGCCTGGTGCTGGAGGCACTCAGAGGCTACTTAAACTGGTAACAAGATTAACATTTCTTTGTCCTACCCATCAGTCAATTATATCAAGTGTAAATTTACACATATAAGATTTTTATGCCAATATACGATCAAAAGTGTTGGTTTTTACCTGCCTGTCTGTTTGGGTAACTTACATGGGACATGAAATACCTCTGCACAGCATATGTCTGAATGTTTGTTTCATTTTGATATAATGTGGACCCCTAAATGAATTTGACCTTTGAAGTATTTTCACAGTGCTTATACCATGTGACATGTAATGATCTGTGCAATTGAAATATATATATATATAACAAACCAACATGCTATTGATCTAAGTAAAGTTACAGAAAAAAATATTTTGGCATCAAAATGTTCTATCCATTGTATATATGTTACATGTATGAAGCAAATTTGCCAGAAAAACTGCTTATTTCTAGGCTAAATTTATACAATTGTAAAAAAAAATCTTATGATATAATATATGCTGGTAACTGGATTATTTTCAGCTGCCATTTCAAACAGCAATGCCAATGATGCTGACTGGAAAATCTTATGATGCAAAGAGAGGGAAGAAGATTGGACTTGTTGACATGGTTGTGGAACCTATCGGTAAGGCATCTTCTTTGTTATGTAGAAAATGACAGCATTATCATTGGTTATGTATATACACTGCTTATTTTAGCTTAAACATTTTCAAAAATTGGTACTGTTTTGAGGTAAAAGATTTGATATTATCATTAATTTAGTGTATCTACTTACAACACTATATACAAAACATTTGCATATGAAATGAATATTGATGAAATGAAGGACTTAGTGCCATCAGAGATGTTAGTAAATGAAATGTAACAATAGATTTGCTGAAAATACCATGTAAAAAAGCGTTTGCTTAATCAAAATATAACATTTAAAATGATGCACAGTGATAGTACTGTTATATTTATTCTTAAACCATGTAAAAAAGAATTTTGTTAATTAACCAAAATAGAACTTTAAAAATGATGCACAGTGCTGTAATATTAAACAATTTTTATAGTTTAAGAATATTGATTGTTCCTATTGAAGGTGTTGGATTGAAGAGTGCAGATGAAAATACCCTGCAAGAATTGGAGAGAGTTGCAATCCTCACAGCAAAGTAAGATCATGTTCAAATATCTTAATATGATTCAGATAATGAAAAATATGATGTCACTTAACCTGCTAAATTTGTGTAATGGTTGAATCCTATTTACCATGCTTTGACTTTGGAATACTCCATTCAAATTTAAAGGGATTTCAATAATAAAATACTAGAAGTAAGCTACCAACAGTATAGAATCTGGCCAGACTTCGCATTATTTATGATATAATTAATATCTAAAGAGATTTTAAATCTTGGAATGACAGAAGTCGAGCCTAAAATCTGTTTATGCTTTATCTTTTTATGGAAGTGTGATAAACAATTGTACAGTAGTAGACTAGTATTTGATTCGTTGATTAAATCATTTCAGAGGATTAGCTGATGGTACAGTGAAAAAGCCAAAAAGAGAGAAAAAGGGGTTAAATAGTAAGGTCTTTTTGCTTTCTTTGCTACAATTTGAAAAAAATGTTATTAATTTATTTGCTACTATAAACCTATTACCTGCTGAATTTTGTTAATGGACTTGTCCAGTTTTATGTTTTGGAACAGTCCATTATCAATTTTGGGTATAATTATGAGAAAATTTAAAATAAGTCAGCCAACAGTAAAGAGTGATCAGACTGCATAGATATATGCAGGCTGGCTTAGCTCTATATATTGGTGGCAAAGGCTATTCACTTTAGGTTCAAGCTACATAAGGTTTTAAGGGTGCTTACTTCAAATCACTTGCCTCTCACCACACCCTGCTAAATGACTTTGGATTCTTTTATGTTAGGAAGCTAACCAACCAGCTTATAAAAGATCGATGGTGGTACTCTGTTGCCTGCTTTAGTGTGATATGATATCAAAGGTCTTCCTACACCAGTTATGCTTGAAAGTCACAATTTGGTCTTTTCATAGGGGCAACTGTGGCCAAATGGTTATGGCCATTGACTTCAAACCACTTGCTCCTCACGGCTGTGGGTTTGAATCCCTACAGGGACTTTAGAGTCTTTCATATGAGGAAGCTATCCAGCTAGCATATGGAATGTCAGTGGTTGTTCTCAGGTGCCTGTTGGTGCCTGAAATAATGTACAGAAGGGCACCTGAGGTCTTCCTCCACCAGGAAAGCTGGAAAGTCGCCATATCATCTCACCTGTCCTATGTTGGTTCGGCGAAAAAACCCAGCAAAAAAAAAAAATTGACCTTTTCAATTTGGTGCGACTTTAAATCCAACAATATAATAAAAAATTAAAAGAAACATTTGATGAGGTTGTGAATGAAATTTGATTTAGAAAGATTGTTAAAGAATTGTAAAATTTACAAAGTAAATACAAATATTACATTGAAAGACTTAAATGAAAATGATTGTTTTCCAGAATATATTGATAAATTTGCCAGTATGAAAATTGGAGATGTGTTTTGGGAGACTGGAGTTAAAAAGAAAGTCATGCAACAAACAAAAGGCAAATACCCTGCACCATTGAAAATTATTGAGGCAAGTATATCACTGCTGTTCTTTTAAAGTAATTAAGTTTGCTCATACATTCTGAAACTTCTCTAGGACTATGTAGCATACTTGAGGTAGGTGAATTTTCCAGTGATAAAAACCTGCCTCATGAGTAAAATGCATGAAAAACCCAGGACATTTTTAATATATTGATGTCATTTTTAGCTGGACTATTTAAATTAACCAGACACTATGGTTTTAAAAACAAAGCCATTTGAAATTGACAAAATTTTATTTTTCTGGTAAACTATAAGAAAATTATATCATCCTTATGAAAAAACCTAAAATATTGTATCTTCTAAAGTTTGTAGGAATGCAGTATACTGTGTTTATGTAATAATGTTCCATTTTCAATCTCTGGTATTTGTCTAAGTTTCTGTTTAATATTATAGGTGGCCAAAACTGGTGCAGTGGAAGGTGCTGAAAAAGGATATGCTGCAGAAGCAAAGGTAAGATTGTAACATTGTTGTCCAAATCTGTAACATACATGTAATCTTGTAACCCTACCCAGTTGGCAATAACAGATTCTGCCTATGCAGCCAGTGCTGACACATCTGTGCCTGCTGTCTGATCATTTCCTGAACAGTTTGCTATTCAGTCAGTACATATTTAGAAATTTCCCCTAAAAATGATGCAAGGTCTTATTCTGATTGAAAGATTGACAAGTCCATATAAGATAATAAGTGTGGTAAGAGTTAAAAATATAATAGAACAACATCATCAAGTTTTGCTTGATTTTCAAGATATTTTATATATACAATGTATATACATATTATGTAAGAAAGAAAATTCCAATGATTGCTATCATGAAAATTTTGATGTTTTAGGCATTTGGAGAGCTAGCTATGACATCTGAATGTAAAGCATTGATTGGATTGTTCAACGGACAGACAGCGTGTAAGAAAAACAGGTTTGGTAAACCTGAACGCGAAGTCAAGTAAGTAAGACACACAGAAGTGGTCCTTATTTAACAAGAGAAATGCATTATTATTTGTTTAAAACAACAATTTTTTCAACAGATTTTACTATTTACTTCTGTTCACAACCCAGTATGGCAATAGTTCCTGGACATAAGTCTAATAGTCATTTGTCTCTTGATGCTGATTCAGTTATCAGTCATTTGTGGAGAAATTGGTAATTAATTGGTAATATACTAGAAGTTAGTTACGCAGGAAAGCTGGTTAGGTCTGGTGGATCAAGATATGTCCAAAATGAGGAAAATCAACTTGTTGAATTGATCATAAATAAAGAGCATTCATCTGTAGAACAGTATACTTTTAGAGATTGTAGAGCACAGATTTTACTATGTGATACGTTAATTTCAGTTCAGAAAATGCACATATTTATGGTGTTTTTAATTTTTAACAAATTATTCAGTTACTTGCTGCAATACTGGATTACTCATAACTTAGATTCAGGCATTTGAACATATTTGCTGTAAAATAACACTTACATTACATTATATCCACAAGACATAAGGTATATTGATGAATCAATGTTTTCAAGTACAAGGTATTTTGTTATAGTTTTATGAATTTAGTAATAACTTGACCAAGATAATTAACACGTGTTTTATTATTTTCATTTCAGGACCCTGGGAATGTTAGGAGCTGGTCTGATGGGGGCAGGTATTGCCCAGGTTTCTATAGATAAAGGAATAGACGTAATTCTTAAGGATGTCACACAGGCTGGCCTCGCCAGAGGAGAGGACCAGGTCACTAAGGGACTTGATACTAAAGTTAAGAGGAAAAAAATTACTAGGTATTCTACCTGCTCTCTTAGTGCTTCCCTCAACTGCTCATCACATTATGATTTTAATCTTTCGGATTTCTGAACCCTTTGTTTTATGTTTGGTTATGCATTTATATTGAAACAGGAAGTGTCATATTTTGGTCAATGTACAAAATGCACAGAGTATTAAAAGATAAATGCTCTGATACTACAAATGTCTTGAAAAAAAGTGATCCCTCAGAAGTATTAAAATCAGCAAAATAACATGAAAATTGCAGACTCAGTTTGATTGAATCTGTACATGAGGGATAATGAAAAAGTGCAACATCCCCCTAGCATGACCTTTAGCGGTACTCAATTTTCAACACTTATAAGTGCTGGAATCAATGAAACAGAAGGACCAGAATAATAGCTATATTATCTTCAGACTTAACGGTTATGTTGTGATTTATTTCACAATACAACTGATGTCTCCTTCTGGCCACCATCTGTATCACCCATTTTACAGATGTTAAGGTTGAGCATAGTTTTGTTCTTAAATGAAATAGATGCAGTAAGTTTGCTAAGAGTTGTTTTTACTCTTTGTTTTTCTAGTTTTGAGAAGGACACAATATTAACTCATTTGGATCCCACAACATCATATGAGCATTTTAAAAAATGTGATATCATAGTTGAAGCTGTATTTGAAGATCTGAAACTTAAACATAAAGTAGTTAAGGAAGTAGAACAGGTAAATATTACAAAATTTATTATTTTATTTTGATGGTACTGGGAAAAACAAATTTGAACTTGAAAAATTCCATAGCCACTTACTGAAGGTGAATTGGTCTATTATGGAGAATCTGTTATACAATGAATAATTACATTGATAGTATTTAGTATTAGACATAACAGTATTTAGTATTAGACATAACAACAAACCATGAAAGAATTAAACATGGAAGTTGTTGGCAAGTGTGAGATTATCCAACATTACATATTTATATAGCAGATAATAAAATGATCTAGAACAAAATATTATTATTCATCAGATAAATGGTCATTATAAATCACTTAGAACTTTATCAACTTTTTTTTTGCAAACAACTCTTTAAAGAATATCCAAGTTATACGTTTCTATAGTTTTTGTCAATATTTGAAATTTTAACAGAAAGTGTGCCAATTGTAGACCAATCCACATTAATGTTAGTTGAAGTTCAAATATTGCAAGATGTAATTGTTATTTATTATTTCAAAACTTAATGAGTCTTTTATCATAAGTTGTAATGGACACAAATTTTCTTAAAAATTTTGTTTATTACTTTCATTTTATTTCTTTATTTACTTTTATTTTAGGAACCTGTAATGATTTTGGTTTAAGAGAGTTTGGTACAAAGTTGCATGTATTATTTTGAAGTCAATATTTGTTTTCAGAAAATCCCAGAACACTGTATATTTGCTTCAAACACCTCTGCATTGCCAATTACACAAATTGCTGAAGCCAGCATTAGACCGGAAAAGGTACGGATATTTCTCACATAATCAAATCATTTGCTAAAATCTGTGAGCTTATTGTCACTGGCTAGAATTGAAGTTACAGTTACTTGAAGTGAAATTTTAGTCATGGTGATTATTGTGGTCATTATATGTCTGTTATTACACTCACTGTTACTTTTGTAATACTTCATGTATACCACCTACTAAAAGATATTTAACAATAAAAACTACCAACTTAATAATTTTGATAGCGCTTTGAATGCATGTGCATATCATCAACCAAATACTTATAATCAATGATAAAAAAACATATCAGATATCATTATGAAAAACAAGGGAAGTTATATTTATAGTGATACTTGTTAAAGATAAATAATATTGAAAAACAACAACAAACCCAATAATTTAGGTAGCACTTTGAATGCTTGTTCATATCATCAACCAAATACTTTAAATCAATAATAAAAACAATTCAAATAATTTAACATCATGAAAAAATAGGGAAAATATATTTATAGTGATATTTATTATGCTTTACTCCCACCCCCAGAAAGTTACTTTGCTCCCTCTACCAAATTAATGTGGAAGTTTTTCTCTGCATTATCTATTATTAAAAAATTACAAATTTTCACTGTTTAAACCTTCTTTAAGCTTTCTTTTAAGTATGATGCTTGCCCTCTTCTAAATCCAGCATTTTCTGAACAGAGGAATCATCATTAGTTTGTTTGTTTTGGTTGCTTTTGTTTAAATATGATGATGTATTTTTGTTACAGTTTATTGGTATGCACTATTTCTCACCAGTTGACAAAATGCAGTTATTGGAGATTATTACTACAGACAAGACGTCCAAGGACACAGCTGGTTTGTTTTTATTTATAATACATAATTCACATATGTGCGGCAAAAAAGTTGTTTTTGTAAGGTAAAGTCTATTACATCATTTCATTGATATTGATTATGTGTATTGTGATAATAGAAATTCCTGAGGTATGTTAGTGTTGTGATGTCTGACTGTTTTGAATCTTTAATGTTTAAATATTTTAAGATTTTTAAGAGAATGAGTTTTGAAAGCTGTGTATTACTATAACTATATATGCTGTTGTATCTATCATGTATTATTGTTGTTATTGTTATTTAACAGCTTCAGCAGTGGCTGTTGGGTTGAAACAAGGAAAGGTTGTGATTGTAGTGAAGGATGGTCCAGGGTTCTATACCACCAGAATACTTGCTCCAACACTATCAGAAGCTGTTAGATGTCTACAGGTAGAAATGTTCTTCTACAATTATAATGATTGATATGAAATAGAGGAAGTTCTAACTTCAGTTTACTTGCCCGTTATTGAATTCCACCTTTATTTTCGGATTATTTCTTGTGATAAATCTAAACAGCTAGATTATAGGTCAATGATTCTACTTTATTATCTGCTTGTGCCTGAAATAAAGCACAGAGGGTCACCTTATGAGTAAGGCAGAAAAATGACTGTATGGCATGTACATTGTTTGTGCAACTCAACCAGACAAAATTAAATAATGATTCTGAATAGAAATTAAAGTACATCATAATGTCTGAAGTTGAAAAGACTTTTTTAAAATTCATTCAAAGTCAATTTTGTTTGTTAATATACCACACCTATTAGGTCCATTTTGTAAGATGATGAGGTTAAAAATATCAATGAAATTTAGTGACAATATAAAGAATTTGAAATGTGAATGTTGAAGTAAGCAACTTAAGCCAAGAATTTTTATATTAAAATAGGAAGGAGTATCCCCAACAAAGTTAGACTCATTGACAAGGGAGTTTGGTTGGCCTGTTGGTGTAGCTACATTGGCAGATGAGGTGGGCATAGATGTAGCAGCTCATGTGGCCGAGGACCTCGGCAAGGCTTTCGGTCCAAGATTTGGTGGTGGTAATATCAACGTCCTTATAGATATGGTCAATGCCGGATATCTAGGTAACTTTACTGAACAACAGTTTATTTGATAACCAGTTTTATTTGTATATAATTAAATATGTTAATATTGTCTGAAAAGGAATGTTAGTAAACATATAATATTGAGTTACTTTGGAAATTTTCAGGCATTTAGTTTTACAATGTTTCCATCATACTGTATTTAATTAAAAGTGAAGACAAAAAATATTGATAACTGTACTACATGGGTTTTGAAAACTGGATTGATAAGACCACCAAAAGAAGTCTTAATAGAGACATTTTACTGTACCAAAACTATACTATTTATTAGCTAATGAGTAAGTTGGAAACATATAATAATGTTATGTGCAAAATATAAAGATGTATATTATTACAGGTCGTAAGTCTGGGAAAGGTGTTTATATTTATGAAAAGGGAAGTAAGGCAAAACCAGAGAATGATCAAGCTAAGCAGATCCTTGAGAAATACAGATTAACACCAAAAGAAACGTCAGTATTAATAATTTTATTTGCTTTTATAAATGGATTTTATATTATTTGTTTTGTAATTGATACACAATGGGGTGTTTGTCGTTAAAGGATGTAAAGCAATAACTGTGGAAATATGCTATAACAAATAAAAGGGCTGTACAGTCAGGCTATTTTTATATCTCAAAGAATGTGACTGTCTCTGTTGAAAATGGACATGAATGTAACAAGCCAACAGAATGTTTCTAACAAAATATGTGTGGCCCAGTGGTTAAGGTTGCTGACTCCTTCACCACTGGGTTTGAATCCTGTCAGGCAGTTTGGATTCTGTCATGTTAGGAAGCTATCCAGCTAGCTTACGGAAGGTCTATGGTTCTACTTGGGTGCCTGATATAATGCGCGAAGGGATACCAAATTTCTTTCTGTACAGTAAAGCTGGAAAGTTGCCATATCACCTTTACTGTGTTGATGTGAATTAAATCCAACAAAACTAAAAACATGCGTACATATATAAGATCTAACATCCAAAAATGTAACAACCAAGTTTTTTTCCTCCTGATCAAGACATTCATACCTTGTGAACAAAGAGCCTGATGTTGGTCAAAATTGAAATGTAATATTGTAATTGTTACTTTATGTACAGTGTGACAGATGAAGATATCCAGTTCAGATTAGCCTCTAGATTTATTAATGAAGCTGTAATGTGCTTACAAGAAGGCATCTTAGAAAATCCTGTAAGTTTTTTATATACCAGATGTTTATAATGTATATTGCTTGATTTACACATTTTAAAATTTATTCCAAAAAGAATTATACCTTAATTCTCGTCAGATGTATAAGAAGATTTTATTTGGATTCACACAATTTTCAAAAACTTCATTGAAAAAAATAAGACAACAAAATTTTACATTTATTGCTATGAAAATAGAACTGGAGCACATACCTTGTAATGTTGATAACATACGATTTGAAATGAAGTCTACTATATTGTTCTGTATTGCAGTTGGAAGGTGATATTGGTGCAGTATTTGGACTTGGTTTCCCACCATTCCTTGGAGGTAACACACAATAATGTCTTCATAAATGCAATATTATATTCCCTGTATATTTATCAGCTCACTCTATATTGTTAATCTGCCTGGATGCCTGACGGAAAAAAATCAAAATAGTTCATTTTATATAAATTTGATGATTAATGCAGCATTTTGTTGCTGTAGATGTTCATCCATCAACAAGTATGTTAGTCTTGTTTGAATTGTTGTACCTGTTTACAGCCATAGTGGCACACATGCACTTTCTCTTATAGGAGACATATGATAGCCCTTGATAGCAAATACAGAAAAATATCTGTTGACACAGATTCCTTATTAACCAAGGAAATCTGAAATGAATGTGTATCAAAACACTGCAGTGATTTATGTAAAAAAGTGCTGTGCTCAAGACTGTATTAATTTTTTGATCGAGGGTTTTATCACTTCATAAACTTGCTTGTTACTCACAGTCTCTTCATTTGTTTTACTGACCAGTATTAAAGAATATTTTAATGGATCGGTGCAAAACGGATGTAACTCCTTCACTGTGTAACATGAGTTACAGCTCTTTTGCACCAAACCCTCAATTTGATGACTTTGTAATGATTTGTTATTGTGTCGCCTCTACGGAGTAGTGGCGACATATAGGGATCACTTCTCCGTCGTCCGTATGTCCATCCGTCCGTCACAAAACTTGTCCGGACTACTCCTCATAAACTACTGGTGCAATTTAATCCAAACTTTACAGGAATGATCAGTACCAAGTCTAGTTGTGCATATTGTCAGCATTTTCCCGTTCAATGATTTTTGTCAGAGTTATGGCCCTTTAATAATTTTTAATTTTAAAGTTTGTCCGGACTACTTCTCTTATACCACTAATGCAATTTCAATGAAACTTTACAGGATTGATCTGTAGCTCAAGTCCTTGCGCATATTGCATGGGTTTTCCGGTTGAATGATTTTTGGTCGAGTTATGGCCCTTTGATAAAAAGGTGTTTTTATGCCACCGCAGCATCTGCGAGGCGGTGGCATATAGCGATTCACCTGTGTGTGTGTGTGTGTTTGTGTGTGTGTTATATAGATTATATAGTGAACTTAAAAAATCTTCTTGTGAAAAACCACTAGTCCAATTTCAACCAAACTTGGCAGGATTGTTCCTTGGGTGAAGGGCTTCCAAAGTTGTTCAAAGAATTTCATTCCATGCAGAAATCTGGTTGCCATGGCAACCAAAAGGAATTATAAGAATAAATTTTAAAAATCTTCTTGTAAAGACCCAAAAGGCCTAGAGCTTAGATATTTTGCATAAGGCATTGTCTGGTAGACCTCTAACAAGAGTGTTCAAATTATAGCCCTGGGGTCAAAATTGGCCCCACCCCGGGGGTCATTGATTTTCACTATGTACATATAGTAAAAACTTAAAATACCTTCTTGTAAAAACCCAAAAGGCTTAGAGCTTAGATATTTTGCATAAGGCATCATCTGGTAGACCCTTACCAAGATTGTTAAAATTATAGCCCTTGGGTCAAAATTGGCCCCGCCCCGGGGTCATTGATTTTCGCTATATGTACATATAGTAAAAACTTAAAAACACCTTCTTGTAAAGACCCAAAAGGCCTAGAGCTTAGATATTTTGCATAAGGCATTGTCTGGTAGACCTCTACCCAGATTGTTCAAATTATAGCCCAGGGGTCAAAATCGGCCCGCCCTAGGGGTCATTGGTTTTCCTTATATGTATATAGTAAAAACTTAAAAAAAATTCTTATGTTATGGCCCTTTAATAATTTTTATTTTTAAAGTTTGTCCGGACTACTTCTCTTATACCACTAATGCAATTTAAATGAAACTTTACAGGATTGATCTGTAGCTCAAGTCTTTGTGCATATTGCACATGTTTTCTGGTTGAATGATTTTTGGCCGAGTTATGGCCCTTTGATAAAAAGGTGTTTTTTTCTGTGTGTTGCCAGATACGCAAAAGCTTGTCCGGACTACTCCTCATAAACTACTGGTGCAATTTTATCCAAACTTTACAGGAATGATCAGTACCAAGTCTAGTTGTGCACTGTCGGTCTGTCACAAAATTTGTCCCAACATGAAATTGGCCATCATGAGGCAACACATGTGATTACTGATTGCTCTTGTTGATATAATTATTTTGTATTATGTTTCAGGACCTTTCCGATACATAGATTTACACGGTGCACGTCAGCTTGTAGATAGAATGTTGAAATTCCAGCAGTGGTATGGAGATGAATTCAAACCATGTCAGTTGTTGTTGGACCATGCCAACGATTCAAGCAAAAAGTTCCATAAAAACTGATAAACCACATTGTGTTAAATTTGATAAGGTTAAGATTTACAAATTTATTATATAAAGATGTGTAGGAAAGTGTTAAAGGAGATGGGAGCCAAAAACTGGACCAAATTTATAACCAGTTTATTTCTGTGATCAAATTGACATTTTTCTGTTCTTGTTTATATATAGAGAGTCTTGTAAGAGATATAAGAAATTGTATGTGATTTTGTGGAGGAAATAGTTTGTCTTTATATGTGCTAGTTAAATGATTATATTAGTCTCTTTCTGCCGATCTGTTTGACTTCAACAAAGAAAACGTCAATGTATGTATACATGTACTGTGAGCAAACGGAAAGTTTCATGTGAAGAGCATTTAATAATGTGAGTTTACATGTCAGACGATTTGTTACATTTGGCATACTTTTATTTTCTATACTGCCTTATCATTCAAAGTAATAAAACAGTTCAGTGTATGTGTTATTTCTCAAGACAACAAACGTGAGAATCTTTCATGATGTCACAATTTCTGTAATCTATATGCTTCACCATTGTACATGTATATTTTTTGTTTGATAGCTAAACACTTGTGTCTTATTTTCAAGTGAATCTTTCGGAAATAAAATGAATGACCCTTACATTTTATAGGATTTTTTCTTAAATGGGAATCAGTGATGATAGATGTACATCCATGCACTGGTATTTGGAATTTACATTTATAGAAAGGCTTTAATTTAGTGTCATGATTGTTATTGATTATGAAACTCTGTAAGAAAATATTGATTTAAATTATTTTATATTATGAAAATAGATTTTGAAATCTATGATTGTTTACTTTGTCTTTATTTGTTGAAATACATACAACTTTCTATTGAGAAACGCTGCGTGACACAATTCTTCTGAATAATGTTATTTTTGTGAATGAACAGTCAACTGATAATAGTTAAATTAACCATTTCTGTGAATTTGTTCAAGCAACTGTTAATTAAGATGATGTAAAGGCAACTTTTTTAACCCTTACCCTGCTTTAACCAAAAGTTATCAACTAGCCATTAGTACAGAGCCAAGTCTGTCTGCATATACATACAGTCTGACCAGAGTTTATACTGTTTGGTAACTTACTTAAAATTTTAGCCTAATGTCACTAACGTTGAAAAGTTGGACTAGTCTGTATAAAAACAATCTGCAGATTAAAGTTAACAGTATATGATGGTTAGAAAATCAAAAAGTAAATTGATGGCAAAGAATGCAGCCTTACTAATGGCCCTTCCTGAGTGCCCAGAGGTTATGATGACCTTTAATTCTTTCAAATGACATTACCAGTTCAAATTGTTCCCCACAGGTCAAATTGACCTGCACTGCTGTCACTCTATACATGTATATACAATTTATAGAGCCAGCAAAAGACATCGAGAACATAGCACAACATTTTATATGTCAGATACATTTTGTGTTTGGAAATGAACTTTGACCTTGAGTGAATAGGTCAATGACATATGTTTGTATTTTCATAATACATGTAATACACTCGGATTTAAATCGCATGTACTGGAGTAATGTGTGTAGAAAACTTGGATAATAGTGACCCACTTTGAAGTTTTAAGCTATGGCTATACATGTATATGTCTAAAAATGATTCTCGGCCATCAATGTTCGTCAGTTATATTTTTAATGTTTTAAGAACAGATAAGGAACCTAACTTGATGTTTACAGACCAGAGCTGGTAGATGGTTATGCAGAGTTATATCCATATTTTCTAGAATCATTTTAATGATAATGATAACTATATCGAGAACTACATAATGAAAACAGAAAGCCATGTTTTTAGATTAAAAATCACTACAACATCAGAGGTTACAATTAATATGCACACATCCCCATTAGAGTAGACAATGGCACCCTTATCACAACTAGAAACCTGAATTATAATACCAAACTGCCTCCCCACAATACTCGAACCAACTTCCCAAAAACTATAAGACTATGGCATACCTTCCTCTGTGTGTTGAATCTAGTCTCGGAATTTTACTCCAAAAGACTGGCGAATCTTTCCTGCTTTTATGTTTTATTAAGTGTGCATTCTAAACTTTAACTTTTTATTTCCTACTCTAACATTTTTCTGTTCTTTAAAAACTTATAAAGATCTAATAGGAAATTGTTGGATTATACCATGTACAGATGAAGCACTGGCAGCAGGTAAAAGGTAATTGAAGGAATAAATAAATTAATTAATTATTAATTAGAAATCAAATAGACCAAATTATAAAATAAAATCAATTAATTATGAATAAAACGTTAGAAATAAAATATTATGTCTAATGTCACAAATTAGCTGGCATTTTCCAATATACATTGTACATGTATTCATGTAAGTTTTGTCATTGGGGCAAGAATAAGTCACTTTGTCTCATAGTGTAGCCTATACCAAGTGGTAACAATTAGTATTCTAGTGCTACAAAATAAAATGATATTCTTAAATGCAGATATATGTAATCTTCCTCAGGATACTTACCGTACTGATTCAAAATATTAATTTATAGAATTTTCTTGTTTTTTTTTTTCTTGTTTTTTTTTGTTAACCTTTTGATTAGATATAAACATATTTATTAAGAAATGATAAAATGCTAAATAACAATCTCAAACTATGTCTTTAACCATGCAAAAATATAAGTATTTCAAGAAACAACTTTTAACACCATTCACACTCGTTATCAGACTAAAACTTACTTAAACCTATCAATTATTTTTTACTTTTATGTTCTCTGAAATCCTCCTTCTATATCTTCAAAAATCAACTATTTCTATCAAACATTTGCCCAGTTGGTTATTAGTGTTATATTCCAGATATTGAGATTTAAAAAAATCTATAAAAAAAAAGATACTATTCCGATCTTACACTTAAAGGACAACCATCAAACTCAAAATATAATTTTGTAACAAATACTCGTTTAACCGAAGCAATAAAACATTTTTAGCACCAGATATAGATCTACCAGGTTCTATGTACCAGTAAATGCAATTTCACTTCTACAAGGACAACAAGCTGACTAGAAGTATTTAACTCTTAGCAGCAAAGATATTTTAGCACTTGAACACATCCGAGATGTCTGTGTAATATTTAGATCTACATAGACGAAGCATATATGGGTATATATATATATAATTTGAAGAAAAAAAATCACATTTTGCGGGTTATTAACACCATATTGAAACCTTCTGAAAACCCATGACTCGTGAATTAATATACCGAGTAACTATACCACATTTCTCGTGCATTCCGGACAGATGTATGGCATTTAGCGTTTTATGTCTCCTGGTTCCCTGTCCCCTATATAATTTACATCATGAGGCGAGAGACTAGTCTATTTTTGTAAGGTAGACAACTCTAAGCACACACTATTCAGCAATTAGCAGCAACTTTCGCAACTTTTTATTTTGTAAAATGCAATTTGAGGAAGCCACGAATCAGTTTCAGACTCTGCTGTCAAGTATTAGACAGTCAGATATAGAAAAATTTCTTGTATGGTCGAAACAGACAATTAACGGTAAGTGGATCTAAAGTGTTCCGATGTTTTCACAGCATGGTGGACTTAATCTGTTTATAAACTTTTATGGACCATACTAGAAAGCCACTAGTAAAACCTTTGTCATTGACTGTGAAGTTTATCACATTGATTGGCTATTTTTGAACATATTAAAGATCAATAAAAACCCTCTTATAAGTTAAATCTGTCAATTAACAATGATTATGACGAGGGCATTGAATCAATTAGATCTTTATACAGTAACATTACTGTTGAATTTAACAAAATGTGACTTTTGAGACTCCATGAATTGGAATTGGAATTGCACTGCCGCATATTTTGTTGCAACAATTGTATTTTACAAACACTGTGAGTGTACATATGCAATAAAATAGTAGCATAACATGAGCGCATCAATGCAAAAATTTTCTTCTTTTTTACTGTTAACTGTTCCAATTTTATCTATGTGCAAGTAAAATATTCATGTACTGGTTGGGGACCACAAAAACCGGATAACCACCAAACCCGGACGGCCCGGAAAATGCTTAATTTAGTATTTTCTTTGTTCAGTGGTTGTCAGTCACTTTTTTATCAACAATAAGTGCATGTTTCTTTTAAAATTAAGTAAATAAATTTATTTTAACCTCCGTAGATGGTAATATTTTAATGTCTATTTCAAGAATGTTGACGTTGAAATTCGAGGGTCAAGAAAGCAATGCCTGACCTCATATACCAGCTATAATCATTTGCAGAGTGAAAAATAGAATATCCAAAACTACAGCATTTGTGGCTGACATATTGTATATCATGTTACAAATAAAAAATCTTAACACCCAAGCTTTTATCTGAATTAAATCACATCGTGTTCATATCTGTCCGGACACATGGTACTGTAGTGTAGACAATTTAGGTAATTTTGATACCCTCCTTGTCGAGCCTCAAATATAAGTGTTAATACAATCATAAATAAACAAACTAGTTTGTAAGTTAGGAGAAGAACCTAGCTGAACCGTGTCAAATTGTTTGGTCTCTATGTTAAAAATTAAGAAATCTGTACAGAAAAATGCTCCAAAAGTGTCCAGTTGATGGTCTCTGACCAGTACCTTCAGGACTGAATTTATTGAACTTGTTGAATAAAATATATATGGTGGCCAGAGGCTTGCATAATATAATTTTATACAATAAATTCAGTATTGATTCATAATTGAACCTGCATTTAATATCCTAAAATATTTTCTTAGGAATTTATAGCCTGTAAGGTTAGAAAGAATTAATATGATAAGAAACATTTTTTGGTACAGGATTTCCATTTAGTTCCAAACTATAAAAATTAGAGACTGCAAAATGTTAGATATTGGAAGTCACATTACATAGGTACAAAAGGAAAAGCATTACATTTTGGAAGTCACAAGCCTAAATCAGGAAAAAATGACTCCCAAACTTCCACTTATGAAAGCCCTGATGGTAACTTTGATTGATTTTATTTTAGGTGTTCTAGATGACTTGAGTGAAGGAGACAATGCTGATGTTGTTATAAATAGTATAAGAGAAGGTATCCGTCAGAGTTTGCCTCTAGAAGGAATGACAGAAACTGAGCACATTGTCAAACCTACACATGGTCCAGTATGTATTTCTTTATACTTTAAAAAAGCTGTGTTTTAAGGAATTTCTGTAAATAAAAAATATCTTTAATATTATTAATGATATACCATGTATACAAGCAGTGACTGTGAGAAGTCAAATATTAAAGGATCTTACACTGGCTCCTGGTAAAAACCAAAATACCTAGCTGGAAGGTATCTGTTTACAGCGGTAACAAGGCTCTGCTAAACAGTTACCAGAGAGCTACATATTTCCATTTGTGACAGCAGACAATGTTTGATTCTTTTTCAAGCAGAGTACATGTTAATTATTCTTCAAAAAGAAATTATGAAAACTAATATCTTTGTTTAATACTTTTTACTGATAGCAGCACATAAATTTACAACTTCATTTATATGGCAAAATAGCATTATTCTAAGAAAAGCAATTCAATCATGAAAGGCACACAGGAATGACATCATTTAAAGCAGTAACTTGTCTAAAATGGGGCAAGTTATACAGGTTTTTCTAGTACCGGTGTAAACAGTAGATAATCCTGTCTGATATGCAAGAACTTAAAACCTAGTAAGAATATTTAATATATATTCTTTGAAGTAGCTCCAGTATCAGCATAAATCTAGAATTAGTTTTGCTTGGAATAATTTTTGTAGTTCCTATACTTAATAAAATATTGTATGTAGTATAGCAAGAGTTGGGGGAAGAGATATATAGGGATACAGCATTAGACTGCTAATCAAGAGGAGTTTTGTTCAAATTCCACTTGTGATGACATTCCCATTGATCCCTTCAAGAGCAAAACTCTCTAGTACTGTGTAACTTCTGAAAACCGAACAACTATGGGACTAGCCAAAAAAATCGGAATTTGGAAGTTTCCGGAATTCAGAAGTTCGGAATTACCTGAACAAAGTACAATTATTATACATCAACTGTTTTATAGTAAGACATGATAAAAAATATGTAAAGCTGATTAAATTAACAAAATAGCACAATTGTAGGACTTTTACTATTTTTAATTTCATTTTCACCTATAACTGAATTTGCTGATACAATAGCATGTGTATTTACCTGTATTTTTTCATTTCATCACATTAATTTTCTCAATTTTCTTAACTTTCACACTTTAAACAAGTGTTTGATATGCTTGACAGGTTGTAATTCTAATAGGCGTTAAGATAAATGGGTACTGTTAATTGGAAGATACTGACATTTTGAAGGTTACAAGTATAATATTCCTTCACACCTTTTTTTAGTTTCCGGATTTTGGAAGTAAATTTTAACTGATATAACCCAAATTTTACCAGAAAATTGTTCGGAATTCAGAATTTAGAAGTTCCATAATTCAGAGGTTTTGATTACATAGAGAACAGAGGGAGAAATTTCGGGACCCTGAAAATTGTTCGGATTTCAGAAGTTCCGGAATTCAGAAGTTACACTGTATAACAACCAAAATCTTTGGTTTTTTTTTAAAGGTGTTGCTCTGCAGAGTTTGTTCTGTAATGATTACTGGTATTGAATCATGTTTGTGTTTTGTTACCAGAATGCAGATTGCAATCCTGCCACTACAGTACATGTTGATGCCTTCTTGTATGATGAAGATACTATAGACGAGATGGTTGAGGAAGGAACAATGTCCAGAAACTATTGTGTTAATTGTCTCTCAAAACAGGTCAAACCACTCAGTAAGTCATGATAGATATACAAGCTGCTTTAGTTAGATAGAAAGGGTGCAATTAATCTTTCAATTAATTATAATAATAAGAAACTCAATAATGAAATTCAAGTTTTACTGTGAGGTTTTTGCAGGATCATCTAACCTTCATAAATAAATTTGCTATCAAACTGGCTTGTAAACAAAAGGTCAGTAATTCTACTGAGGTATCCGCTTGTGTAAGAAATAATGCATAGAGGGGCACCTGAGGTTTGCCTCCACCACTTAGTCTGAAAAGTCGCCATATGACCTTTACAAAAAGTTAGAGTGATTTAACAACCAAGCCCACCCCCAATACATTAAAGATTGCTTTCTAAATTGTTTTAATAATGTATGTGTCTATTTGCAGCATTTATCACCCATTCTGCATCATTGCCACAGATCAAGTTTATGTTCCAGTACTTGCTAGAAGATTTAAGAAACAAGACAGTGTTAGATGTTGGTTCTAGAACTGGTGCAGTTCTCTATGGTGTTAGTAACAAACCTATATAATACATAATGATATATTTAGAAAAAAAAGATATTCACTTTGAGTAATGGATCATAAAACTTTTCATTATTCAACTGCGTAATTTATGTGATAATTTATATATCATGAATGCCACAAGTCATATTTCAAAGGATATGAGCAATAACTTCAATAAAAATAAAAAACACAGGAATTAATATCTTTATTCATTTTGACAAGCTTTGATTATGAATTTTTATATCTTATTTATATACAATACTGTTACTCTTGTACATGTAATTATATATATATGTAAATTCAGCTTATTAGTAATAAATGAGGGGCGTCCATGGCTGAGTGGTTAAGGTCGTTGACTTCAAACGACTTGCCTCTCATTGTTATGGGTTTGAATCTTGACAGGGACATAGGATTCTTTTATGTGAGGAACCTATCCAGCTAGCTTTGGGAATGTCAGTTGTTCTACTCAGGTGCCATTCGTGTCTGAAATAATTAGTGCCGCAGAATATACATGTATATAGATGTTTATATTTGATATTATTTCACTAGCATATCAGTTAGTGGATATTTACCATGAGAATATGATATTCCTAATGAAATATGTGTGCTTGTTTTTATTGTTGTCTTATATTTGAGTATGCATAAATGGCTCATAATACCTTTTCATTCTGATGTATATGTAATATTTAAAAAATTTATATATCTCATATATAACTTAAGTAATTTATATATTTTACATAGGCATACCTGTACAGTGAGGCAAGCTCTGTGATTGGAGTAGAACTAGATCCTACATTCTGTCAGTTACAGAACAATATTATACAACAGTATGACATGGCAGATAGGATCAAGGTCAGTCATCATTAACAACCAAAACTTTCTGATTAAATCAGTCCAGATCAACCTTACTTTGTATAATAAACTTGGCAGCTTTAAATTTAGGACAGTCTATTGATATTTCCAGTCATTTTGTTATATTATTGTTACATAATGTCTTTTCAAAATAGGCATGTTTTTCATGGCAGATTTACCAGGAACTCATTAATGTCACAAACTTGTTGATAAAAGATACAAAAAAACTGCAAATGGATGTTTTGTCAATTTTTATGAAAAATTATCTAACTTGGTTTTATTGATTTATTTATGTGTTTAAAAATTACAGATAGTTCATAGTGATATAATGCAGCAAGCTGAACTTTTACAGACAAGTAAGTACATAGTTATACTATTTAAATAGCCAATTGGTATACATGTATAAGAATACCTCTTGAATCTGTAACCAATTTATTTGAGTGAAAAGAAAATGTGTATGTTTTGAAAATATGACAAAATGCGCAATCAACTGGTCATAAACAAAAGATTTTACTGTGTTTATGATAAACTATGAAAACTTTTCCTTGAAAAATATCATTACATTATAGAGAAGTTGTTAAAAATTGTTTGAGACACTTGCACACATTTCAAACTGAAGATTATAATAAAAAATGTATCTTGATAAATATTTGTACTATTTAAAATCAATAATTCTTGTTCAGTGGCATTGTTGTTGCCATTTTGAATATATATTTTTAGTTTTTACTGTAGAATTCTAACAATCTTTTCATTTCTTTACTGTGTTGACAGGTGATGTTGTTATTCTCAACAATGTTTTTGAATTCTTTATGGATGCCAATCAACAATTAAAGTAAGTATGTTTATATGTTACTATATTTAAAAAGCGTAAAAAATGTATTAGCTGGTAGTGTATATATTTGCTGTTATAGTGCTCTTATTATTTTTGCACATAATTCTATATTTATGGTTTTACCAATCTATTTAGATTCAGATAAGAATCACCTTGTTGTTGGGAAATTATTTTTAAGGGTTTAATGAGCTACTGATTGTAACAGAAGTAAATCATGGTTTGTAAAATTCAGAAACTCACCATCAAAGTTATTTATTAAATGAAATATTGATTTGTAAAATCTCTCATATTGCCATCAAGGTCTGTTTGTTTAAACTTCATACTTCATCAATATTGTCCGAAATATTTTTTCCCTTTATACCCTGTAATACATTCTCTCATTTTGTTTATGAGAGAAGATATTGTCTTTATTTAGTGCAGAAACAGGTTAACTCCTTATATAATGAAATAGGAGTTAACTCATTACTGCACTAAAGTGACAATATGATGTTTTAATGTTGATGAATTATTTACAGATTATGGAAAAGTATGAGTGACAACATCCGGAAGAAGGATACCATAATTATAACAATACCTGGTATAGAGGAATCATTGTCAAGGATTCAGGTATTTGAAATATCAAGAAATTCTTTGTATATATTCAAGTATTCAGTATTGTGAGTAATAGTTTCTATACATTTAGACAGGTCAAAATGTTAAAATATCCATTTTAAGTTTCTGTCTAAACCATTTTATAGTTTTTCTTTTCTCTCTGAACCCATTTTGCTCATTTGTCTTAATGTTTCTGAATGCTTTATTCATTTGTTTTAATGTTTCTGAACCTCGAGTGCAAGATCACTGGTTTCAAATCACTTGTCCATTACTGTGGTGGGTTCCAAACCGGACAGGGACTTTGAATTCGTGCATGTGTAGGGATATGGTTCTACTTGGGTGCCCCTCTGTGCCTGAATTAATGTGAAGAAGAACCATTGATATCTTCCTTTAGCAGTTTAGTCTAAAAGTAACCATATGCCCATTACCATGTTGTTTTTTGTCTTAACTATCACCCTTGCACTGTGTCTCCATTAAATAGCCGCCTCCGTGGTCGAGGGGTTAGAGTCGATGACTTCTAATCCAGTTACCTCTCTGGCGTGGGTTCGATCCCCGGGAGATGCTTTGGTAGTTTAGTGCGGAGGAAGGTAGTCTAGTACTGGTGTAACTCTCCAGGAACGATGGTTAGGAAACTACCTGCCTATATAACTGAAATACTGTTGGAAAAATGCGTAAAATGAAACAAACAAACAAAGTCTCCATTAAACATAAGGTTTGCACTGTTGCTATGTGGGGTGCAAACTGCAATTTAATGGTCAGTCCAGATGTATGTACCTGCTGTTTTCCTTGTCTGATCAATAAATTGAGAAAAAATAAGCTGCGGTTTATGTAACTTGGTAGGAACATTGCCCATTATCAGTATAATACCCTTATTGATTTTTAGGTCAAAGGTCAAGGTCACGGTGACTGTAAAGTCCTTGTTAGATAAATAACTTAAGGAATAAGCCTTTGTTCATATAACTTGGCAGTCAATACTAGTACTCAATGGAAATCCAGTATTAATTTTAAGGTCAATTAGTCAAAGTTCAAGGTCACAGTGACACAGTGTGAAATCCTTGTGCAGTCATAAACTTGAGAAGGAATAAGCCTAAGTTAATTGCCCATGGCCATTGGTATGTGAAAAGCAAATGAAGGTGTGGCACCAGTGTCCTATGGACACATTCACACATTTCTAGTTGTTGTTCTTTTTCTTTTTCTCTTTTATATTTATCGTATTATTTTGTTAACAGTTGCATGACTTTCTTTTTAATTTCAGGCACCAATAGATTTAGGTAGCTGGATAAGACCCATAGATATAAGTCAACTAAAGGAGCAGGCAGTGCTAAAATATTTTAAGGATATAGAAGATTCTGACCTAGATGACATTCATATGTATCAAGTTTTATGATAAATAGAAACATATTATATATGTCTCCTTTTTGTCTTATCATCACTCTTTAACTTAATCTATAGCAAAAAGTCACACTTAGATTTAATATATAGAGAATATTTGTTTGTTTTGCATGTAAGATTGAAATATATTTCACTGAGTGGACACACACACTGCAAATAGTAGCTTTCTTGCATTGAATGTTAATCTGAAATATGGAAGCTTCAAGATGAATCAAAAGATGGACTTTTGTAAAACCTGGTCTGAAGCAGACTTTGCAATGGAAATTATTGCTTAAAATTGGCCACATTGCATTTTCTTTTTCTCTACATTGGCTAATGACCTAAAACATCTTATAACCTTTTGGTGTTTTATGTACAATGCCCCATGTCCCCTGTCAAATTATATTGTGCTTTTACATTCAAAGGACCACCAGCTACGTTAGTATGGAAATTATCCATCAGCAAAGTTTTTCTATAGTTAGCCAAACTATAGAAAAACTTTGCTGATAGATAATTTCCATACTTGCTTTATACTATTTTGCCTTTAATGTAATGCTATCTTTACATATAGAAACTACAGGAACTGTAGATGTTTGAATAATTGTTGAACAGCATAGAATAAGGTTACAATTAGGTGAACTTGGTAAACATCATTACATGAATCTTGACCGCCTCCGTGGTCGAGGGGTTAGAGTAGATGACTTCTACTCCAGTTACCTCTCTGGCGTGGGTTCGATCCCCGGGAGATGCTTTGGTAGCTTAGCACGGAGGAAGGTAGTCTAGTACTGGTGTAACTCTCCAGGAACGATGGTTAGGAAACTACCCGCCTATATGACTGAAATACTGTTGGGAAAAGGCGTAAAATGAAACAAACAAACAAACAAACATGAATATTTGATTTTGAATATGTATAACATTATACATATGTAAGAACCTCTTTTTGATTGAGATGGGAGTTAATAATATTGATAGTTGACCAAAACTTGTCATTTGCTCTCCCCAGTGGAAATATAAGACTGACTTTTGATCCATTGAAATTGTTTTATTTTCAAACAAAGCAGTGCAGGTTTGCATGACAAATGATACAAAAAAACAACAAAATAATTACACTGTGCAACAATAGAGATTCATCTGATCTCTTGGTTAAATACTGGAGTTTTTGTTAGCAAGATGTTAATAATACTGACAATTTATACATGGTAAAAACACATAGAATAGACTACAAGATTTAAAAACGATCACCCGAAATTATTTAAAACTGTATTCATGGTGTATTTTTAAAAATTGTCAAAATGTTTTCCATAATGTAAGTTTGAAATATAAGTTGTTTTTATATTAAAAAATGATTAAAAGATATAAAGAAATTCTAGAAAATAAGTAGATTATAAATCCCTTTAACTATTAACATATCCATGATTTAGATATAAAAGTTAGTATATATATATTTTTATATAAAAATCTTTAATACTGTTGAAGTTGTAAATTTAAAACATAATTATTATAAATCTCTATAAATCACTTTAACTATTTACATATCCATGATTAAGATATAAAAGTTAGTATATAAATATAAAAATCAATCTTTAATACTGTTGAAGTTGTAAATATGAAACATAATACTGTTGTATTGCAAAGAAAAAGGGATGAGGATTTCTCTGAAAATCTATTCCCATCCATAACAAAATGTATATAAATTTGTATTATTCCAATGAAATAAAACTTTAGAAAATTAAATTAACAACATGTAAAGATTAAGTTTAGATTGTACACAATAGATATATATTAGTTATAAACTTTAAAAAATCTGAACAAACATAACAAGAAATTAACTATATCTGATTCAATAACAATAAAAACAAGATGAGCAATGTGCTTACAACCAAAACAAAATAACATTTAGACTGAGCAGCTGTTACGTTAGAAAAGTTAGATTATGAAATTGAACTACATGTCACGTCTGAACATCAATTCACTCTGATATCTCGAGGTTTCATGATGAAATGGCGGGCGTAGAAGCAGTTCTCTATCTGGCATCTTACATTTCCTGTCTACACGATTTCTGTTTTCCACATTGTAATGCATCTGTTCACGTTTATCGAGAAATAAGTTTTCATCATGCTCATAGTGAGGTACTCCACCAAGCTCTGCATTCTATTAATAAAATCATACATACAAACTCTATAATAATATTATAAAATGAAAAAGATAGGTATTCATAAGAGTCATTCATTATTTAAATGGTACACCTTTTTTTTTTTAAATGCACAAAGCAAAGTCGTAAGTTATAAAAGTAATTTCATAACAAAATTTAGCTACCAACAGTATAGAGCCTGGTCAGATTGTATGGATCTAAGGTAATCACTCTCCGGTCCAGCAGGTCAAGGGTCATAATTTAAATGGGTCCATTTTTATTTTGTTTTGAAAGAAAGTGGAGAAAGATTTCCTTCAAATAACTTTTAAATGACCAACCTTGATAATAAGTTCTCTGTTTTTCATGTCAGTCTTCCATTCTTGTGTATATAGCCTTGGTACTTGGCCATGTGTCCTGGAGTACTGTGGAATCCTTGAAAATAAATCATAAAGAAAAATCTTAGTTTTGCTAAGTGACATATAAAGTTATAAAATTTGTTAAACCCAAGTTTTACTTTAGCAATTTTTTACAGACACTGATGGTCTAAGAAATAGATGCACTTCTGTATAATAAATACTGGTAAGCAAATAATCCCTACAAATTAGATGTTTAAAACTTGGTTTTTATCTTTTACTTTATTTAATGACCCATTCTGCCCCAGAAATCCTTTCATTTTTATATCTCAAAGGTTTCTTATTTTGGCTGATTATTATTATTATCATTATCAGTTTTATTATTATTATCATTAATGTATTTTCAATGAAATAAGTTTCATAATTCTTGCTATGTTAATATTATAAATAATATTGAATAAGGGGAGCAAAGTTATGCAGTGGAACAATTTTGACGGAAAACGTCATCATGTTTTGCGTAATTTTCATTGTTGACGTCAACGACTTCTTTTTCTGTATGCATAACATAGTTTAAGATAAGACATGTAAGAAGATAAATATGTGATTTATAAAAATAAACAGAAACTCCTTGAAAAAGAGGGGTTTAACCCCTCGAAACGTTGGAGATAGAAAAGTTTGTGTAGTAGATAATTATTAATTAACTGTTTCCAGATTGAATTATTTTGGCTGGCCTTTTATATTTTCCAAGAAGTTACTCATTGGCCAATGTCCTCAACCACTTTTTGCTGCTATTTTTTTTTTTTTTTTTTTTTATAGTGATTTGGTCTTCTTTACTGGTCAAAACACTACTCTGTATACATTTTGTTACGTTAATGAGGAATAATTTCGCATTCAGTGCTACTTTTTTCAGGCGATAAGAACCTAACAAGCTCTAAAACCATTTGTTCCATGTTATAAAACTCAAGTTTGACCTTTCCAAAGAAGGGATTAAAAAAAATAAAATCAAAATACATATATGCACAATATCTATGGTGTGCTTGTTTAAAAATGTGTTGTTTCAGGAATATATTAATTATATGAGGTAAAGGGTTAAACAAGAGCTGTCAGTAGGTCAGCATGCTGGACTATTTTTAGTGCTTGAGAGTAAAACAAGAGCTTTGATAATGTAAATGTTCTCAGTTAAAAAAGGCAATAATTCTGTCAAAATCCATGTAAGAGTAATGGACCTTCGAAAGTGATATCTTGTTAAGCTCCCAAAATAGTGTATGAAATTTCTACCCATTCCCTTTGTTAGTTTTACTACTTTTAGCGACACCTACTTGCACACAAATATCTAACCAAAGTGTGAACATGACATCATCGTATAACAGATGTGAGTTCAAATTTTACAAATAACTCATCCAATAACTCAATCAAGGAAAAAGAGTGGTGTAAGGGTTGAGCATAAGAGGGCTTGTGGGTTTGACTCTCATCAGCGCTAAGATTCTCTTCAGTTTTTGCACTGATTTCTACAATCCATACTGGTGTGACAAGCTAGTGGTTATGACACCAGTCCAATTGGAGCAGTCTTTAGCAATGACAGACGCATGTGTCTAGGTCCCAAAAAGGGGTTTGGATTTATTTTTTTTATAAGAAATTGATGGGGAAACAAGCAAACTCTTGATACAGACAAATATAACATGTTTTATTAAAACCATTCTGATGACAAATATATTAAATTATCCCAGACCAAAAATGAAAGAAACCGTTTGTGTGAATTATTCATCTAAATTGCGTTATGAGAAAATTTAACTTAACAAGCAAATAACACTAATTAATGATAGTTGTCATGGCTGTTCAGAAGTCTGTCTCTTAATTTATCAAATAAAATGACTTAAATAATATTTGAATTTTTTTATACATAAAATATCAGAAAAGAAAAAAAAATGTATTGCAAATCTTTTGAAATGACACCCATTTATCCGATTTTTGTCTTGAATCATAAAATTGTTAGCCCTAGCAACAACAATATTGTCCATATTTATGTTACCTATGAGCAAATCTTTGCTGCAATGCGATAAAAGAAGACTAAATGATTAGTTTCTATACATATTATTTCATAAGTGTCTAAATTATTTGCTACATTTACCTCGTTTGACTATGCACGAAGAGTCGTTCGGCAAATCTTGGATCCACTGATTGCTTGGCCGCCATCTTTAAACAAATACTGGAGTACTCTTCAAAGGTGGTTTCGGTCTCAACTATTTTCGTACTCGCATTCGTACTTAATAAAATCGTACTTAAACTGTCAATTTGAGTATCAAATAAATTTGAATACATGACGTAATTTGTATAAATATGTTTACAATTTAAACACCCAAAATAAACCCTTTTCACATTTGTGCTAGATGAGAATGATGATGACAGTATTTTTATAGAATATTAGTATTAAAAATAAGATGTCCATTTTAATACATTGCTTAAAAATCTTTTCATTTTTTAGAAGAAATGTTACAAAGAAATACATTCAGATTTATGCTTAAGACCAGCTACACAATAGTTATGTTTACAAAAACATCCAAAAGACTGTTTGAGTATGCTATAACTGACAACCTGCTCGGTGAACAATATTTGAACTACATGTACCATAACGCTATCACTGCTGGCACTCAAGTATCATTTTATGCAAACAAAATAAGTATATCCATAAGTTGAACAAAAATGTTTTAGTAGCCAATATAAGCATACCAGAGATTCAGCCAGGAGCACAGAGAGATTTTTTACATGGCAAAATGAAGTGAATCTCGTCAGATCTTAACCTGCTTAATTTGAGACCAGCTTTTTAGAGCTCAGATTTGAATTTTGAACAGTCCATTCAATATTTAAGGGATTTCACAAATTGAGCTACTAACAGTATACACCCTGGTCAGCTATACATAGCTTATGTTTTGTGAAATGTTTATATGTATACTGACAATGAACAAATTTTGATTTGAGGGCTTGGGAAAAGGCTTATCACTTTTGGTTCCAGCAGTTTAATGGATACAAATATTGACCATTGTTAACATGGTAATCCATTTCATCATCCACAGAGATGTACCCTTCGTTATCTGATTTGATCCAAATATGCTTGACTGAATGTATTTCTTTGTTTTTTGTAGCATTTCTTCTAAAATATGAAGAAATTTTAAAGCAATGGCTCATGTAATGTATGTTTTGTTTTTTGTATGTATGTATGTATGTTCATATGTGTATATAACAGATATATAAGTTAGTGGTTCAAAGATAAATTTTAATATGAAAATGTTCATTATGTAACTACTTAAGAAAATTTCGGCTGGTATTTACTTTATCAATCAAAATTGATCTTCTCCAAACTTTTTTCATAATTGTTGATATTATGTATATATCAACGTTTATGTCATACACTGTTCGTTATTGTGCATGATTTATGTTCGCATGGGCTATAAAGCCTATTGGAATAAAATAAAATGTCTACTGTAAATAATTGGGCATTCAATATTAGCCACAAGGGATATATAAAAAATATAAAAAAAGATTCAATTTCCATTTTTATTTAAAATTTTCTATCAGTAACAAAGTATTCAGAAGTTAATTAACTAAGTTTAAATATGTATTTCAAATACATAATATGTAATGTATACACATTGAATAAATGTTTACAGAAGTAAAAATACCCTACATAAAACCTATAAAACTGCAAAATGAAACCAAAATACTTTTCTTTTCATTCAAAATTCCGATTCTTTTTAAAGTTGTTGATATGATTATTAATTAAAATCATATTTCATGATTCCTGACTTTATATAAAACTTCTCTGTTTATCATGTAATACTTGACATGCTTTAATCATGTAACAATATATTTACCAATGTTTATTTCCTATTGCAAATAAGCATAAAATTTTCATGCAAGAATCATTCTTCCGTCAAAAAAAATTAAATAACAGTCCAAAAAAATAATATCAATACTGTAAGCAGATATACAATGTATATAAATTGATAGTAAAAAAACAAAGGATAGCCAAATATTCGAATATAAAAAATAAAACTTGCATTCTTGCAAAAATGCTGCATTAAATACATCAAATTATGTCATAACTCCAGAAACTGACCGCTGACTGCATAAATGTTGACATTTATAAAATAAGCATATCAAGGTTTGATGGCAAAACTGTTGTAAGTCCTTTATTTTATATAAGTTACTGCAGTTTTGCGGTCAACCCTTGAATTATTATTGTGATATATGAAGATAAGGAAGACTATTGCACTGTGATGTCGACCATTAAATATCCTGCTATCTTGTGTCTTACTGTGCTTTTTACATATATGGAGAATTTGTGGTAACCACATAGTAGTTTAGTCAGAATAAAATTTGTATGTTAAAGCTGCATGTCTCCAGATGAGCCAAAAATTTCAAAGAAATCAACTTTGAGGAAAATGAACTAAGACTTTTATAGGTAAAAATATTCACCATTCAAGTAATGATCTAAATATTATATGGAATGAATGACTGATTTTTTAGTATTCATCACCATATTTCTATTTTTGAATATTTTGACTTTTATTTGGTAAATTTACATAGACTGAAACATACAGTTTGCAATGTGCAAATTACTGTCTTTGTTCACTTGACAATATCTTATTCTTTTAATAAACTTTCAAAATTTTCAATAAAATTAGCCTGAATCTACAGGCCTGCTGCTTTAATTCAGCCTCCAGATTCATGCTGATTTTCATAAAAATTTTGTAAAACATTAACATTTTAACTTAATCTTACGCTATATAAATAAGTCCTTAATGCCACTTCCCATTCATGTTGCATTTCCAGGGTACCTCTGGAAAATACCTCGAGAGACTCTTATCTCCAGCTCATTACACTACAATCATTAGTTAGTTAATTCAATTCCCTTCATTTTTTAATTTAAAATGGAAAACAAAATTTACATCTTATTGTATCAATTATATACAGGAAAAATGCTTGATTCTCATTAAAGTAATGCATGTCATATAGACACATCAGATTAAAATATACCCTGATGTAAGTACAGGCAGTTCATAACAAAAATAAAATAGTTTTAAAGTAATAAAACATTCAGACATCGATAAAAACAAAATCTTGATAATGAAAAAAACTTTTCCCATGAAAACAAAAATCCAAGAAGCAGCACCAGAGCAAGTCTAATGTGACTGTTTTTGAAGAACTTTTTACCCTTGAAAAGCAATGAAAATTACTCTCTTTTCTTTTTACATCTGATAGCACAGAAGGTGACATCAAGGTACAATGTATTTAAAGATCAAGTCTGTGAAATTCATGCATACACAATGAGATTTCTGAGATAATGTTAATGTTGAGCTCTATTTACAATTTAGTATGGTCAGATCAATTCATTCAGAAAACACTGAGAAACATCCTTACTGGGAGGAATCAAAAGCACTTCTTACAATTTAACATTGATCTACACTTACAGACCAGTTAAATTTCAATCAATTTCTTCTCCAAGTCCTGATCATTGTAACACAATATGAGAGGTCGCGTATATTTAATTGAATATAACAATTAACACATCATTTCAGAAATACTCAATATTAGCATATTACTCACGTCTTGAAGTTAAAAATGCAAATAAGGTATACTAAAGTCCTCGGAACAGTTTAATCTACATTGTATAACGATAATACCAGGTACGTATATTAATATACGTACCTAATAATACTAAACAAATTAATGATGTAGCCTGACACTGATATTCTTGTAAGAACATACAATTACAAACTGTATGTTTTTGCTGTTTAACAACATTTTTATTAATGAAACTTTTCATATAAATCTTAAAACACTTTCACTGTGAGTTTGCTGGCAGTAACTTAATCTACCTATGCCACCTATGGCAATGAAGACCAAGATCAGCCAGCACTTCCTTGCCTTTCTATCATGGTCTGCACTGTTTGCTATTCAGTCAGTACATGTTTTGAAAGTTTCCCTAAAGATGATGAATGGTTTTGTCCAAATTGAAGGATGGACAATTCCATTTAAGATATTAAGCATGGTAAGGGTTAATGAAATTAGCTGTTAAGAGTTTTATGTCTAAACATGTTTAATTTTATAATGTAAAAACCAATCGATAAAAATACATTTAATTCCCCTATTACAACATTTTATTTTGTTTATATATCTATATATGTACGACTTAATTATACTCAGCAGTAAACTAGTATATAAGTTTTACCCTTACCATTGGACTACCCGTGTTAAACTAAATGATTTAGACATTCTGAGAATAACAGCTGAAAAAGTACCCTATTAATTTTAAGAACGTGTTTTTTGCAAAAATTACTAACGACCAAATTCACTGAATACCTTATAATCCCAGCTGTTACTTTAATTATAAATACAGTGAATAGACATCAGAACTAACAAGATTTCTTTTTAAGGAACCCAGATGTGTGTTCGCCGCCACCACAGTACTTCCTCAAAAAATGACATCACAGTTGGAAACATACTCTTATGTGACAAAATTGTACTAAAAACAGGAACCTAAAAGTGCAACCGGCTTCTGATTTACATTAACAGAAATAAGATGATTTTTACCGATTCGTTCATTCGAGTGTGTAACTTTAACAAGCACTTTAGTAAAGCTTTATTAGTCAATTGCATAACTATCTATTAAATCAATCCATTTGACAGTAAGGGAGTATGCATTTTGTAAATGAAGAGAAACAAAAACCTGCAATAAGTATCAGCAAACACCGAGGAAGAGATATCACATACAAGCACACTTGTTAACATATTATATATTATTGGTGTGTATTAGTGTTGTCACTATCACTGGATTCATGACTGTCATTTGCGTATCTATTGTCTTGCTCCGGTAAAGAATTAAGAGAATCATCAGCTGGGTTACTCGATGCCATGGCAATAATCTCATCATCGTCGTCATCATCATCATCGTTTAAAATATTAACATTGAATTCATCAATAACCGGACCAGTGTCTGAATACATCATGTAATGTTCGTCATAATCCTCGAAATTATCGTCGTAAAAATTTTCATTGTCAGAGTTCTCGCGATCACTTCCATTATCCTCAGCTTGATCATCTTGTTCAAAATACCCGTTTAAAAGAACATCGCCATTATTACCATCTACGTCTGGCGCCACTTCAATCACAGGTCCTACACTGTTATCTATAGTCCCGCTTTCATTAATTAAACTATTGTCCATTATAAGTTGTTGATTATTATTCTGACCAACTTGATCATCATAGTAATGTTCTAAATCAGGATTTTCTGTTTCCTCATCATCATCGTCGTCGTCATTATTATCATCCATATCCTCCTCATTCCATTCACCCATTTCACGAGCGATACTCCTATACCTCGTCTCTCGTAAAACACCTTTCGCTCGCAATGTCTTTGGATGTTCTGGCCCGAGAATTTCCTCACTAACTCTTGCCCACTTTTTAAAATATTCATAAGCTTTTTTGTAGTTGTTGTTGTCTTCGTAAACAATTCCAATATTGATATACAGTCTTGAGGTAAGAATATGGTATTCACCATACATTTGCATGCACAAATCCATTGCCTGATTATACAACTGCAATAAAATCAATAAACTAGCATATTAATGAATCTGAAGATTTCAAAATAGAAAAGATATTTTGGTAAGTATTTTAAGCTTTAAAGATCTAAAAAATTCAAACGCAAGGACAAAAGTTCATTGTGCATTGTTTTATACAGCTGTGCAACAACAAAACTTTCATACAACATTACTGTTCATAATTTCATCCCTTTTGTACTTTTATTTTATTTAATGCACAAACATGATAGATCCAAGCATTTTATATATTAAGTAATTATCTTATGCTGATAAAAAATAACATGCATCTGAAATATTTCAGACACTCTGATAACTTTTTTTGAAGTTTACTCTCAAATTTATTCAATAAGGTACTCTCAAATTTATTCAATAAGGCAGCATAGATTTTTTCATACATTATTGCTTTGGTCCATATTTAAGAAATATATGCTCAACACATGTTGCATAATACTCTATTAATTGCCAGTGTGCTTATCAGCAATATCTATTTAAATCCAGATAAAGATATTGAAAAATCCTGTTATGCTTTTTTTCCCCAGCTGAGGTCTTAGTAAAATTATTCATCTTAGTAGAAACACTCACCATTTCATCTTTGTTCAACCGCTTGCTTTTCCTAAGAAAATTTTTTAATTGTACAATGTCATAAAGTCCCATATCTGATTTCACTGTATAGACAGATGTACAAAATGTTATTGAAAGTGTAAATAAATACTTCAAACCTTTAATTGTTCCATACAACCTCTTGGAGCCAGCACACCTTTGGTCATTAATGCTTCAGCGTAGTGACCTTGATCATTTAACTGTAATATACATATTCATTTTAAAATAGAAACAAGGAACATCGCAATGCGATGCAACTAGGTTTTCAGCAAAATATTTCACAGAAGCTTTGTCATGAAGGGGCATTTGTTTTTAATTGAACTTTTAGGAGGAATTATGGCTTTTTTAATATTCCTCAAACAAAAATGATTGAGAAATTTTATGTTGTCTATTCGCCTTTTTTTCCCAAATGTTTTAGAAAGGTAAACAGTACTTTATTTTTGCTTAATTTTTGCATTTTTTCGTCTCTTGTCATTTTCTTTTGTCAACAATATTGGCGTGTGGTGTTTTGTGCGATATCAAGAAAAGTATGTTCACAATTTTAAAAAAATACTTGAATGATGTCTTGGTAGAAACATGGGAATTTAGTGAGCACCAGGGCACTTGATGACAAAGCTTCTGTGAAAGTTTGGTCAAAATCCATTGAGAAATGTAGGAGAAGTTGCGCACAGTACAAATTGTTCACTATATATTCTGTATAAGGAAAAAATATACAAAGGGCCATAATTCGGTCAAATATTATCCAATCACAAACCCCCGACAATATGTGCCAGGCACTTGATAACAAAGCTTCTAAGAAAGTTTGGTCAAAATCCGTTGAGAAATGTAGGAGGAGTTGAGCACAGAAGAAATTGTTCTCTATATATTCTGTATAAGGAAAAAATATACAAAGGGCCATAATGCAGTCAAATATTATCCAATCACAAAACCCCGACAATATGTGCCAGGCACTTGATAACAAAGCTTCTAAGAAAGTTTGGTCAAAATCCGTTGAGAAATGTAGGAGGAGTTGTGCACAGAAGAAATTGTTCACTATATATTCTATATAAGGAAAAAAAACAAAGGGCCATAATTAGGTCAAATATATACCAATTGCAAAACCCTGGCAATATGTGTCAGGGCACTTGATGACAAAGCTTCTGAGAAAGTTTGGTCAAAATCCGTTGAGAAATGTAGGAGGAGTTGCGCACAGAAGAAATTGTTCACTATATATTTTTATATAAGGAAAAAAAACAAAGGGCCATAATTAGGTCAAATATTATCTAATCGCAAAACCCCGACAATATGCGCCAGGGCACTTGATAACAAAGCTTCTAAGAAGTTTGGTCAAAATCCGTTGAGAAATGTAGGAGGAGTTGTGCACAGAAGAAATTGTTCACTATATATTCTATATAAGGAAAAAACAAAGGGCCATAATTAGGTCAAATATATACCAATTGCAAAACCCTGGCAATATGTGTCAGGGCACTTGATGACAAAGCTTCTGAGAAAGTTTGGTCAAAATCCGTTGAGAAATGTAGGAGGAGTTTGCGCACAGAAGAAATTGTTCACTATATATTTTATATAAGGAAAAAAAACAAAGGGCCATAATTAGGTCAAATATTATCTAATCGCAAAACCCCGACAATATGCGCCAGGGCACTTGATGACAAAGCTTCTGTGAAAGTTTGGTCAAAATCTGTTGAGAAATGTAGGAGGAGTTGCGCACAGAAGAAATTGTTTACGCCCGCCCGCCCGTCCGCCCATCCGCCCGCCGACATACCTCAATCTAATAACCAGTTTTTTCCTTCGGAAAACCTGGTTAATAAAAAGCTAATATAAAGTCATCCCAAATATAATATCATTTAAACAAATGTTTAAACAGCTATATAGCTATTTTTGTGAGAAAAAAAACAAACAAACAAAAACAAGTGTGATCCCTATACGTCACCTTCTGCCCAAGCATGCATTTATAGAATGGCCCTTTATCAATTTTGGGAATATAAAGTTAAGTATGCCAACAGTATAGAGCCTAGTCAGACTGCACAGATGCAGGGCTTACTGAGGTCTATACTGGCAATAAAGCCTTAACACTTTTTAAGTTCCAGCAAGTAAGGGTTAAAATTGAAATGTATGTACCTCTTGGAATATTTTCAATGCCTTGTCTATATATTTATTTCCCTCATTAAGGGCATCTGTTCCAGTGAGTTCAGGTCCCCCACCACAAGCTTCCCAACTCTCCATGTTAAATGCCAACTTCATCAAACTCATACCCAACTTGAACTGAAATAAGTCAAATAGTTATTTCTGGGTAATTTTCAACAAGAATAATTATTCTGGAAAAAACGGGGTCAAAAAATGATCTGAAATTTGTTCAGAAATTGTTTTTTTTCCAGACATTAATCAAATATTACACAAGTCTCAGAATAATATTTCCAGTCTAGTCATGTCAAAATACGCATAAATTCCTGTGACTACTTAAGTTGGTGATTCCACTTATAAAATTGAGTCACAAGACAATCATATCTACTGAAAAAAGCGTTGTAGATCTTCAAAAAGAAATTCAAATCGACACAAGGTACCGGTAGTTATGAATCTAGTCAATTTTTTAATTTATTCATCAACTCAAATTTCAAATCAATAGTTATGATATTATATGCTATGTACTCACTCTATGATATGTCCCTGGAAGTGTTTTTCGTAACGTTATAGATTTACGACCATAATGTATCGTCTTTCGTAAATCTGGTAGCTGACTAGGTGATACAAAATCATTCAACTTAAGTTTCTGGAAAAAAAAAATTCAGAGAATTGCTAAATGAATTTTGAGAAAGACAAAAAAAAACATACTATACTGTTTATATGATACGTCATTTAGGGACACCATTAGGGCATACCATATAAATAGCACCTCCTCATATAATTCTGACATAAAGACAAACAGTTTATTATACTATACAGTTCTACTTTGAGGGCATACAGGTCATATCTTTCTTCATCACATTTTTTTTTGCCATAAGAGCACACCATCTATATCCAACACCATCATATATTGCAGCCATGAGGACTGCAACTTCAATCTTACCTTATCACATATTTTCAGCCATGAGGGCTAAAATTTATAAATTACCTCATCATATATTTCAGCCATGAGGGCATACAATTCAACCATTCTATGAGGTCTAGCACCAAGTTCTTTCTCTTCTATCTTCAAAGCTGTCTTCAATAACTCCAGTGCCTCATGGTATTTACCAGCTTGTATGCTACAATATAAAACTAATCTCTACAATAATATGGCCGTCATTTCTTTACAGATTAATTTATTCTGATGTAAATGAAATCCTAGCTGGGATTAAATTCTGAGAAAATAATAGACAAAGCATCTTCTTTCCTGCAAAGTGATAAGCCTAAGTTTTAAAGAAGTTAACAATACAATATACCTAAAGAATAACCATTATTAAAAATTATTAAACTTGTTTAATGGCATACATAAAGTACTAGTAATTGTCTACGATAAAATTAGAATTTATTTTTACTGTTAAGACTGCAGGATGTTTCTGTTGAAAGATAACAAATAGGTATTTGTTTATTTCATAACATTTCACTTTTCTAAAATCAGAACATATTTGGTTTATAAATTAACACATTCTTAACCTTCTTCATATTCCAAGATTGTAACGATATCAAAATTGAGCAAAAGTCTCTTTTTAAAACCCTGGATTCTGATATCAACTTTTTGTCCACATTAATAAAACATGAAAGAACACCATTTTATTTATGTAAGAATTAAAATGTTACTTACACAACTCTACAGACTTTCTCATATCTGATGGAGACAGCCTCTTCATTAACATTATCATCCTCCTCAAATCTTGTCAACGCCTCCTCATATTGTGATATCATATCAGATGCACTGCCAACCTGAAATATTGATATATAAATATACAGAATATACTGCCAACCTGAAAAATTGATATATAAATATACAGAATATACTGCCAACCTGAAATATTGATGTACAAACATACAGAACCTACTGCCAACGTGAAATATTAATATACAAACATACAGAACATATTGCCAACCTGAAATATTGATATATAAACATACAGAACATACTGCCAACCTGAAATATTGATGTACAAACATACAGAACATACTGCCAACCTGAAATATTGATATATAAACATACAGAACATACTGCCAACCTGAAATATTGATGTACAAACATACAGAACATACTGCCAACCTGAAATATTGATGTACAAACATACAGAACATACTGCCAACCTGAAATATTGATATATAAACATACAGAACATACTGCCAACCTGAAATATTGATGTACAAACATACAGAACATTACTGCCAACCTGAAATATTGATGTACAAACATACAGAACATACTGCCAACCTGAAATATCGATGTACAAACATACAGAACATACTGCCAACCTGAAATATTGATGTACAAACATACAGAACATACTACCAACGTGAAATATTGATATACAAACATACAGAACATACTGCCAACCTGAAATATTGATGTACAAACATACAGAACATACTACCAACGTGAAATATTGATGTACAAACATACAGAACATACTACCAACCTGACATATTGATTATTAAGATAGATTAAACGATTTACCTTTCTCCAAAATGCCAGAAGGTCTGAGCTGAACTCTTCATTGTAGAGAACATCAAATACCCTCCAATCACATAAACATTTACTCAGTCCATATTTGTCTTCCAAACACACAAGCTGATATGGATATTCCTGAAATATTTAACAAAATGTTTGACTAAACAGATTGCAGTATAAGCCATTACTTAATCATAAGTTTTTTGTAATAAATGCAACATAAAAAGTTAACCAGAAAATATCTTCATACACTGCATTATACATATTGATACACAAAGCAGCCTCAGCTATTTTTACACAATATTTTTACAATGATGAAACTAATATTACAGTCTATGGACTTGGCTAACCTGATATCAGCCGAGGCTGATTTTGATGGGTCAGCTTGTAACCTATATTCTGTAAAGTCATTTACAATTGGTTTCTGATAATAAACTGTAATATTCAAGACCACACTTTATGACTTAGTTTGTTTAAGAGAATATTACCTAGAGTCAAGGTCAATGTCACTTAGTATTGATTGTCATATGTCGCTGTCTCGACCAATCTTGGACAAGGAGATATTGTAAGTTTACAATAATTTGTTAGTCATACAATAATTATCAATATTATGTGCATGTAATGAATATTTATACTTCAAGTGTTGTAACCTTCTTAAAAATATCTCAAAAATCATTTAATGATCCAATCTATTGGCCAATGGCAAATATCTGATGAAGAGCAAAGAGAGCAGCAGCTTTTTCTTTGACATTAAATTATAACACCAAACAACAGGCCAATAGTTGAATACATTCTCTAAGTACATCTAGTATAATTGTACAACATTTCCAAGTTCCCATTCAACCAGTAACACTAAAATTACCTCCACAAATCTGTCAACATTTTCTACATGTTCAAAATAGTCGGCCAGTTTTTTATGCCACCAGTTATACACTAATAGGTCGTTCTTCCTCTACTTCTATATTCTCATCTACCTGTTCATCTTTCTTCTGAAAGTACCTGTAAACAATGTCTCAAATATAATAATGTGTTACTTTTCTTTAAAATATCATACATTTACTTTCCAAGAAATTTCCTATTACCTGTGTTGTGACAAGGACTCCCACGTTTAAAATTTTTGGTAAATGTTTACACGATTGTTAAGAACAAGAAACAATACGGTTAAAATGGTGGTACTTCTATGTACTATACTACACCATGTATTTGAGTCACCAAATGATGACATACTTTCTATTTTTAATACATGTACAAATAAATAATGTTCAAAACTCATCACGATTGAGTCAGCACACATTTTCTGCATTGTATCCCCATTTCGCTCTTTTGAAAGATCAAAGAAAAGTCAACTTTACCATAAATGTATTATGTCATGAGCAATTATTGCACGGTGATGCTGTGTTGAGGGTTGTAAACACCCATTTTCAATTTTTTACTTTGGAATAAACAAATTAGAATTGATAGAATTCATGATTATAGGCAATGATTATGATATTTTGTAAGACAATATGGTCATTTCGATTAAACGGTAAAAAATATTATAAAGTTTAGGAATGAAAATCGGAATGAATCCGTTTTAAACACGTAACCATGGGGGCCTTAGTTCTGATATGAGAACTGTGTTCTGACATGAAAAGAATAGAAAATATTCATACAAATGAGTTCATAAATAGGTTTCACTGTACATTGTACAATGTTTGAACCTCGAATTAGCTAGGATAACCCGAAATATTTCTAATTATGGGGTATGGTTATTTAGACAAAATACAGTTAGACTGAATACATTTACATGGTTGACTGAACAAATTAAGATTTAATTAAACTAGAAGAGAAAATATAACTACTTGCTTATAAATGTATTTTGACATTCAAGTTAGAAAGAAATGCATATTGAAAGACAAAATAGCAGTTGAAACTGGTCATTAAAATAATTCTTTAATAATATGGGTTAGCAACAGGTATATTAAAGTATGATGCAAAACTAGATCACTGTTCTAACACTTGGCTGACAAGTTTTAAAACTTCATGTACCTTCTGTGAGCACAAAACTAGGAGGTAATTAATAGCATTATATCAATAGTATTTGGTACGAGCAAAGAAATGATCAAACATATGAGGATACTCTGTCAATAAACCAACACTGTCAAATACATAGAAAATTAAAAACTTAAATTGTAATCTTATGATAAAATACAATGTACATATAGCTTTACCTATGTCTAACAGCTTTACTGAGTGTTCTATGGTAAAAGTCTATCCTTCCCTCACTACTCTCACCGTAAGGTCTCAGGTACGGCTGCAGTATATGGAATACCCTCAACCATTTACTATCTGATAGAAAACCAACATCCTTCTTCGTCTCTTTCTCTGATGTCTCTTTCTCATCTACATTAAATATAATCAGTAATAAAATGTCTTAAAGGGACTCCACTGAGGTTTTTTGACATGATGGGACAAGAAATAATATTTTGTGATTAGTATACCATTTGATATAGATCTAGAACAATAACTTGTGTGCAAAATTTCAAATCATTCGCTCCTTAGTTTTCATAAATAATCATTCTTATTGTGAAAAATGACCAAAAATTCTTTTCACTCAAATTGTGATAATACAAAATTTTCAATTTTTTTCTGAGATTTTATTCTTAAATTTTCTTTTGCATATTGTTCCGTTTTAAGTGTCCCAGCTGATCTATGCAAGAAATTCATATTTTATGATTTTATGCTTTTAAACCTCAGTGGAGTTCCTTTAATGTCTAACTGCTAAAAAAAATTACATTTTATATACTTTACATTATTTAAACCAATGAATGGGAATAAAATACATATTTAACATCGAAATGTATGTTTTTTTAGCAAATAATTACTTATTTTTTGTGTTCAACAATATTATTATTGCCTGAGTTTTTAGTAAGGCTAACATATAGATCATAATGCATCTTTCAAGTGTAACTTGAGACCCCATGAGCATAAACTTGGAAAAACAAACATCTGAAGGCTAGATTTCCCTGGCAGGATTCAAGTCAACAGCAGAGAAGGCAAATGAGTTAAACCCTTGAATCATAACCATTCAGCCATAGAATACAAAAAGCAATAATTTATAAATCTATGATTATCTTTACATAACATCAATTAAAATGTAACTATTCAGCCCAGGAGAATGAAAGTCTATAAGATAATAGTACATAAATACATCAGTATCACAAACCTTTTTCATCGAAAGGAGCTGGTGGCATTAGTTTGTCCTCATCGGCCAGAATGTGACGAAGCTCTGACTCGAGAAGACCAGCTGCTGAGGCTTCCAGTAAACAAAGTGTTGCCACAATAAGAGTCCCTCCACACTCGCCCTCAAACCTCTTTAACAGTTCTTCTAGCAAACTGAAAATGAAACCACAAGAATGTGAAAGGGGATGTTCTTCCTAATATGTATTATGTCCCTCCGAGTCGTATTTTAATATCTTTTCATTTTATGAAACCTGATCCTGCTAAATTTCTTAAATGCACTTGTCCAGCTTCCATTTTTGAAACTGTCCATTATCAGTTTTTTGGGATATGCAATCAAAATTTGAACTTGGTCAGCCAACAGTAAAGAGGCCTGATCAGACAGCATTAATGTATTCACTTGCCTTGCTCTATGCAAATGGCAAAGGCTAATCACCTTTGACTCTGGCAGGTAAGGGGTCAAAGTAAGATTGTAACAATTAAATGTAGATCTCTGGTCAAACTTTCAAACGTGTAAAAAATTTGTTAACTGTCAACTTATTTACAGTGATTTCTCACCTAATATAACAGAGGCCTATGAAAGGCCTCTTCCCAAATGAAATTGTCTTTAAAATCATGCAGTTTTCAAAAAAATCTGAACTTACACCAGCTTTTTCACTTCCCAAATTAGCAATTTAAGTGTTATTTTTCCCAAAAATCAGGAGGACAAGGCCTCTTCCTAATAAAGTGAGGAAAATAAGTGATATAGTAACAGATGTAATTAGTTATAAACCGGTATTATACTTACTTGAGTATACCATCAGGTAGACAGTTAATTCTCTCATCAACGGCACCACTACGACTGTACTGGCATAACTCCTCACAAGCTACCGTCAACCACAGCGGATTCTCTGATGAATTGTGAGCTAATAGTTTCTCTACCTGACTTGATGACATTCTCTTGTTATACTTTGTCATCATTTCTTTTACTATAGCCTGCCGATAAACAACTACATCAGTGACACTTCATAATAAATAGAAATGCTTCTTACATGACCTTCCATGCCAAATCTTGTCCCACAGATATACAGTTTTGTCATAAGGCTGCCCCTTTCTTTTGTTAAATTTTGTATGCAATGATGTTACTTAGATACAGCCAAGCCCAATACTGTAAATCTTCCAAACCTTTTAAGCAGCATAATTGAGCTCTACAATATTTCTTACATCACATGCCATGATAATCTGCATATCATTTTTCATGAAATTGTTTCACAATTGTGTTGTTCAAGCAAGATGTTACTGACTGATTTTATTTTGGTGAGTTGTGGGTTAGGTCACAACAACATTTAGATTGCCTTATGACCACTTTCCTACTTTACTGGTGGAGGAAGACCTCAGGAAACTCACTTTGAAAGCAGGCAACTCAGTAGAATTACCGACCTTCCATAAGCCTGGTTAATAGCTTCCCCACTAGAAAGAATCCAAAGTCTGTAGTGAGACTCTAGTACTGAGAGTCAAAAGATTCATTCCAGCAAATTAAATCACTCCTCAACAGAACCCCAACTAAATGCTTTTAAATCTTATACTGTTATAAGATGAGCCCATGATTTGTTTAAACAACTTTAGCAAGTACATGTATTTATGGAATTCTTTTTGTCCCCTATTTCTATTAACTCACTCATTGTACCTTTTTGTTACTAACAATATTCTTAATAGGCATAATTCGAGAGTGTTTCAATAAGCTTATAGCTTCCAACACAATCAAACTAAAATAAATTTGTGTAAACTGATAGACATAAAAAATTATGTCACAAAAATACTTTTGTTATATAGTACAATAAAATAAAACTTATAAAAAATCACTTTCTATAGATAAACTTGTTGATCACGTAGTATAGGAACAAACCTTTCTTGAATTTATATCCAGAGGTGAGATATTGAGCTCTATAGGTTTGGTTTCCCTCTTCATCAGTGTTTTATGCTGCATTGACTGATTTATTGAAGAAAACACACATCGTACATGAGGAGACAGTTTTCTTGGTACCCAGCTCATCACCTTCGCAGCTTGTTCCTCAGAAAACTTTAACATGCAAGTATTTACATATATTATATATAAAGTTGATTATAAAATTGGTTATCGAAAAGTTATACTAGAGATAAGAATAAGGTAAGGAAACTTGTTTCAATGAAACAAATTAAATTAAAATTACACATAATTACTATATAGATTTTGCTGCCAAAGTCTTCATAAAAATACAGAAGTGTAACAGCAAAATACTGAATATGTAGATCTATACATACCAATGATGAACAAAGATGTGTGGAAATGGCATGACAAGGTTTTTTTTAATTTTATTTCAAAAATCATCATCAAATCAATAGATGTTAAATTTGACAAATGTGATTTCATGCGCTAGAACAAGTCAAAGCAATTAAAGAGTTTTAAAAGTTAAAAATTTACCTGAAAAAAAAAACAACAAAAAACAGTAGCATTAAAGACTTTAGCTTGATATTTACCTGGTTTAGAGCATCAACAACAATGATAATGGGTTGAGTGTTTGGATTTGACAACATACTACAACACATCTGAGCTGCTCCGTTCACATCGCGTGGCATATTTGAATCCTGGTACATAAAATGAAACATTCAGTTACATAAACACAAATTTTGCTTACATCATAAAATGACAATCATATTTTTATCCAAGTATTACTCATTTTCATTACTCTTTTTGTTTTGTTTCGTTTTAACTTCCCACCTACACAGTATTGCTCATATGGTGACTTTCCAGCTTTACTGGTGGAGGAAGACCTTGGGTGCCCTTATGTGTATTATTTCAGACATGAACGAGCACCTGAGTAGAACCACCGACTTTCCATAAACTAGCTGGATAGCTTCCTCACATAAAAGAATCCAAAGTCCCTGTCAGGATTTAAACCCTAGTGGTGAGAGGCAAGTGGTTTGAAGTCAATGACCTTAACCACTCGGCCACTGATGCCCCTACTTGTTATCATTATTCAAGTCTCAAACTAGTGTCCTGTAGACTTGAAAGCCAGCAACCAATATGGTTCTTCCATACCATTCAGCAGAAACAGTCATGAGTGACAAGTTATAAGAGAACCCTTCCACTTACGGCTAAATTCTAACAGTTGCAACCACTTTTGCATACAGACACAACAAAACAGCCATTTTGCGCCAACAAAACTTCTGGAAACAGGAAGACTCTAAAGATCTTTGACTCTTTAAACAAACTAAATGAGAAGTTCACCAAAAGTGAGCTCGATTAAATTTTTTCCTTGCACCTACATTTATAAAATCCATTTCTCTAAGAAGACGTTTTAACATTGGTTCAAGATTTGTAGAACCAGGTACTGCACCAACAAAGTGGAAGAATAAATGCCATGCTTTATTATCTGACCTGAAAACAAAAATTTAGGAAAGGATACGTATTTAAAAGTTGAAATTTTAATGTTCTTGCTGTAAGGATAATCAGATATTTAAAGATATAATGTGTTTTTGTTGTTTTGTTTTTCCTTCTTGTCATTAAGCTGATTCAACCCATTTTTTTTTTGCCATTTCTCAGCGGTCAATCCATCCCAACCACTTTTCTCGATATCTAACAAACAATTACCATTTTCCCTGCAAGTAACACACTATTAATCCAAAATGATTTCTTTCATAGAAGAATTTTGCCTTTCCCTACTATCATACTAGATACCCATAGATTTTTAATCTGATGCTCTTCCTTTTCACGTAGTCAGGCAGACAGCTTCTTTCAAATAATGAGTTTTATATACAAGGTGACCAGAATAAGTTATTCAAGACAAGAATAAAATACTTTATGAACATTAAAGTAAACATCAAACCTTTTTAATGAGCCATCTTTTATTCTTTTGGAGAACTTGTCTGCAAATTTACAAAGCACCGATGATTTTCCAAGTCCTGGGTCACCAACTAATAATAATGGCACATCCTTATCATCTCTGAACACATAATCCTCAATCTATAAAATAACATAATCCTCAATCTATAGATAAAATTATCCTCAATCTAAAAATAATATGATCCTTAATCTATAGAATACTATCATCCTCAATCTAGAAATAACATAATCCTCAATCTAAAAATAACATAATCCTTAATCTATAAAATAACATAATCCTCAATCTAAATATAACATCATCCTTAATCTATAAAATTACATAATCCTCAATCTATAAAATAACATAATCCTCAATCTAAATATAACATGATCATTAATCTATAAAATTACATAATCATCAATCTATAAAATAACATAACCCTCAATCTATGAATGAAATAACATAATCCTCAATCAATGAATGAAATAATATAATCTTCAATCTATGAATGAAATGACATAATCTCCAATCTATGAATGAAATAACATAATCTCCAATCTATGAATGAAATAACATAATCCTCAATCTATGAATGAAATAACATAATCTCCAATCTGTGAATGAAATAACATGATTCTATAATCTATGAAAAATCACAATCCTCAATGTATAAAATAATGCAATTCCCAAATCTGTAAGATATTGTAATCCTCAAATTATAAAGAAATGTAATCCTCAATCTATAAGATAACAGTCACAATCTTCAAATTATAAAAAAAACATGATCCTCAATCTATAACATAATCCTCAATTGATAACAAGAACTGTCGGAGGACAGTATTGGCTCGACTATTCAAAATGTTGTCACAAGGGTGATTTATTGAGTATAATAATGCTAGTTACCTATGAATACATAAAATTGACTGAAAAGGTACACAGGCTTGTTATAAAGATGTTTTATCAAGTAAATCACTGCTTTATTATTATGAATGCATAAAAATGTCCCCAAAAAGGTACAAACTCTTCAGTAGTTATGGAGATAACAGCTTACAAGCAAAATTTTACTATGAATTTTTAAGTTGAAAAAGGGGAGAAAAATCAGCCTAAATGCAAAATAGAATTATGGATCTTGGTCAGTGACCTACAATTATGATTCTAAATGCATATGTGAAGTTTTAAATAAATATCTTTAATAGTTATTGAGATATCTAATACTTGCATGTAAACATTAACCAATAGACTAAGTAGAAAAGGGGAGATGAATCAGCCTAAATGCGAGCAGAGTTATGGAACTTGGTCAGTGACATACAATTATGACTCTCCAATTATGACACTAAGCACATGTGTAAAGTTTCAAGTAAATATCTTTGAAGAACTATAACCTTTAACCAAAATTTCTTAGAGTTTCAAAGGGGCAAATAATTCTGCAAATATTGCAGTCAGAGTTATGCAATTTTGCAAACTGATGTACATTGTTACTATAAAAAAGTATTGTAAATTTCAATTGAATATCTCAAGCAATAATTGAGATATTTGACTTTACAAAAAAAAACATTAACCAAATTTCTAAGTTATAAAGGGGCATAATTCTGTAAATATTACAGGTAGAGTTTACCAACTTGTCAATATGATGAGCATTGTTACTATCAATAAGTATTGTAAATTTCAATTGAATATCTCAAGCAATAATTGAGATATTTGAATTTACAAAAAACTTTAACCAAAATTTCTAAGTTTAAAAGGGGCATAATTCTGTCAATATTGTAGGCAGAATTATCGAACTTGTCAATCTGATGTATATTGTTACTATAAATAAGTATTGTAAGTTTCAATTGAATATCTCAAGCAATAATTGAGATATTTGAATTTACAAAAAACTTTAACCAAAATTTCTAAGTTAAAAAGGGGCATAATTCTGTCAATATTGTAGGCAGAGTTATCCAACTTGTCAATCTGATGTATATTGTTACTATAAATAAGTATTGTAAGTTTCAATTGAATATCTCAAGCAATAATTGAGATATTTGAATTTACAAAAAACTTTAACCAAAATTTCTAAGTTAAAAAGGGGCATAATTCTGTCAATATTGTAGGCAGAGTTATCCAACTTGTCAATCTGATGTATATTGTTACTATAAATAAGTATTGTAAGTTTCAACTGAATATCTCAAGCAATAATTGAGATATTTGAATTTACAAAAAACTTTAACCAACGCAGACGCGGACGCCGGGGCGACTACAATAGCTCTCATATTCTTCGAATAGTCGAGCTAAAAAAAACTTAAACCTCAATCTATAAAATAACGTAACCCTCAATCTATTTAATAACATGATTCTAAATTTATAAGATAACATAATCCTCAAATTATAAAATAATATGATCCTCTATCTATAAAATATCATGATCTTTAATCTTTGAAATAGCATATTTTTCAATATCAGTAAATACTTACATCATCGACAATTCTTACAAACATTTTATGTTGTAATGGAAAACCACAATTTTAGTTACAATGAGCTTTTCATAATTGTGGCTAACATTTTGGCCACTTCATTTTTCCAGCACAGAATATTCTTAAGTTAAGAAAGTAACAATAGTACAAACCTTCTGTAACACATCCTCTCTACCTAACACTGTTGAACCTTTCAATCTCATAAAAGTTTCATGTTGTCTACACACTAAACTGTCTTGATTATTGAAAGACTGTGGCTGTTCTCCACAAAAATCATATAATATTCGCTGCTTACAAAAATCCAGTATCTGAAATAATTGTTTCATTGCCCAATATAAAATACATGTAACATAAAACTGTTTGTATTATATTTATATATTGGCATTCAATTTAAAGAAAAAATAAAGACTTCACATGTAACAAAAAAATCATGCTTTGTTACATTTTCAGAAACAACAAAACTAGCAATCACTTGAAAAATTTCAATGTAGATATAAAATTGTTATTCCAACCTGGCTTTTTATAACTACTATACGGGAGCTTTGGTGCAAATCAGTTGTAAATTACATGACATAAAGGAAAAGCTATGACAGTTTCACACTAACATCTATAATTATACCCTTAAATCAAATGTTAAAGCTGCACGCCTCCAGATGAGCCAAAATATTTCAAGAAATTTAATCTTAAGAAAAATGTATTAAGATCTTAAGAAAAGTAAAAAGATTCAATATTTAATTAATTATTAACATGTTATGTGCGATTCATGACCGATTTTGCAGTATCAATCACTATAATATTACTGCGTTACTAACGCAGTAAGAGGTATTTTTGTATATTTTGACCTCTTTTTTGGTAATTTACGTGGATTGTAAGTGCCGTTTGGAATGTGTATATTACTTTTTGTGTTCACTTCACAATATTTTACAAAAACATTTTCAAAATTTTCATGAAAATTAGCATCAATCTGGAGGCAAGCTGCTTTAACAATTTAATGCAATAATTCAATGTAATTGAATGTAATTTTCTGCAATAATTCAGTGATACAGATTATAACCTAAATATAGTTTATACAGAATTTATTCTAACTTTATTGTGAAGGAATTACCAGTTTATAGACACACCCTCAAATCTGTTCCTGGAACCAACCAGTACCAAGCAATAAGTGTAACATTTCTTGCTCAAGGAAACAGCAGCTTGCCCATGACAAGGTTTGAACCCAGCTGGCTAGCAATCTTTAGATTACTAGTCTGACATGTTAACCAATCAGCCATGCCACACTAACCTAGATTTAGTTACAAGATCTAAAATAATGTTGTTGTTATAAATAAGTTTAACATACAGAACGATGTAATGTATCTTCAAACACCAGTTTTGTATGTTTCTTTGAGTCTAAACCTTTATAATCACAGTGATACTTTATTATTCTTGCCGGCTGAAATCAGAAAATCAAGAAAAGGTTTGAATAATAAATTAATATGGCATAATTATATGAGGTATATGTGTTTACTGATGATAATAGCCTTATAAATTTGAACTTTCCATTGAAACAGTGAGAACTGAACCTTACATATAATGCCAAGTCTGGTTAATATTAATCTAAGTACATTGACTTAATGTGGAAGTACATGTACATGCTTCAATCAATATCAACAGTATTATTTCAACACAAAAAAAATTAAAAACATTGATAAGTGAGTCAAGAAAATTTTTGCCCTGTTTATATAATGAAGATCACATTGATAGTACTGTATAGTCATATGGCAATTTTCCCTAAAATGATATATGTGTTGGTTTTATACACAATTTATTTCTGATTGATTTGTGTACGAGGCAATAGGCTTATAGCAAACTGTCAAATCCGTTTCTGGAACCAACCAGTACTGAGCAATGAGTATAAAGTTTCTTGATCAAGGAAACAACAACTTGCCCCTGACAGGGTATGAACCTATGCAGCTAGTGATCAGTAGATTACTAGTCTGATGCATTAACCTGTCAACCATGCTGCCAATATATGTGTTGTGATAAGTTAACATGATCTTACCGGAAATTTTTGAGCAATCTTGTCTCCACATGCTTGAAGTTTATCTGATGCTGATGTTCGTTTAATGAAGTACTCCTGCTCTTCTTCAGGTACTTTCTCCAGTACAGAATCATGTCGTATCAGAAACAATGCTGACAAATTTAAAATAACAATCTTTAATTCTATATTAACATGGGTCAAACATGGAATTTGATATACTTTCAGTCAGAATAAACACGGTATATCTAACACAATATTGCCACAATAACTTTAAAATCCTCTTACAAGCATGGGTCGAACGTGTAATTTATTTTTAGTCAAACAGAGGGGAATAAACGTGGTATATCTAAAACAATATGCCACAGATGAATGACTTTATAATACTCTATAAACATGGAATGAACGTGTAATTTATTTTTAGTCAAACAGAGGGGAATAAACGTGGTATATCTAATACAATATGCCACAGATGAATGACTTTATAATACTCTATAAACATGGAATGAACGTGTAATTTATTTTTAGTCAAACAGAGGGGAATAAACGTGGTATATCTAATACAATATGCCACAGATGAATGACTTTGCTAAAGGTAGTTTAAGCCTGGAATATGGAATACCTAACACCCTTAACCATGGATAAAGAATTTTACTGAAGACAGTTTCTGCATGGAACACAGTTCATTTTATATTCAATATAAATCCATGAATGATACATAACATTCATGTTAACAACAGCTACACCACACCAAAATGTCATTTGAAAATAGCCATATCATCAATTTATTGCCTGGTATCACATTTCTTGTCAGACTTGACACTTAACTAAACAACTGTACACTAGTAAAATAGGATATAGCAATTTGCCCCCCCCCCCCCCCCCCGGACATATGCCACCCAGCAGAACCCACTTTATACATTAAACATAATACAAATTTCTACTGTGAGCAGGTAAATACTATTTTAAATGTATAGATAAATCAAAATATCCTGCTACAAATCCGCTGAAATGGATGAAAAGTAAAATACATATAAACTTATGTATCAATCTTACAATTATGATTATCTTCTCTGTAAGCTCCATACATCACTTCTAAATCCTCCATCAACAAGCCATATGTGTCTATATAATCTTCTATATGTTCATCTGGACAATCTCCCCACATTGGTACCCAGCCTACTCCTTCACTGTAACATAGATATAATAGGTGAATAGAAACATGGTACCCAGCCTACTCCTTCACTGTAACACAGATATAATAGGTGAATAGAAACATGGTACCCAGCCTACTCCTTCACTGTAACACAAATATAATAGATGAATAGAAACATGGTACCCAGCCTACTCCTTCACTGTAACACAAATATAATAGATGAATAGAAACATGGTACCCAGCCTACTCCTTCACTGTAACACAAATATAAAAGGTGAATAGAAACATGGTACCTAGCCTACACATTTACTGTAATACAGATATAATACATGTAGGTGAATAGAAACATGGTACCCAGCCTACATATTTACTGCAATACAGATATAATAGGTGAATAGAAACATGGTACCCAGCCTACACATTTACTGTAATACAGATATAATAGGTGAATAGCAACATGGTACCCAGCCTACATATTTACTGCAATACAGATATAATAGGTGAATAGAAACATGGTACCAAGCCTATATTTTCACTGTAACATCAAGGTATTTTGTATGGAAGTCAAAATACTATTTTGTTTACATTTTGCTTCCTTTTTATGACATTACTGTTCAGTGCTACATCCTTCATCCTTGATGGCTCTGTTCAAGTGTTCCCTTATCCCTGAAATTAAGGGGGAGAGTCCCTTGGCTTTCCCTTTACTAAGCAAAGATTGAATGTTGCCAGGAGAACAAGCAGTGAGTGTATGGGGTTTAACTTTGCACGAATATAGTATAGGTCATATGGCAACTTTTCAGCTTTACTGGTGGAGGAAGACCTCAGATGCCCCTCTGTACATTATTTCAGGTACAAACGGGCTCCTGAGTAGTAGCAGTGTTATTCCGTAAGCTTGCTGGACAGCTATCTCTCATGAAGAATCTGAAAAAGCTAGTTTGGCTCGAACCTACAGCAGTGAGAGGCAACTGGTTTGAAGTCAACGACCTTAACCACTCGGCCACTGACGCCCCACCCTAGCATTATAATATGACCAATCTTTGTACATGAAGTTGTCAAAATGTGATTGAATAATATAATTATGTACATTACAGATACCACATAAGAAATCAGTATAATTACAAACCTTGTAAAATTGAGGAAAATTGGCATGACATTGTTATAATAGCAGTTTTCAATGCTTGTCTGTATTTTTTCTTGACTTGTTGGATCTCGTCTCTCTGGATGTAAGGAACCCTGAAACATCAACACACATATACGAATCATCGAATGGTCTCTTAAAATATCTTAATATTCATTCAAACACTCCTTGTAATTTTGTCACTATAGACAAAGAAGAACAAGATCCATGTCAACATGGCCATTCCCCCCCGAATGTGTTTGCTCATTGGAAGAATGTACCGGTATATGTAGTAGAGCAGAATAATTCAATTTTAAGAGGTCTTTTGGTAATGAAAACTGATGGCTGAAGTGATAATAGATTTGAAACCTATGTGAATACTGATGGCTGAAAATAACAAAGGGCAATAACTGAAAAATAATGTAGGGTAGGTTATCATTCTTGTGTGCTGCACCCTCCTCAGTAAAATCTATCCACCTATGAAGTTTCAAGTTGATACCTCAAATTCTTTTTGAGATAAGCTCCCAACAAAATAGTATGAAAAAGAACAAAGGGCAATAACTCAAAAATTATATAGGGAAGAGTTATCATTCTTGCGCACAGCATTCCTCCTCAATAAGATCTATCCTCATTTCATGTTCACATCTCATACACTTTTGAGTTATGCTCCACTCAGGTGAAAAATTAAGTATGAAAACTAACAAAGGGCAATAACTAAAAAATGAAAGGTAGAGTTATCAGTCTTGTGCACTGCACACCTCCTGAGTGAGATCTATGGACCTATGAAGTTTCATGTTGATATCTCAAAGGCTTTTTGAGTTATTCTCTGGACAAAAATTAATTTTGAAAAATAACAAAGGGCAATAACTCAAAAATTATGCAGGATAGAGTTATCATTCTTGTGCACTGGACTCCTCCTCAATAAGATCCATCCACCTATGAAATTTCAAGTTGATACCTCAAATACTTTTTGAGATATGCTCCTGACAAAATAGTATGAAAAAGAACAAAGGGCAATAACTCAAAAATTATAGAGGGAAGAGTTATCATTCTTGCGCACAGCATTCCTCCTCAATAAGATCTATCCACCTATGGCATTTCATGTTGACATCTCAAACACTTTTTCCGTTATGCTCCACTCAGGTGAAAAATTAAGTATAAAAAATAACAAAAGGCAATAACCCAAAAATTATGAAAGGTAGAGTTATCATTCTTGTGCACTGCACACCTCCTGAGTGAGATCTATGGACCTATGAAGTTTCATGTTGATATCTCAAAGGCTTTTTGAGTTGTGCTCTGGACAAAAATTAATTTTGAAAAATAACAAAGGGCAATAACTCAAATATTATGCAGGATAGAGTTATCATTCTTGTGCACTGCACTCCTCCTCAATGAGGTCTATACACTTAAGAAGTTTCAAGTTGATACCTTAAATACTAGATATGCTCAGGACTAAAATGTCGGAAGGAAGGACGGACGGATATTCTTACCAGAGCTACATTATGGTGTTTTCTTTTGTTAATTCTTTTGTTCTTTTTAACCCCACAATGCAGAAAATAACCCCACAAGAGAAACGGAATGAATGACATCAAAGACATCTATTGTTATGAGAACAATAGACCAAACCCCATAATGTAGCTCTGGTTTGTACGGATGGATGGACGGATGGAAGGAAGGACGGACGAAGACTATTTCTATATCCATGCCCCCTTCGGCGGGGGATAAAAAAAAACGGTGTTAAACTGCCAAAAAACACTGATTAGGGACTACTTATATATGCTGCTGTTATGCTTCTCCTTCGATTATACAGTTTACAAAGCCTTTTGTTATGTATGCAACATATTACATGTATATATTTTGTATCTGACCAGTTGGTATTTCCAATATTATCATTGTTCTATTTTTAGAACATAAACTACATGTATGTACTAGAACGTGTTTAACTGTTGTGGAAAACTCATGCATTATATTAAGATAGAAATTTCGAAATTTCTGGAATGATCTTTATTGTTGAAGTTGCTAGATTATGATTACTGTAGTAAATGGAAGACTATTCTAGAAACTTCTTAGTTAATATATATAAGGAGACATTTTTCTTTACTCTTATCTTTAAGTCATCAGTTACCTTTTTAGTCATCAGTGATCTTTTAAGTCATCAATATATTTGGAGTATTATTCAACTTGGAAATTAAGTGATTTATTGGAGCTTGGATTATTAATTATTCTTGTGGATTTTATTGTGGGAATTTATTCTAAAGTGTTCTTGGATTTAACTTGGATTTAACTGTGCTATTAAAAAAAGATCATTCCAGGATCAGACTAGACATTTGTAATTTTTATTTGGACTTCAGGTATTTGTAAAGATAATTTGTTATTTTATTTTTACTTTAATAATTTTTCTGTAATAAATTTGTTATTGTTACAAGTTTGTTGCTGGCTTTTCTTTCTCGTTACGCCTGGCTCGTAACAGAAATTGGGGGCTCGTCCGGGATTTGAATATTTCTTTTTGGCTACATTATTGGAAATTATTACCATTTATTCTACATTTTATTATTACCGTATTTACTTATCTGAGTTGATATCATAGTTGTTCTATTAAGTGTACCTTTCATTTTGAAATTTTTGAAACACATCACTTTCTGAGTTTAAAACCAGCAGCAAGCAGTCATGTCTTTTAATTTAGAAAAGTTTGTAGCTGACCCTTCCCAGGAGGTATTAGATTTGGCTAAGAAAACTGATTTGCTCGATCTTGCAAAAAAGTATAATTTATTAGAAATTAAATCTTCAATGCGTAAACAAGAAATTAAAAATCTTCTGATTCATTATTTTGTGGATGAAGATATTTTTGGACAAGATGCACTTTCTCTGATTGTTGAAACAAACCCAGAAATAAAGATAAAAGAGCTTGAATTACAATTTAAATTTGAACTAGAAAAAATGCAGTTTGAAAAAGAAAGGGAAGAAAGACAGATGGAAAAGGAAAGGGAAGAAAGGCAGTTTGAAAAAGAAAGAGAAGAGAGAGAATTTCAGTTTAAAATGAGAGAATTAGAAATCAAAGAGAGAGCAAATCAGTTTGAACATAGAATCAATTCAAAATTTGATGTCACTAAAAATATTAGGCTTGTTCCCCCTTTCCAAGAAAAAGAAGTTGATAAGTATTTTCTTCATTTTGAAAAGGTTGCTGAAAATTTAAAATGGCCAAGAGAGCACTGGACATTACTTTTACAGAGTGTCTTAATTGGTAAAGCTCGTGAAATCTATACACAACTTACTGTTGAACAAAGCTCTAATTATGATAATGTAAAAGAATTAATTCTGAAAGGTTATGAGTTAGTACCAGAGGCCTACAGGCAAAAATTCAGAAATTCTAAGAAAGAAATTGGTCAAACCCATGTCGAATTTGCAAGAGAAAAAGAACAACTTTTTGATCGGTGGTGTCTTTCTAAGAAAATTAATAAAAATCATGAAAAGCTCAGACAGCTCATGTTAGTTGAAGAGTTTAAACGTTGTATTCACTCTGATGTTAAATCTTTCTTAGATGAAAAACAGGTTGAAACTTTAAAGAAGCTGCCCGTCTAGCTGATTATTATTCTTTAACCCACACAGTTTCATTTTAAAATAAAGGGAAGTCCACACCCTCACATTTTAATTCCAAGTACAGTTCTGGTAATTTATCTGGCTCATCTAGTCAGTCAAATACTCCCAAACCAAAGTCATCTGATGAACATAAAGGTCATAGTCCCTTATCTCGTCCTACATGCAATTATTGCAAGAAAACTGGACATCTTATTTCTGATTGCTTTACCTTAAAAAGGAGGCAACAGCAACGTGATGAGGCCAAACCCACAGGTCTTACCACTTCAAGGTCTGAACCTCAGTCTTGTATTGATAACAATGCAATTTTGAAGGTCAAAGAACCCAAGTCTGATTCTATAATGGAGATTTATGAACCATTCCTTTCGGAAGGTTCCGTGTCACTTATCGGTGATACTTGCCCACCTACTCCTATTAAAATTTTAAGAGACACAGGAGCTTCTCAATCTCTTATTTTAGCAGATACACTGCCTTTTTCTGAGAAGACTTCTTCTGGATCTAGTGTCCTTATTCAGGGTGTAGAGTGTGGTTTTTCTAATGTCCCTCTCCATAATATTTATTTGTCCTCAGATTTGGTAACTGTGCCGGTGGCTGTAGGTATAAGATCTTTCTTACCCTTTAAAGGTGTTCATTTATTGCTAGGTAATGACTTAGCTGGAGATAAGGTAGTGGTTAATCCACTTGTAACTGACACTCCTTGTGTGGATCAGATACCTGACCCCATTGAGCAGGAAATTCCTGACCTTTACCCTTCATGTGCAGTTACTCGAGCTATGGCTAAGAAGGCCATTCAAGAAGACAATTTTTGTTCAGATATTGACTTAGCTGATACTTTTATAGGTCAGTCTTTTGATAATGAAATGAATTTTTCTCTAACTCCTTCTCTGCCTGAAACTCAGACAGATTTTTCAATATCTGATTTTTCTACACCAAGATCTAAAGATCAAGGTCATGATACGCTGTCAAGGTCACAGCTTATCCAGGAACAACAAAATGATCCTGAGATTTCAGTCCTTTATCAAAAGGCTTTTAGTGAAGATGAAGCTTTACAAGTCCCTGTTTTGTTATTATGAAAAGAATGGGATTTTAATGAGAAAAATGGCGACCGCCGATGTCCCTGCTGAAGAGGAGTGGACTGTTAATCACCAAATTGTGGTCCCTAAATCATATCGCCAGGAAATATTAAGCTTGGCACATGAAACACCCATGGCAGGTCATTTAGGTGTTAATAAAACCTACCATAAAAATTCTCAATCATTTTTTATTGGCTGGCCTTAAAGCAGATGTATCTAGGTACTGTAAATCTTGTCATACTTGTCAGATGGTTGGAAAACCTAACCAGACAATACCTAAAGCTCATTTACAGCCTATTCCTGCATTTGATGAACCTTTTAGTAGAGTTATTTATTGACTGCGTAGGTCCATTACCAAAAACTAAATCAGGTTCTCAGTACTTATTAACTATTATGTGTGCTTCTACGCGCTTCCCTGAAGCTATTCCTTTAAGAAATATTAAAGCCAA